ATTACATTTCCAACTCGGGTGCCTCTCTGCGTGGAATTTGTACGTTCGACCCCCTCTTGTTGTGCATCAGTTTGCCTCCGTGCTCTCTCCGATTCCGTCCCATATGTAAATCGAAACGCACAATGTACATTTTAACGGCCAACAATCTCGTTGTTGGAAGAAAAAAAATACCTGCAAAGTAACTCGAATAGGATTATGCTGAGCACCATCCCAAATCCCACTACGAAAACTTGGCAGGACACCACCTGGCAAATTCTTGAGGCCCAGCGTGTGAGGCTTTCCTGGCTAAACGAGCGCAGCAATAATAATTACAATGAACAAAAGCGAAAACTGAGGTACACGCAACGTATATCTGTCTGCACCGCTTGTAAAACCAGCTGGGTGTAGTACATCTTGTTCCTTTCTACGATGGTATATTTTGTTATTTGAACAAACGTGTGCTTCGTAGAGCATGAACAACAAAACGTCAAACGTGGTGTCACGCGCAAGTGCGAGGCATTGTTGTAAGGTGTTCCGCGTGTTTGCCAGCGTCTACATGTGTGCCATGTGTTGTCACGGGAGGGCTGAAAATAAAATAAAACATGTGTCGGTTTGTCACCCACATCCGGGCAGTGTGCCCAAGTATGAACACAACTGCACACGAGATGCATCAACGCAGTTTCACATTTAAATGTAAATAGCCTAGCCTTGTTAAAATAAATAAAAATACAATCTGTATAAATTCACTTGATTCATGCCTTTAATAACAATATATATTTTTGATAATAATTGACAACTACTTGGTAAATCCACTGACACTTGCCATGTCAGTCATGGGGTAGGATTTTTTTTGTTTGACCATACTTCACCACGATGGCCAATGGCCGGCCTGATGCAGGCAGGTTTACCATTAACCGGTTTCAGTCATCACTCTCCACTCACATTCGCCGTGGGCTGGGAATCGAACTCACATTGTCAGATTCATAGCTCAGTGCGCTAAAACCACTGCACCACCGCTGTCCACAATAATAACAACAACAGACTTAATTTAAACTGGATGAAAATCCATTAAGAAAATTATTTTATGCAAGGGTGACCAAAAGAAGTCGTACGTGCACGGCTATGCAAATATGTTCCCTGGAGCCGGCCATGGGTATGGCTTTGAATAATGGGTGTATTCATATAGGCTTCCACATTTACTTGGCAAGGCTATTGTAAGGATTAGCTTGTACTGGATTATATTTTGGGCTCGTATTAAACGCTTTGGAGCAGTAACCAATGTTTTTGGTAAATGTTTTGTAATAATAAGAGGGTGCAGCAGTGGCGATGAACTGGTCAGTGTACATCGCTCAAGGTGCACCTAGCCTGACACAAGCACCGCTTGGTGGCTGAACGCCAGTTATTGTTGGTGCTATGAACCCGGCCCACCGGAGTTTTGATTCCTGGCTACAGCCAACATCAGTGGTGAGTGGAGTCTGGACCTGCACTGACCAGCTGAGTGAAGGATGGTCAAACCCCCATGAGCGAAACGGCATAAAGAGGCCTTCACCGGGCAAAGGATTGAGAAAGGGGCTGAAATGAGTACGCTAGGAACAATATGAAATGCAAGAGAGATGCCTTAATCACAATACATAACAAGAATCCCAGCATGCTTTGCTTGTCAAGATGACAAATTACTAAAATGTAATATACAAATCGATCATTGCCCCATCCCTAATTGCAATAACTTGGCAAGAACCTCCTGAAAAAAGTGTCATGAGACTCTGTGAGGCTTTCCTGGGTAAACACGCACAGTAATAATAGTGATGACATCACCAGTATTCTACACACGGCCCTGTGATAGCCACCAGCTGGTGGATTTTTTTTTATTTTGGCAGCGGAACATTAACAATGCAACTCTATACCAGCTTTATCCTTATTGGAGCTCATCGTTGGTCGGGGGAAAGTGCTCGAATTTGGTTTTGGTGTTGTACTTGTACACGTACAGTCAATCCACTGCTGGATGAGGGCTTCGCCTACATTTAAAAGTAGGGGAACATAGACGTGAGGGCACAGTGCAGTACAACAGTGGATTTTGCCACAGAGCAAACTGTGCACGCTCTGTCACCCATCCAGATCACCACCCCCCCCCCCCGCCGCCCCCACAAAAACCCAACTCGGCTTCTGAGATGTGACACGACCGGGCACATTTCTGTCGATTTAGTCATAGGGATTGGTTCACTTTGTACACGTTTTGTAACCGTGGAACCTGTTATTATTCCAACGTGTTTGTTGGCCAGGTCCGAGGGGCTACGTTCCACGTCGAAATCGAGCCTGAACCAAACGCCTGCGCTCGGCGGGACCTCCGCAAACAAAGTAAGTCCCCTGCTCGCCGCCGCAGCAAGTAGGTCGCGCACAGCCATCGATCCTTTGGATCAATACACGGGGGTTGCAACCTCCCCGAGCTCCCTCCCATGCTGCCGAGCGCACGTTTTCCTAAGTAAAGGGCGTACGGTGAGTAGATTTTTTGTTACAAATAAAACATTTTAACGGAGGTTTTTTTTCTTCGACATCTTGCTTCAGGAACAAGGCACTTCGTCATCGACAAAGAACTCGAGCTTCGAGTCTGATGAGGTGGAAAATGAGCCCAATGTCAAACCTGGTAAGAAGGGAAAGTCCTTTCTCATGTGGTTACCATCCTCACTGTTTCGTGTTCCCAACCATCAGCAACTAATCTCTCACCTCCGACTCTTACTAAATGGCTGCACTTCCGTCCTTCCTCTTTGCTTGAGTAATCCTGAAATGCGTTCTATTTTTTTTTCCACGGCGGGATGCTGTCCGTCCATTTTAATTCTGCTCCCGGAAATTTAATTAGTCGCATCGGCCGCACGGATGGATGAGTCCTTCCTACTGCGCGTGGCCCTCGAGGCGTGTCGAGCAGCGCACGTAAATTAGAAGTCAAACATTAATAGAGTAATGGTTTAAATTCCTCTTAACTGCCATTTATGATTCGTCTAATATATATGGATAATGAAAAAGAATGAAGAGACGGTGGCTGAATTTGCAATGCAAGTGCCGTCTAGAACCGCAGAAACCCAGTGAGACGAAAGGGCACGGTCACAGGACCTATTAGAGGGGGCCCTGTATGAGCCAAGTGCATGCGAGCGGCGTCATAACTCATCACAACATAACGCTGCCGAATCATTATTTGTGGCCCTTTTAATATAATGAGCAAATACACGGATTGCATTTCACGGCAGCGTGACATATTTCAACATGCGGTAAAGATGGCTTTGAGGATTGGCCCATTGCAATAATCAAAGTATAAATAAAAAAAGAAAGTTTAATGGATATTGGTATAGAGCACCTTCATTAGGCTCACGGGTGATTTACACCTTCGTCACGCAATTTAGATACACGCTACATATTCTATTTTCGTTATATTCGCAGCAGACGCGGAATCAAAACCTCAGACACTGGCAGCTCTGGCCAAGTTGATCGACGCCACCGACGTGGCCGAGGTGCAAACGTTGCTTAACGTGGACGTCGCGCCGGTGGCGGGCGCCGACGTTTCATCGGGGGCACCGGAAGCCAAGCCGATCGCCAAGGGGAGCACCGATTCGACGAAATCCGGACTTGGAGAGCAGGCGGCGGCGGCGGTGGCGGTGGCGGCGGCAGCGCCACCGCCGCCCGTTCCCCGGGCGCGGACGGCTCGGCCGGAGGTCAACGGCCGCGAGTTGGAAGAGACCGTGAAGCCAAGCGCGCGTCAGACCCCCGTGAAAAGCGCGGTCAAATGGGGGGGTGACGCGAGCGCGCTGCCCGAACCCGCCGAGCAGAACGGCACGGGTGACGTGAGCGGAGTCAAAAGGAGGCCGGCCGTCAAACTGAGTGGCTCATTGGACTCGCTGATCGACGAGTCTGAGGACGGTGCCGGTCCTCGGGGTATACTGAAGCACTCCTCCATGTCGAGTTCCGACTCGAGTCTGGACACGCCACCGAAGAGTCGGCTGACGAAGGCGATAAGCGATGTCCACCTCACTCCGGAAGTGATGCACGAGAAGAGCAAGAGTGCGAACGAAGACTCGCAGGGCAGCACCGAGGACCTGGAAGGCAGGCACGTGCGATTCAACTCGAACATTCAGCAAGTGGAGGTGGAGACTGATTTCAACTCCCCGGGGTACACCGGCGAGGGAAACCTGGATAACAGCGACGAAAGCAATTCGAGTGAGGAGGAGGAGGAGGATGAAGAAGAAGACAAAGAGACGGAGGAGAACACGTTGAAAAATGCTGGCACTTCTAGCACAAATCCGTTCATGAACGATGAGATGACGGGCGACGACCTCTTTAAAGACTTTGGGATGGACGACCCAGCGTACAAAAGTAACCCATTCACAAACCAATCCGAAGACCTGTTCGTTGAGGAGCCCGAACATGAACTACCATCGCTAAACCGCCACCTCAAAACGGCTGCGGCTGACGATTTTTGGGCCGAAGATGCCGAGCTCGAATTGCCACAATCGCTCGACCCTGCTGTCCCGCAAAGACAGCCGAAAGTGAATAATACATCGGAAGATCTCTTGGACGATGACAGTGGAGATGAAATTTCATCATTGAAATTTACCAGCATGCAAAAGCAGCCAAAAGATGCTGTTTCAAATTTGAAGGATGGCACCAATGAAAATCAATTGCCATCATTGAAATCAACCAGCGTGCAAATGCAGCCAAAGATAGCTAGATCAGCAGATTTGTTGGCTGAAGACGACGAAAATGAATTGCCATACTCAGAACCTGCTGGCTTAAGAAAGCCAGCAAAACCAGGCATGAAAGATGACACTGGCAGCACCGTTCAAGAGAGAGTGCCAACTGACTTTTCAAAGAAGCCACGGCAGGACGGCAGAACAGAAATCCAGAAACCACCGTCGTCTTCAACCGAAAGATCCAGGCACGACGACCCAGATGCCGATGACAACTCGGACGGTGACGACGACGACGATGAACAGCGGCGCATCGACCGGGCAGGAGGAGATCGGCAGAAGAAGTTTGCGGCCGAGCCGCTGAAGGAACCGAGTCAGCAGGCGGACAGCAGGGGCACGGCTGCTTTCAAACCGATTGACGACACAGGTGCCGTGCCTTCGTCAGCCTCTGACGAAGAAGGTTGGCAGAGCAAGATGCCCACCGCACAATCACAAACCTCCTCCCTCGAGCGCACTGGTAAGAAGGGTCTCGAGCATGGTGGCATCTCTACAAGCCCGGATGTGGTGGTGACTCACGGGGAGGTGTTCTACATCTCGCAGTGGGCTGGTCCCCTTGTATGTGGAATTAAAGGTGTTTTGCCAAGGTGTCAAGGTGACAAGATCTTTCGAGCAACTGTTGATTGCAAAAACCCTCCGCTACTCTGACAATCATTCCCCCCTTTCACTTACAGATGAGTTCACCTTTCACCTGACTTTACTTGGTGCGCGATGTCGGGCATGTACCTTGCATGATTAGTTTTGTTTGGTCACATTGGTGAGTCTGGGGGGTTTTGAATGGTTTTTTGGGTGGGTTTGGTCCAAACTTGGGACAGTAGTGGCCACGCTGCTTTACTTCCCCGTAATTATCCTCTCTCACTTTAATATAAAGCCACATTTTATCATTCAAGAACTCTGAAGGGGAGCTCTATCGTAGCAATCAATATTAATGAATTTAAAGTAACTGAAGTTTAGGCAATTGATTGCACATTTGTTTAATGAAAATGCAACCGGTTGGTTGAGCGAGCGGCTCATAATCGGATTGATACAAATCCTAGCCGGGGGATGGCTCCACCCATCATCCCTCCTGGGGTCGATAAAATTCTCACTTCTTTGTTGGAAAGTCAACAATGGCTGTCCTATGGAAAGACTCACGCCTTTCATAGGAATGTGGAATTTCCATTAACTGGTGAATATGAGAAGCTAATTTGACAAAAAACAACATTATTTATTTACAATTAATTAATTGATTGATGCCCCCTTCTCTACATCCTTGTAAATGATTAATTTTAGTACAAAAATCTCCATTATCATCATCAATCATGTGGTAGAAACTCCCAAAAACATTCTTCAATACCATGCATATTTTTAAACATTTTGTCCCTTTCAATTTCTTCTCTGTTGCAGGTAAACCCAAGTCTTTGCAGTACCCATCAGACCCCTCTGCAAAGGCAAACATTCAGGCCTCGGATGGGCAGCAGAAAGGTAAGAGCCTTGATGCTACTGCTGAAAAAGCATCTGACTCGGCCTTTCCCCCTAAAGCAGACTCGCATAAAGATTCCACCAAATCGGGATCTCGTAAAAGTAGCAAGCACAGCGTGTCGTCCCCAACGGATGAGAGCAACTCGAGGGTCATGGACTGGCTGCTGCAGAGCGAGGACGTCCAACGGTACCAGATGTTTGTGCCAGGCCCGGTGATGGTGAAGGAAGAGCTTCCACAGGAGGCCCCAAAGAAGCCGCCTCGGCAGGTCGAATTGAAGACGCAAGACTCAAATGCCGAGGAGGAGGAGGAGCAGCTGAAAGTGGCAGCGGTAGCCGGTGTGCAGCAGACGCTTCCGCCCGGTGCCGCTGCCGCCGCCACCACCTCTGCCGCCGCCGCCACCAGGATGGGACCGAAGGGCCGTGATGTTGGTGACGGCCTGAGCCTGGAGAAGCAGAAGCCGGGAAAAAGGGACGTGGACGATTTTACCCGCTCAGATGTTGACGCTGCCGCAGATGAGGACGAGGATGTTTTCGCCAACAAGTCGTCCAGACGTTCAGCGGATGTGAAACGAAAGCTTGCACCTGATGCAGAGAAGGTACATCCTAAGGTCTGGGGTGATGGTGAGCTGACGATGGTAAAGGCAAAGGCTGGGGAAACCGACCCTGAACCAACATCTGTGGACCTTAAGACACACAGCAGGGATAGCCATCGTAATAAGCCTGTGGAGATGTTGGTGGATGTGAAACCAAAGCCTTTGCCTGGCAGCACTAAGATTGACGCTAAGAGCAAGGGCGATGATGATCTGACTGTGAAAACAGCAAAGTCTGGGAAAACCGACCCTGAACTTAAATCTACAGACTTGAATATACAGAGCAGGGATAGCGATCATAATAAGCCTGCGGAGTTGTTGGTGGATGTGAAATCAAAGGCTTTGCCTAGCAGCACGAAGATGGACACTAAGAGCAGGGGCGATGGTGATCTGACTGTGAAAAAAGCAAAGTCTGGGAAAACCGACCCTGAACTTAAATCTACAGACTTGAATATACGGAGCATGGATAGCGATCATAATAAGCCTGCGGAGTTGTTGGTGGATGTGAAATCAAAGGCTTCGCCTAGCAGCACTAAGATGGACACTAAGAGCAAGGGCGATGATGATCTGACTGTGAAAAAAGCAAAGTCTGGGAAAACCGACCCTGAACTTAAATCTACAGACTTGAATATACGGAGCATGGATAGCGATCATAATAAGACTGCGGAGTTGTTGGTGGATGTGAAATCAAAGGCTTCGCCTAGCAGCACTAAGATGGACACTAATAGCAAGGGCGATGATGATCTGACTGTGAAAACAGCGAAGGCTGGGAAAACTGATCGTGGTGAAGTTAAACCAAATGATATTGACACTGGTCCACAAGGTGGGGATAGTGATGGTAAGAAGTCGGCAGAGTTGTTGGTTGATGTGAAACAAAAGCCTTCGCCTGACAGCTCAAAGGTAGATGGCAAGAACCAGGGTGATGGTGATCTGACTGTGAAAAAATCAAAGTCTGGGAAAACCGACCCCGAACTTAAATCTACAGACTTGAATATACAGAACAGGGATAGCGATCATAATAAGCCTGCGGAGTTGTTGGTGGATGTGAAATCAAAGGCTTCGCCTAGCAGCACTAAGATGGACACTAAGAGCAGGGGTGATGGTGATGTGACTGTGAAAACAGCGAAGGCTGGGAAAACTGACCCTTTTGAACTTAAATTCACAGGCCTTCATGCACAGAACAGGGATAGTGATGGTAACAAACCGGCAGAATTGTTAGCAGATGTTAAACAAAAGCCTTCACCTGACGGTGTGAAGTTGGAAGCTAAGAACAAGGATGATGGTGTTCTGACTGCGAAAAAGACAAAGGTTGGGAAAACTGATGTTGGTAAAATTAAACCTAACCATGCTGAGACTGATGCACAACCTGGGGATAGTGATCATAGCATAAAGGACATCAAACACACAGGCCCATCTGATGATGTGAAAATGGGGCTCAAGAACAAACATGGAGATTCTAATGCCGAGAAGACGAAATTGGAAAAATCCAGAAAAAACGCCTCTGACAATTCTATGTTCATGGATGTTGACACATTCACACAGCCCGACGAAAGTACTGACGGTGAGCCAGCGGATGCTACCAATAAAAATAAATTTGTAATCTCATCAAGCAAGGCTGCATCTAGTGCAAAATTACATGGGGAGACCATTTTCCCGGACAAGCAGCGACTCAGTGTAAAGGATATGAAGGAACATTGGGAAAAGGCAAATCGCAGCGATAAGAGCAATATTACAACCGCAACAGCAGCAGGGTATGTGAAAGATCATTTAAATGCGTCCGATTCTGACGCGGCAATCAATGATGGGGCTGAAGAAAGTGGTGCAACTGCCAGTGTGGAAAAAAACGACGCTAAACTTTTTTCGCGTGAAAAGATCTCCCCTGAAAAATCTAGGATGAATATCGATGAAGCCGCGTACCAGGTTGAGCAATCAAAGCAGCCGAAGCCCAAGTGTAGTAGTGAGTCTGTTGACTTAAGCACACCAGCAAAGCACATGTCAGCTGGTGAGAAGGAAGGCGTAGAGCCTGGCAAAGAGAGTGGCCGGCCTGGCAGAGCATCGCTGCAGCGTCAGACGTCAAGCGAGAGCGAAGCGTCATCCGCGGGCGACGGACCCGATGGGAGTTTTAAAATATTTTCTGGAAGGCAGCGAATGAAAGATGGCTCACAGGAGCTGCATGGCCGTTCCACCAAATTCAAAGACCTCCACGATTTCTGGACGAAGGACACAAAAGAGAGGAAGAAGGTAAAGGGTGATTTGTATGACGAGGAGGATAGAAAACCGAAATCGCCAACTGGTGCTCCAAGTCCACAAAGCGTGGATTCCCCGGCGTCCATTAAATCGGCAACTAAATCCACCAACGGCACCGTCGAAGTGGGCAATGTTTCACCACAAAAAATGCACAAGCAGCCACCGGCCAGTGCTCTGGAATCAAAGGACCAGCGGGCCGAGCAAGGCAAACAGCAGAATTCCTCTTCGGACAGACCAGAGAGTGAGTCTGGACGACAGGGAGAACTTTCACGAGAGCCGAGCAAGTCGCAGAAGGAGGCCGAAAAGCAATTGGTTGAGAAAGCTGTGCCAGCTGAGCAAGAGACAAGTGTGTCACCTGATAAAACTCGTGTCAAATCGGGCCCTAGAACAAAAACAGAGTTGCCTGCCAAAGTCGGCGCAGAGTTGAGTTTGAAAAATGTTGTTTTGTCGCCCAACACAGATGAACGGCAAAGGCTTGAGGAACGGGCTCAAGAGCCTGGAGGAACAAGATCCAGGTGTTCAACTGAAGCCACAGAAAACCGTGGAATCTTCACAAACCACCACTGCGAACAGGGCAAAGACAGAAAAAAAACCCATGGCAAAGGAGCCTTCTGAGCGAGTGAGATTGCCATTCGGCACGGAGGCAAAGCCGGATGTCAAGGAACGGATTCAGGACCTTTTTGAATGTGACCCAGCCGATGACATTCCCGCAGAGCAAGAGAGATCTCGCAAAGCTTCAGAACCTGGCTCGGCCATCAAGAAGACGGTGAAGCAAACGAAACCGGCCAAGGGTGAGAGTTTTGAGAAAAAGAGTTTACCAGCAAATGATGAAAACCTTTTCGATTTCAACACGAGCGTGCAGCTGCCCGATGTTTCCTCGATCAAACCGCGTTCACAAACTTCTTCAGAACTTGAATCTCCCAAAGGGAAACCTGAGAGAGCAGAAAAGCCAGTGGCAAAGGACAACTTGGAGAAAGACTTGAAGCCAAGAAGAGTGGGCCCGCTTAGTTTTAAGACCAGGGTGCATCAGCGCGTGGAGACGAGTTCCAGCTCGCCGTCGAATCGAAGGCCAGTGCAGGGCGAAACAACTGGGGCACCAATTGCGGAGGAACCTACTCCGGTGAAAAAATTGGAGAAGCCCAGCAGGCTGATCGAAAAAGACCCATGGAAAAATGAAAGCCCCGAGGAGCTGCAGAGCTTTGAAGCACGTGGAAAGAAACTTGTTGAAAGCAATAAACTCGTTCCGGAGAAGCCTTTTGAGAGTTTGAAGATCCCGCTGGAAGTGGAGGCGCGACGGGAGTTTAAGATGAAGGTTCAGGAACTCGTTAAAAATGACCCGCCTGTTGTCGAACCTCGAAAAGAGAAGACTCCAGCGAAAGCGGTGGTAGAAAAGAAAAGAGTCCCACACCGAAAAGATGAGGATCTTCTTGATTTCGACAGCAGTGAGCAGGAGCCTGAAGAAGAACAGCCCACAGCAGCAGCCAGCCCTCCAACGCAAACTGAACCTCAGGACGTCCCCAATAAAACCAAGACGACAGATAAACCCATTTCAGAGAAGCCTTTTGAGAGTTTGAAGATCCCGCTGGAAGTGGAGGCGCGACGGGAGTTTAAGATGAAGGTACAGGAACTCATTAAAAATGACCCGCCCGTTGTCGAACCCCGAAAAGAGAAGACTCCAGCGAAAGCTGTGGTAGATAAGAAAAGAGTCCCACAGCGAAAAGATGAGGATCTTCTTGATTTTGACAGCAGTGAGCAGGAGCCTGAAGAAGAACAGCCCACAGTAGCAGTCAGCCCTCCAACGCAAACTGAACCGGAGGACGTCCCAAAAAAAGCCAAGATGACAGAAAAACCCGTTAAGGAGAAGCCTTTTGAGAGTTTGAAGATCCCGCTGGAAGTGGAGGCGCGACGGGAGTTTAAGATGAAGGTTCAGGAGCTCGTTAAAAATGACCCACCCGTTGTCGAACCTCGAAAAGAAAAGACTCCAGCGAAAGCGGTGGTAGAAAAGAAAAGAGTCCCACAGCGAAAAGATGAGGATCTTCTTGATTTCGACAGCAGTGAGCAGGAGCCCGAAAAAGAACAGCCCACAGTAGCTGCCAGCCCTCCAACGCAAACTGAACCTGAGGACGTCCCCAAGAAAGCCAAGACGACAGATAAACCCGTTAAGGAGAAGCCTTTTGAGAGTTTGAAGATCCCACTGGAAGTGGAGGCGCGACGGGAGTTTAAGATGAAGGTTCAGGAGCTCGTTAAAAATGACCCACCCGTTGTCGAACCTCGAAAAGAAAAGACTCCAGCGAAACCGGTGGTAGAAAAGAAAAGAGTCCCACAGCGAAAAGATGAGGATCTTCTTGATTTCGACAGCAGTGAGCAGGAGCCAGAAAAAGAACAGCCCACAGTAGCAGCCAGCCCTCCAACGCAAACTGAACCTGAGAACGTCCCCAAAAAAGCCAAGATGACAGATAAACCCGTTAAGGAGAAGCCTTTTGAGAGTTTGAAGATCCCGCTGGAAGTGGAGGCGCGACGGGAGTTTAAGATGAAGGTTCAGGAGCTCGTTAAAAATGACCCACCCGTTGTCAAACCTCGAAAAGAAAAGACTCCAGCGAAACCGGTGGTAGAAAAGAAAAGAGTCCCACAGCGAAAAGATGAGGATCTTCTTGATTTCGACAGCAGTGAGCAGGAGCCAGAAAAAGAACAGCCCACAGTAGCAGCCAGCCCTCCAACGCAAACTGAACCTGAGAACGTCCCCAAAAAAGCCAATATGACAGAAAAACCCGTTAAGGAGAAGCCTTTTGAGAGTCTGAAGATCCCGCTGGAAGTGGAGGCGCGACGGGAGTTTAAAATGAAGGTTCAGGAGCTCGTTAAAAATGACCCGCCTGTTGTCGAACCCCGAAAAGAGAAGACTCCAGCGAAACCAGTGGTAGAAAAGAAACGAGTCCCACAGCGAAAAGACGAGGATGTTCTTGATTTTGACAGCAGTGAGCAGGAGCCTGAAGAAGAAAAGCCCACAGCAGCAGCCAGCCCTCCAACGCAAACTGAACCTCAGGACATCCCCAAGAAAGCCAAGACGACAGATAAACCCGTTCCGGAGAAGCCTTTTGAGAGTTTTAAGATCCCGCTGGAAGTTGAGGCGCGACGGGAGTTTAAGATGAAGGTTCAGGAGCTCGTTAAAAATGACCCGCCTGTTGTCGAACCCCGAAAAGAGAAGACTCCAGCGAAACCGGTGGTCGATAAGAAACGAGTCCCACAGCGAAAAGACGAGGATATTCTTGATTTCGACAGCAGTGAGCAGGAGCCCGAAGAAGAACAGCCCACAGGATCAGCCAGCCCTCCAACGCAAGTTAAAGATGTTCTAAAAGACAGTGATAATACCTACAATAAGAAACATCCTGACAGACCGCAGGACTTGAATAAGAGAGATCCATTTGCAGAAGCTGAACAAGAGGTCGAATTGGAGCAGTCGCATTCTCCTCCGGTCGAGGCATCTGATCTATTTTTGAAAATGAAAGACTTACCGAAGGGTCGAAGGTTACCAGACAAGACCAGACAAGATCCAGAGGACGATTCAGAAAAGCATAACATCCAGTTATTAAAGGGCAGGCCACATGAGTTGACACGCATAAATTCTGATGACGATTCATTCGAGAAACCTTCCAAAATCCAGTCCAAAGATGTCCGCGAAGCACCGCCTCAGCCTCCACGCAGACCCGTGGAGAAAAGAAAGGAGAAGGCAGCCATACCACCAAAAAGTTCAGATGAGGAGTCGCTTCCTCAACGTGCCAAGGAGCAGGTGAAGCACGGTCACAAGGCAGCCGATCCTCACGCGTTGAGCGAAGAGGACAAAGAACCGCCCTCCCCGGTCCCGGAAAAGCGGCGACCGAAGGAACCATCTTCTGCGGACGTTACGGTAGCTCCGAATCGGCCACAAGGCCGTCAAAAGAGCCTGCCAGAGACCACTGATCAGGAGGCCACGTGGTCGGACGATCCTGAGGTTGGACAAATGAGCCGTAAGGAAGAAGCGGGTTCCGCCAATGCCGAGCTTTCCCAGTCGACTCCAGCAATCTACGCAGAAATAAATCCTGCGGAAAAAGCGTCTTCAAAGAAACGACCCCACATGGAACTCATGAGCAAGCAAAGTAAAGAGAACATTTATGAAGATCCACAGGGGGAGGATGATGATGAAGTGCCCTCTTTGCCTCCAAGACAAGGCAAATTAGCAGGAAGGAACCCAAGTCTGGATGTAAAAGAAGGTTGGTAATGTCAGAGTACTTTACTTATTTCAAACTCATGCTGCGGTACTTTGAACCATTGCTGTAGCTAGAGATCCTGATTAATCATAACGAGCCGAAGTGTAAAAATGCTTGCCAACTCATTGCTTTTAGATGAAATCATGAACTGATTCGTGTTTTTTTTTTCTCTTTCAGCACCAATTGCATTTATATTGAATATTTTGAGTGAAAATTTTCGATGCCAAATTGCTTCTCACTCATTATCTGTTTCCTCCCTCTCGCCCTCCCCCCTTGAGTCGTCACATCGAATCGTATTTGTGACCACCACAACGGCTTGAGGCACCAGCTTGAGTTTCTTTATTTCTTGCCATATTTGAGGGATAATAACAAAATGACAATTAATATTGTTGACAGGTCTCAACCATTCACAAGGCATAGCTGTATGTTGATTAACTATGAATAACCCAACCAATAATAGATATCCATTTTCATTTATATGCATACATTAACCCCCGCCCCCCCCCGCCCCCCCCCCCCTGGTATTCGCACCTGATTAGCTCATAAGTGACGATGTAATATGTAACTCTACACTTAAGATTGAAACAGGATTTCTCCACAACTCTGGATGTCGCCTGATGAGGCTGCTTGAAATTGCCGGCGAAACGTCGTATAGGCAAACCTCGGTTTACGCGCAATTTTGGAATACCGCGGCGCTTTGTATGACATACGCGATGGACGCCACCCCTAGCCTCAAACCGTGGCCCAATGGCGTTGTCAGTAGCCATTGCGGTACGATAACTGGTGTGATACACCTTGCGACGTATACACCGGAGGCCTTGCCCTTGGTCTCCACAACGCAACTCCGGCGTAGTTACAAAGTGCAGGGAACTAAATGAAGAAGAAACGTTACACGGAGCTGCTAAAGATTTGTAAAATATAAAGCGCACAGGGGGTGCTGAGAGAAATTAGAAAGAGAACCGGTTGTGAAGGGATAATTAAGAACACAGGTGGCCGGATGTCTAACATTCGTAGAGGAAGGGGCACAGGTGGTAAAGGGATGATTAATGAGAGGGCACTGTAGCAAGAGAACACAGGTGGTGAAGAACGAAGGACCGAGAGGGAGATATAGGCTCGGATAATATAGGCGATTGTGTCTGTAAGTGTGAGTGAAATCCCCTAACCTCCTCCTTTACATTATTCTTATGGGAAAATAGCTTTTTGACATACACACTTTTCCAGGAACGCATCTATCGTGCATGTCAAGGAGTGCCTAAACTCGAATGATAAATTCTAGATTTTAAATTCTAAATTTTTATTTTTTACCTACGTGACTTTACCGAAAAAAACCTAAGAATATTGAATGATAAATATTGTGGGTTTACTCTCCCACGCACCAGTATTCTGAACTAGTAACGAATTGGCATGTTCTGTTTACGTGACACATCTTACTAATTGGCTGTGTCAGGTGGTGGCGCGTTTAACGACACACATTTATATTTACGCGATCTAACCCAGAACACCTCTATTAAGGAATAACCGTTTACCGTTTGACAGTTCAGAAAGGGTTTATTGTAAGGTGACTTACTTGCTCAGGCAGAATGCACTATCAATAGTCTTGACAAGTCTGCAAGCAAGCCAAAACAAACGCAATGGGGCAGTGAAGGCAACATTCTATTTTAATCGCAACGCTTGACAAAACACATTGACGGTGCAGGGCTTCTCGATGCAAACCAATGCTTTGCTTCTTATTTCGTCGATGGTTTGCCAAAAACAAAGGGGAGGGGGGAGAAGTTGTATTTAATCGCATGTGAAAGCCGATGAGATGGCTTGGCCAAATTGGCCGAAACACCAACGGGATATTATTGTTAGCCTCGGAAACGTTCATTTTGGAATTACCGAATGTGTAACATGCACATGACTGACTTTTCTTATTTCCCTAGGACCAATGGAAGTCACGTACTGAATGGATGTGTTCATTGTGTACTGCCCTATTGAGGCCTGGAATTGATCACCCAGAAACACCCTTGTTAAACATTGCATTGAAGAAATCTATTTCTTTTTTAAACCGTACCTTATTGACAACTATAAATCATTTCCCCCCCCCCCCCCAGCTCTCGTCGCACTAAACACGCTCACACGAGTGCCACCTTCGCCCCCCCCCCCCCCGCCCGTCACTTTTGTTGTTCCGACAAAAAAAAACGTGTGCGCCGCAAACGAGAAGGAAGACCTCTGCGGTGTTAAGATAATAATGCGTGCATGTGATAGGTGGTCTGAAATTAAGAGGGTGGTTTTGCTGGTGATCAGGGGACTTTATTATAAGATTGGTCTGTGTATATTGAAAACAACTGGGGTGGTCCCTGCTTCAGTCCCTTAACGAGAGCACAAAGGACGACTCTACCTTTTAATTTGACGGACGGAGACACTTTGGGCCTCTTGATTCTTATCTTGACAAAGTGGCTGAAAATCCACATTTGCCTTGGCAAGGATCTCTGCCCCCAGTGTATTTGGTTTTGGAAACGTGGGCCCAATTTCACAAGGCGATGAGGAAGAAAACAATTATAAATTGATAATTTAACTGATTTGTTTACAGTTTAATTGAAATTGGTGACAAAAACATATCTTAAAGAGGCATTTAAACTTTTTCTCCCAGTGGTGTATTAAAATTCTGATTAACTTCCTTGTGCCATTTAACCAATTTCAATAACTGTACTAAAGTACAAACCAAAAATTGTCGATAATAAATAAAATTAACCAACTCTCTCCGATGGGTCTTCGGGTCGTACCGCGTGTTGTTCGGCACGATGTCTGACGTTTTGCACCGCATGCCGGGAGCTTCTTCAGGGACTGAATCGTCAGACTTTGCACCGAAAACAACACTGCAGTACCCACCCCCGACCCCAAAACAATATATATATATCAAGAGAGCTACGTAGGGCAACCGCAACGACATGTATTTGTAGTCGTATGGAAATTCGATTTTAAAACGAACAAAACTTTTGATAACTGGTCCTGGTTGAATGCGGTAGCACTGAAGCTGGGTGTGCTGGTGGTTTTAGGCTGTGCATGCAGGTGGGGGCCTGGGCTGGACATGGGCCGTCTTCGGTGGTGAAGGCCGCGTGTTTTAAATGATGCCTCGCAACAAGGATGAGAGAGAAATATCCAACTCCTGCGCTTGTTCAGAACACTTTGCGGTCGCTTCACAAAGGGGGGGGGGAAATGCGTGCGTGTTTTTTTGTTTTCTTAGTAGTGGCAAGAAGCGCTGTGTCGCCGCAAGTCGAGAGATGGCTGGAGGATGCCACCGCAGGTACTACAGCCAATTGCCAGTCGCCTAAGCTCTCCCCCGTTACGCACGCGACTCTTCGCTCCGACAACTAATACCAGCTTTGGTTGTGTGAAGCTGGGGAACACTTGGAAAGGCTTTTTGTTTTTTGCAGCAGGAATTGTAATGCGCGTAGACTTTTCTCTGCGCACGTGAGAGCGGAAGAGCAAAACTGATGATTGTTTTCAAAGTACTGTAAGCTGTTTTGGTCACATTTGTTGTGGAACTTTTGCATACGAGGGTTGTGTGGTATTTGATGGTACAGAAGATGCTGCCCTTTGTGTAAATGGTTAGGACACTCGACTTGCAATCTAGAGACCGCTGGTTTCGATTTTCCCAGTACAGATGTACCCTGATGTACGTTAATTCTGTTTCCGACGATTCGTTATGATGCTCGTCATAGATTAACACTTTCTTACGGTTTCCGTCTCTCTTTTAGTAATTACGTTGTTATTTTTTTCTCATTGGCATGTTTTGTTCACGTGACAAACGACGCGTTTATATTTACGCGATCTGACCCAAACACCTCTCACGAGTAAATAGTAAGCCATGTAAGCTGAACAGCAGCTCTCCAGAGCAACCTTGAGGCGGGGGTGGGGGAGGAAGCCCTTTCACCAGCAGTGGCACGAGTCGGCATTTTGCAGGGCTGCCCGCATGTAGACAGGCGACCTTGTACGTAACATCATTGCGCAACGGTTGTGTTTGCGGATCCAGTTTTTTGTTTCTTCCGCCGATTGCTGCACCCCTTTGTCGTTTGCAGCAGCTACGCTCCCAGCGGCCGTGAGGTCCGCGAGGGCGGGGGAGCTCACGGACGCGGAGAGGAAAAAGCAGATGAGCAGATCGGTGCCGGTTCTCACCGTGTCCGGGGTAAGCGAGGCTGGCAAGCATCGACGATCGGCTGTACCCCCCCTCCCATCCTCCTCCCTCCCACCCTACCACCTTCCTCTGCATGTATGGGATTTTCTCCGGGTGCTCCGGTTCTCTCCCATGCGTAAAGCACTCCTGAAAGAGCAGTCAGACTACCCTGCAGAGAGGGGGCTCCCTCCGCCATGTGTATGCAGATGTTGAGGAGTGGAGTGCTGACGTCAGGTCACACTCGCTTCGGGGGGGAATGCCGTCAAGGAAAAGTGACGTCATGCCCCCCGGGGTATTTGAGGGGAGACCCGTGACGTAGACGGGGTCTTCGCCGTGAGCCAGAAGAATGAGTGTTAGGGGAGTAGGGGGCTCCGGGATAGAGGGTTGAGAGCCAGGCTGAAGGGGCTGCTTTACCCGGCTGGCCGAGTTGGCTGAACCCTCGGTCAGTGCTGTGGTAAGAGCCTGATAGCCTGGTGGGGTGTAGGGAACTCCCAGTACCCCTTCCCCTGGGGAGATTAGTTAATAACTGTGTGTTAACTCCTTCCCCCGAGTTAGGCGCAAGCCCTTAAATAAAGAGTTGGCGTCAGCCCCTACACGACTGGCTTCAGCGTCCTTCTTACCACACAACACATACGTTGAATTTCCTTGCGCACCGCACGTGGCCGACCGTGCTCATCGGAAGTGCCGGGGAAGGACGACAGACTAAACGCAAAAAGCAGTTCTATGAAGAAATGAGGTCTCAATCTCGATAATTTCACAGTGCACCGCTCCAGCGGCTGCCTAATATCGGAAGGCAGAACGTTCCAGACGGCCGCGGAAGCGCATCGGAGAGCGCGCGATGCGGTGACCGTCTTTGTTCGACGGCCGGCCGTAAAGAGTGGAGGCCCTTTCTGCCAGCGGTGGCATGAGAAAAAAGTTGCGGTGCTGCACCTTTACCATTTAACTGCAAAAACGACGTGTCACAATAAATGTTGTACAGCTGCTGCTTCAGTAAAATTATGCAATGAATAGGTACATTAGAATGAATAACGTTTTTTTTATTTTTACCGTCAAGGACTGCCATAGAGATGTAAGAAAGATGTCAGCGTTTTGGCTGACTGACCTTTACATATTTGCGTAAAAAATGTTTGCCATTCGACTAATATGTTGATCCTACCTCTTGGTGGCGGGGGAAAAAAAAATCCGTCAATATTTCTAATTGACCCGTTATACAATTAATAGCATATCTACTTAATGAGTAACTTCACATAGGGACAAACATATATATATATATACATATTGTGTCGTGTACTTATCTGCTTACACGACCATCTCGGCTGTAAAGCTAGTGTGGGGGACAAGTTAAATCACTGATTGGGGGGGGGGGTTGACTCTGCCCATCATCCCTTCGGGGGTGATAAAGATGAGCACCACTTTGGGGTGGGTGGGGGGGGTCAGCGGTGGTTGTCCTGTGCATCGACTCACCCATGCCATAGGAACGTGGAGTTTCCATCACTGCCTGTGCAGGGCTGTAAATGAGAGATGCGCACCCACACCTCAATGCTCATTTGAGGAGGGGAAATCCCTTGTCCTTTCGTCACGTAAGTGGCGTAACAATTCATCTTCTTGGTTCTTTCGGTAAAGTCACGTAGAATGGAAATAATGAAATAATAACAATAAAAATAATAAAATAATTCTCACGACGTTTCGGCCACAACACAAGCAGCCGTCCTCAGGTGGAGAGCAGGTCTGTCGAGTAGACAAAGTCAGAGTCAGACTCTGTCTACTCGACAGACCTGCTCTCCACCTGAGGACGGCTGCTTGCGTTGTGGCCGAAACGTCGTGAGAATTATTTTATTATGTTTTATTTTTATTATTTCATTATTTCCATTCTACGTGACTTTACCGAAAGAACCAAGAAGATGAATCCCTGCAGTCACGAAAGCTTTAAATCGAAATTTGGCGTAACAATTGTTTGCGTCTTGCCTTCAAGTAATCGAGGTGGACTCGCCTCTCTCGTCTTCGCAAACTGCAGTCGCCCCCTGCTCGCAACATCCTTCTCTCCGCAGCGCGCCGCAGTGGCATCAAAAGGGCAGGGCCTCGTGCTTGCTCGCGGACCTTGTTAGCGATCCCACGAGACTTCACAGAGGAGCGAGTCAGAATACCACCGCTGCCGCAGTCAAATTAGCCAGCCATGATAACGAGGGGGGGGGGGGGCAGTGTGTTCCAAAAGCAGCAAGAACAACAAATCCGATGTCTCACTCTCTCTCTCCAAATAGACTGCGTGAAGCCTAATGTGAACCCTCTCCCTCTTGTTACGGCTTTTCATATACAACAAGGAGGTCTCTCTCGTAATCAACGTGCGTCTGTGTGTGTGCGCGCGACTTAATGGAGCTACCCCGTGTAAAGATGTTTTACTCGAGCACTGTGTTGTTGGGGGGGGTGGCTGTGGGACATTACATTTGGTCAGGGATTCATTTCAACCAGGGGTCAGTCTGGGTAGACAACCCGGAAAAAAAATGTACGCGCACCAGCCCACCACGTCCATTAGACCTCTCCCTGTGGCTGGGGCTCTTAGCTGCGTGCCACGTGCTGCAGTCCACCAGCGACCTGGAACATATTCGGTAAGAAAACGATTAATCGATTTTAAAATGGGGTTGTACGCTCGTGATTACGCATGGTAAAATCGTGCCGTTGAGCGTCAATTTAGTCCCACTTTTTATGCTAATTCCACGCACGTGGTAAGCGAATGCCTGCGGTCCGATCGCCCAGACTGCGCTCGATCTCATCATCGCATCTTAGAAGCTAAGTGGGTTTGTGCCCGGATAGTGCTCGGATGGGTGACCATCATTCGTAAAACAGGTCGTTATGGGCTGCCGCGGTGCTACGCTATGGGTAGCAGATATTGGTGCAGCAATATCCCTCGTTATCCCTTACTCTACTACAATTCTGTTCCCTACCTTTGCTAGCACCCTCCAGCGTAGTGAAGTGCGGTTAGATCACCCTCGCGACCCACACGGCATGGGCGAGAGGCCCTCATCCAGCAGTGGATTGACACAATTACAAATAACTAATTCAGTTTTATACCAAGGCAGGGCAAGTGAACCCCAGTAAAATCAATTTTCAGCAATTGCAACCCCGGTAATTTCTGGACACCTCGGGCAGCCCGAGTGTGCCGCGAACACGCAAGGCCTTCGTGGAGCGAGCCTCTTGAGCGTGACGAACCTTCCCAGTGTCCGAGCCTCCGTGTACTCCCACCCCCACCACCCCCTTCTCCCCGCGCTCGGGAGGGAGAGCGGCCGGCCGGTTTGCGACGCCGAAAGTTGACGTAATTATTCCCAACGCAACATAGGTTTGTTCCAAACAGAAATTAGTATGCAGAGGTGAAACGTGTTAGGGGTCAATTCATTCAGGGGGGGGGGGGGGGGGTCACGACATCTGGACCGCCCGGTACGTACGTTGACCTTTTATCGCACCGTACGTAGCCAACCTTACTAATCGGAGGGGAGGTGGGGGGGAGGACAACGAACTTAACGGTGGAAAAAAGGCAAATGCAACCATTGGACGCACGGGCACGTCTGAGAAGTGCGCGCAGAGTGCTGTCGCAGCAGCAGCAGCAAACCGGTGGCGTGGAAGGAGGAGGAATTCGTGTTTTTTCTCACAATTAAAATGGAGGCATTCGAGTTGCTTTGAAAATATTTACACGAGGAAAATGCCCTGCAGTTTAACACTTTTATCCGCAGCGGCAAATATTTGGTTGCGTTGTGATATAAACCCCTTTGCTTTGATGCGCCGGATAAAAAATATTTCTGCCTCCGTTGGTGTATGTGCACGCGCGTGTGTGTGTGTGTGTGTGTGCGCGTGTGTGTGTGCGCGCGTGCGCCTGTTTTTTTTTTCTTCTTTTGGCGAGCCAAGAGAGTTGTCATTCCTGCTTTCATGGAGCACTGCAAAATTAAATATTTATAAAGAGGGGTGTTTCTCTTCATGTGCAGCGCGCTCACTCTTGAGGAATTTGCAGGCAACTTTTTCTCCCCTCTGCAAGGCGCAATAACGTTCGCGAGTTAATTGTTTCGGACGATCAATATATTTATATACGGTCCCGTTGCGAGCTAACGACTCCCGCGCGGTGGTAAAGCCTGCGCAGTATATACCTGCGTATCGGGGAAAAAACAAAAACGGAATGGCTTGCTTGCTTGCTCACTTCACCCATCAGGGCTATTGAACAATGCCCTGTGTGTGCGCGTGTGTTGCAGGAGGAAGGTGAACAAGGAATAGATATTGATTCGGAAGACAGTGGCTCCTTCAAGCTGAGAAGAGCTCCCAGTGATATCAGCTCTGTGAGTGATGCAGAAATATCAAATTAAAATGAATGCCCTGTGGAAAAGCCGGGAAGGGGCGGCACTGTTGATTTGCGTTGTAGCGGTTGTTGTTACCGCCACCCACTCCCGCTGCCACCACCCTTTTACAATATTTACTGTTTACCGGGAGGTTTAATCAGTGTTTGCGTATCGGGTGTTCGATGTTAGCATGGTTAAGGCACGTATTTAAAGCATCGTATTTAATACCCGTGGATTATTATGCTCGGTGTGTAAGTACCCACGGATGTTTACAGAAAACGAGCAAAAATGTAATTGTACGCATCTCTGGGATTCGTGAACCTTTTGTGCGCAATTGTGTAGCAGCGGCCCTTTATTGTTTGCTTCGGGGTTATCGTGCAGGGCTGCACCGCCTGCTCCTATCAGCGAGCGATGGCAGCTGTGGCGAAGCGGATACAATGGCACGCACGCGCGCACCGCCGCTGGCATGGCATGCGTGCAGCGCCAAAAACCGCTGCGAAAAATCCAGAGCCGATAAATTATTTTGCGCTGCAATTCAATCGCAAATTGACTCCGTAATTAAAATCGACCAACGGGCGCGATATAACCGCACCACTTATTATCACTGCCGCCGTCACCGTTGTGATTATTATTATTATTGCTGTTGACGACGATGCTGACGATGATGATGATGTTGACGCAACTAGATCAGCGGAAGCATGATGAGCCTGTACAGCGACGCCGGGGACTACGGAAACGTGGACGTTAAGGGGGAGGTGAACTTCGCCCTCAAGTACGACGACCGCCGCAGCGAGCTGCATGTCTGCGTGGCACAGTGCCGGGACCTGGCGGCCGCTGTCGCGAAGAAGGGGCGCTCGGACCCGTACGTAACCGCGCATGCCCGACACGAGTTGGCGAGTGGGGGCGGTGTGAGTGGGGGGGTTTGGGGATGTTGGGGGGGGGGGGGGCCGATCTCACACTGCGGGCACGCTGTGACGGCACGCTCCGTGCCGCGGTTTATGGCGCGGGGAGCGAGGGTGGCGGAGGGGGACGGTGAAGGTTAACGTGCCGGTGCTACGATCCCGGCGAGCCACTTTTTTTGACTTGGCAGATAGAGCTGCTGTGGCGTGAACGACCCTCGAGTTTTTGCGAAGCATCCGGCGAGGGGCCTTGGTCGCTCAAAGGGATCTCTGCTCTGTGACGCAGGGTCGAGGGCACTCCGCGAGAGTTCCAAAGGGATTCTTCGTCTCGTGGTGCCATGCCAATCGCGTGGTCAGGATAACGTGGAGGGTGGGCAGTGGGGGGGGGAAAACAACATTATGAACGAGTTTTTTTTTTGCAAACGGTGTAAAATGACATCTGGTGGGTAAGCTGGAGTGTGCAGATTTATGGACTAATATATCAGTGTTTGAGACCAAAGTGTTTGGCCATGTTTGGGGCTGGTCCCATCAATCCATCACGTTCCATGCATGCCGCAGTACACTCTCGCTAACAGCGATTGGCCCCAGGGTAATGACGATGCTAGCCGGAGAAAAATAGCATTTGAGTGCCTGTGCAGAGCAGCTATGAGACATTACATACCATACGGATGATGCATTCCATGCCACAACATATGCAAATGTGCACGTAAACAAGGTGATTTGTGCCTTATATATTTCAACTCCGCATATTGCAAACACTAGCTTTGTGTGGGTGTGTCCTTTAATTATGCATAGCACCGCGTAATATCTGCACGACAACGATGCGCATTTATTCATCGCATATGCGCGAGCATGTTTCCACAAAACGCCGCTCTGCTCAAGTCCTCCTCCGTTAACTATTTACACGTTGCGTGCAAATGCACTCGCGGGAAAAAAAAAAAAAGCGAGAGGATGCCTGCTAATGGACACACAGATAACCCTAATGCCGTACGAAGATAAATAATTACAAGTGCTGCGGTGAGTGAGCGTGTGGTGGTGGGGGGGGGGGCAGGAAAAAATAGAAGCGATTCGACCGTAACGTTGCACGAAAATTTGCACGATTCGCGAGAGAGAGAGAGACCAGGGCCGTGCGGAATAGGCTTAAGCCAAACTGGTTGGCGTTTAATTGACTCGATTAATTATATCCGCGTCCGTGGCTGGGCATGAGACTCGCAATGGGCAAACTCGCAATAAAGAGGACGGAGAAATATCAGACTTATTTTATGAAGGCAAACGTTGCGTTGGGTTCTCCCGAGTCAAAAGGGCACGGTGCCCCGCGTGCGAATGAGCTTCTGTAATGAGCCCGAGAAACCACTCCCCCCACCCCCCACCCCCACCCACTTAGCACATCAATTCGGAGAGAAAGTGGCTTTCTTGGGTTGTACCTGTCTCAGAAATGCCAAGTGGCGGAGGCCTTAAAAAGGCCACCGTGGGCAATGAACCAGAAGGTGAAAGAAAGCGGGGCAAGAAGGCCCTCCCCCCCCCCCCACCACTCCACCGTGTAGATGGGGGCACGAAACACAAAAAAAGCGTGTAACGGATTTAATGAAATTTAGTTTTTTGTCTTCTGGCACGATTGCGAGCGAACGTTTTAACGGGAGTAATAAGCGCGTGACAGTCGGGATGTTATATTTTGTTCTCATTGAAGCTGGCTTTGGTCTCGTCGGCTGCCGACGAGCGGCAATGCGTTGACAAAAGGTCTTGCACGGCTGTAAAACGCGTCTGGGGATTATGAGGCCCCGGTGCGTGCACGAACGTAAATTCCAAGTTCGCACAGAAGACCCGTGGACCTGAACCGTTGACAGTGCACCAGATGGAGAGAAATGTGAGACAGGGTCTCAGTTTTGATGTTGGCAAGAGTGCCAGCCAGTGGATGTTTCACAAAATGTGATCCACGTCCCGCTAATCTTTAAACGCCAGGCTGGCACACACTGCTTTGTTAACGACTCCAACGGTAATAATTTACTTACCATTAATTTATTCCTAATATGCACAAGTGGGAGCTGATATATGCATTTATTAGCTTGCGCTGCATACGTTTAGCATACATTGCATGCACGGTTCATAAATTTGTGGCATTTATTCTCCATTCTTTGTCCAGTGGAGTATATATTTACATGCATTTGCATGTTTACACCACCTTAATAGATCATCACATACGCACGCCTAATTGCCATCAGTGTTTAATGTACCCCAGTGTAAAACACACAGACACGCAAAGAACGGTGTGTGTATTAATCGTTCCCTAAGCCTCAGCACGGGCAAATGATTGTAGGTGCTCGTCATGACTCTGTGCAGTGTCAGATGCTGAAGAAGAAAGGAATGAGCTTCGTATTTGACAGAGGCTGTTTCTGTAAAATAATCTATATATATGTAAAAGGAAAATTTGTAAATATGTGTGTCTGTTCGAAATGTTTAGCATACTTTCCAACATGCTACAAACTTGAAATTTGACATGTGGGTAGCTTCCAGACTGTACACAATGGAAAAAGTATAAAAATAGACTTTTGTATTTTTTTTTTGGGGGGGGGGAGCGCAATAATGGATGTAATATATTGCACGGCAAGTGAGCGGTGACGTCACACCTGTGATGTCACCCGCATGCGGCAGCGTCACACAGTGTGCCTGCTGACGTCACGCATCCCCCCACCCCCTCCGCGTAGGCCGTGCATTAATCAAAGACAAGAATCCCGGGCGAAGCCGGGTAGTAAAGCTAGTTCATTTATATATGCATGTCTTAGTGGGGTTCTGCACAATGAGAAACACCTGCCGTAGAACACAACTTTAAGCACATGCCTTACGAACACAATGCTCTCCGACGCACGACGAGCAACACACTCCTTGCTGACGCAGCGCACACTGATACACACCTCCGATTGGCTCAATGTGCATACGCTGCGTGCCTTAACAACGTCGCGCGGACGAGAGGCGTGCACGTGTGACCTCTCTTTGCGTTGTGGCCGCGGTGACCTCTTTGTGTTGTGGCCGCGGTGACCTCTCTTTGTGTTGTGGCCGTGGTGACCTTGGTTGCCCTCTTTGGGCTGGAGGGAAAGTGGGGGGCACGGGGACCATGGGGACCCAGTGGTCTTGATTATCGGGGGAGGAGGGGGGCCTGTGCCATACCAACCACTAGCCCCTCAGGCGATGGGCGCGTATGATAGTTAAGTTGAGAGACTTCTCCGGTACCTGTCGTGTGCCCGACGTGGGCAAAGGAGTTCGTTTGGAGCGAGCGCCGCGTGACGCCTCCTTCCCCCGCCCTCCCGCGCAGGTATGTGAAGACGTACCTCCTGCCAGACAAGTCCAGGCAGAGCAAGAAAAAAACGAACGTGCGCAAAAACAACCTCAACCCCGTTTACAACGAGATCCTCAAGGTGAGGACGCGGGCGTTCGCAGCGCCAGCCGCGTTGCGTCCCCCGCCCGTCCGTCCCGTGCCTGATCCGTCTCCGCGTGTCCCCAGAGCCCCGTTTGTTGTCCTGGTACGGAGCGGCGTTCTTCTCGGTGTGCCCCCTCGGCGATTCGAGACGTGCATTTGTCGTAATATTTATTTGTACCGGAGGAATCTGATGAGCTGCAAAGTAATTTTTCGCAGATGTCCAGGATGGGGGGGGGGGGGTCTCAGAGTGTTGTTCCCCGGCGGTCCTCCAGGCAGTCAGCGGGGCTGTGATGCTAACGCAGCTGGATCCGGACAATAGCGACGTTTTATTATCCCTTCTGTTTCGAAAATTCATATTTGACTTATGATGGTTTTTTTTTCAGTTGGGTAAACGACCGTGATTAAACTACCCTAACTATGATTAAACTACCCTAACATCTAATGCCTCCTCCCCCCTCTGCCCCCCTCCCCAAAGCAAAAAAAACCTTCTAGTTGCGTTAACATTTTGTTTTTTTTATGTTCCAGTAATATGACTCATTTAGAATGAGTGGCATTTAGAGAGATCAGTAAATGTGTTTCATTACCAGCGGTGGGGGGTCTGGCTTGTACGTGGAAACGTTTGCATCGCCTGAGTGGTCCGCGGGCCGAAAACTAGTTTGACAAACACTGGTTTAGAGTGTTTTGGCTGCTGCTATAAATTTCCTACACGATAAGCCACTTGGTTGAGTTGTCATTTGTGGCCTGGTCGCTTCTAAAAAAAAAGAGCTACACTGCTCACGTGGGGCTTACCTGGAAAAGTGTCGTCTCCACGTGACAACATTTGCATAGCACATACCTGCAATGAAGGTTCCGGAATGGATTATTCACTCGCACTACCCTAGAAGGGGACAAAAAATACCCTTCTTCATGGCACAAAGGGCACATCTTAATTGACTGCCATGTGCTATGGAGAAGGGCCATTACCTGAAACGTCACCTATTACGTTTCCTTTGACGGCCATGGCGTTATTAGCGAACTCGAGTTCAATTTTACTCGTGCCTCTTTGGCCCCCCACTGCCAACGGAAGACAAGTTGGCAACTAAAGCTTGTCATCCTTCTACATTCCTCCGTCTCGTTTTGATACGAGCACATGCACACCCTCAGAACGCAGCCGAGCGAATGGGCACCGCCGAAGAGATGGAGCGTTTGGATCGGCTCGTGCGCGGGTGCTGTGTGGATTATTATATCGCAGTGTTCGTGAGATATGGCAGCAGATGGAGGAGGCCTTCGTCCAGCAGTGGAATAACCACGTCTGACGGCGACGATTATGATCTCTCAATCTAGTAGTGCAGCAAAACCACATTGTTGTACTATACTTTAATGTTGCCTCGTGAATGCTGCCTACCTTCGCCAAACCCACACTGACCAGCGTGGTGAAGTATGGCCATACAGTACCTATGACTGTCACGGCACGGGGAGGCCTTCGTGCAGCAGCAGATTGACAGAAAGCTGCACATTTTAATATTATGCCCACATAGTTAATCGATGGGCCCAGAGCGGAGATTATTTTTTGATACAGCATCGTATTCTCGGTCGCCAAACCTACCAGTGTGGCCGACCGTTCACTCGCAACAACTCCTGCGATCCAAAGCGCGGCCCTCATCCAGAAGTGAATCAACATGGGGGGGTTGTACACGCACGGACGTAACATGGCTGTCATGGCAACGCGGTACCGGTGGTTGTGTAAGAAATACTTTCATTTTCGTGGAGAGAGGTAATGATTGTTTGCTATTTATAACGTTTATTCTCCACAACGATGCTGATGATTATGTTGCGTTGTCTATTGCTACACAAATTGCGTTGAACTGTGACCCAGTAGCTTAAGGGGAGGAGAGAGGGTCCTTGCCCGTAAAATTGGTGGATCACCAGCATTGATGCAAGCGAGCAAACAGGCCCTGACTGCTGATGAGATGCTGTGTGTCGCAGCCGGTCCAGAGTTTACTTTTCTTGAAACGATTCTGCTGAATGTCCACTACAACAGTCCCTGAAGCAGCCGTGTGCCAGCTGGTTGGTTGTGTAAGAAACACTTGTTTTATCTGTCGACGCGGAGAGGCGGATATGCAAAGGAGGAGTCGTATTGTCTGCTTATTTATTCGCTCATGCCATTGTTGCGCTTGCGTTTTAACGCTGTTGGCGTGGGCGTATGCATGCGCGTGTGCAGTACAAGATTCCGGCGCGCGAGTTGCAGTCTCGCGTGCTCAACCTGTCCGTGTGGCACAATGACAAGTTCGGAAAGAACAGCTTCCTGGGCGAGGTGGAGATGGAGCTGTCCACCTGGGACTGGGGAAACACCGCCTACAACTGGTTTGACCTGCAGCCCAGGGTCAGTTGAAAGCTGCTACACACGCAAAATACAAACAGGGAGGGCAGCTTCCTCCACACGCTGTATTACGCCCGACGGGGGCCTCCAATCCACGCGCACATTTTTTACTTCTCTCTGCCTCTCCACCTGTGCCGTTTGTCGGCTTCGGCTCCCCCGAGGTCGACGCTCAATGTGTGGCTGGCACTTGGCGTCGACAAACGCCCCCTTCGTGCCATCGCAACCGTCGCGGTCGTGTTCGTCTGGGTGATGTGGCCGAGCGGTCTCGCGTTTGCCACTTGTCGCAGATGTTCGCAAAACGAGACCCACGGTTGCCAAATTGGAAAATGACCCCCCCCCCCCTTACTGGCAAACAAATGTCCATTTTGCGGGCCAGGTGCTGAATTACGCTGTGCTGCACAGGGACAGCTGCCACTTGGAGTGCCCCTTTTTTACGTGTTAAGATGAGATTGGATGTGAAGCACTCAAAGACATCCCCAGCATTAAAGGCGCTCGATCAATAATAACAAATCAAACTCGTAATTCCATTGTTATTAACCATTAAAAAATATGCGCCATCTGCTTCAGCCGAAAGTTATTTGAAAAATAGTAGCACGTCATGATCCAACTGTTGCCACATTTTAAAAAAAGATGACCTGCAAATTACCCAATTGTAGATGTACTCACACACAGTATTGCTCTGGCCCTTCTGCCTTTTATTTTCCCAAGGGGGTGCAGAAGTGGGTGCCCGTGAGCGTCTCGCGATACGTGTGCCGTTTGCCTACTTCCTCTCTCCTCACTAAATGCAACATTGTTCCGTGGCTTCCCAGTATTTTTAACACTTCTTTGGTAGTCATTTTCTTTCTCCACCCTCTGCTGAAACGCCTCCTTAAACGCCACAATCTCAAACGCCTCTATCCTTCGCATTGTATCCTTTTTCCAGCGCCAAAATCTCACGTCCGTCCCCCCCGTAAGTGCCACCATCTGAACCAGGGTGGCCCTTCACAACTCTTTCCGAATGGCTTTCCTTATTGTCCACTCCGGCGTCAGCCGAGCGTGCAACCGGTGAGTGGTTGCGCGGCGGGTTTTGTTTTCCCACCGTCCATTGCGTTATTCGGCAATTACAAATTATAGAGCAAGATAACGAGTTCCACGGCCCCCCCCCCCCCCCCCAGGGCCCTGTCTCAGGTGCCGCTGACGGGCAACCCTTTTCACGGCCGCCATGCAGGATAGAGCCAAGGAGGGATAACCACGGCTGATGGTTTCATTCCCCCCCGGTGCTCCCATAGTGCGGCAATGGGTGCTCATTTCAAGCCCAGTCAATCTGGGCGGAAGGCCCTCACCCGGCGCGGAGGTCAATTGAAAACATTGAAATTCAGTCCTCGGAGGCTGCGATTGCACACGGATCAGTTGCGCCGAGGCGCATTGCTCTGCGTGACCCCCCCCCACCCTCTCCGCCCCATCCATGGAAGGCCGCGTAACGTGCACAACATTACACTAAGTTGCTCCGTGGTGCTCCACTGTTGCGCGTGTAAAAGGTGCAGCCCTGCAGTTCTCTGTATGCACGTTGAACCTCTTTCACACCCTACGTAGCCAACCGGGCTCATCGGAGGTGCGGGGAAAGGAATGAGTTTTCAATATAGATTTAAAAGTGCATGGCTCCGGTGGCTTCCTAATATCGGAAGAGCGTTCCAGACGGCCGCAGAAGCGCACCTAAAAGAACCCAATGCGGTGACCGTCTTTGTTCGACGGTTAGACACAAGCCGCTGCGAGGATGACCAGAGTTTGCTTGATGGTTTGTGCTTCTTGACGAGACCAGGAAGGAATTGTGGTTCATTTGTGGCAAGCACTTTGCGTGCAATTCTTTGCTCATTCCGCTGCTGGCCAAAGTGCTTTCACTGAGCTCTCCAGAGATGATCTTTTTCCCCTACTCTTCCATGATGACCAGACATCGTAGGTGCGCGAGTACCCACACTTTAACCCACCACATGCGAACTCCCAAACGACTGGTGTAGCCTTGGTCTTCATGTGTAGATTCAATGTGCTCATGTAGCAAACTCACCTTTTCTTGTGAGCTCTCCAGCCTGGTTGTACTCGCAGAACGAAGCACATGACACCGACACAAGATCATCTTGTCAGACCCCAACCGTCAAACAACTTTTTTTTCACGTTGTTGTACCCATTTGCACTGCTGCTGGGTGGACAGAGGTGGAGAGATTTAAGAAACTAGCAGCACTGCTGTCAACTGTTGCACTGGCAGATTGAATCGAACCGGTGACCTCTGGATGTCAAGCCCAGCGCACTAACTGTTACGCATTAAATCCGTGCTGGTGACAGTCTCGTCCGCACAATGGCCCATAAATCTCACCGCGTCCTTTCAAGCCGTTGTCCCCGAGGCCACCAGGTACACCGGAGTACAGAAACACAGCCACAAAACGATCAACATGGCCCTGCAGAGACTGAGCTCGTAGCGACACATCTGCCCGAACCTCGACACGAATGTGTAAATAAAGTGACACATTAATTAAAACGGAGCCCACTCGAGGCTAAATGTCATTGCAGGAGGCGCCGACGAGAAATGATTTATGAAGGTGTGTGTGTGTGCCCCTCGTGCACGCGTGCGCATGTGGGTGTGAATGCGTACCACTCATCCACTAATGAAAGACTCGGCTCTTCTCAACGTGTCGTGTGTCGTAATCACAGTTTACTCCACGAGCCAGCTGCCAGAACAATAGCCGTAATTAAGCTGAAGGGACTTTGAAACAACAACTCGAAGTGGTCGGTATCGTCGCACCCCAACTGCTTGGCATAACAACAATGACTGCGCGCAGACCACGAAAGCTGCGTTACAAAATGTGCCTGGTGGGGGAGAGACGCAAGAGGCTTCCGCTCCAGTTGTTTGGGACGTGCCACGTGTTTGCGCAGGCCGCATGTTCATTTCCTGGCCTCGTTTGCGGCCTCGTCGATCGCATTACCGAAGGGGGGGGACCGAATGTGAACAACGCTGCCTCTTTCTCACTCGCGCACGAATTCAATTAGTCGCGCGAGGCCCCAGAGAAGGAATAAAGTGTGCAGAGCGCAGCATCTCTCGCTCCACATGGAAACCCGCGCCTTGCCACTGCTCCCTGTGGTAATTAATTCTCAACGTGCTTTAGCCTAATTACCACAATTAATGCCGTTGCTCGAGCAGTCCTTAGCTGGAGTGCCTTAATGGCGTAACGTTGCTTAAAATCCAGTCACGCTGCTGAAGCGGAGGGCCTTCTCCGAGTGGCTGTAAATCACGTGCCAAGAATGAGCCATCTGTACGTCTGTGTTAAGTCTAATCCCACTTGGAGGTGATGGCAATTATACGTCTACAGCACATATACCGCATAAATGGATACTATTAATACAATTATATTATCAAAAGTAGTAAAAACTTTATAGGATGCGGCATTCGATTTTTCAAAGTACTGGTGTTTTTATAACACGATTTAATTTCGTGGTTTAATGATGCCCAACTGATTATATTTTTCATATTTAATTTTACTCTCGGTAAATCTGTCTTCCCGCCGGTGTTATTGGTGGGATGACGCTGCCCCCAGAAAGGCGGCGACACCTCTTGGCGCCCGAGTGATCTGCCGCACCCATTCGTCGTAGAGAACGCCCCCGCGTTGCGCTACGAAAGCCGACTCGGCCGACTTCGATCCCCGACCCATTGCTAACATCAGTTGGCGAGTGAGATCCAAAAACTGGCTCTGGGCTCCCCCGCCCACCAATCACTTCACCAACCTGGCCTGGCCCGTGTGGTGAAGGCTCGTCAAACAAGAGGGGGGTCACAGCGGGCCTTCGTCCGGCAGTGGATTAAAACGGACGGACTGCACGTCTACATTCACAATAGTTACCACTGCTGCTGATATTGCTATTTTGGTGCGCAATATGCCACCGCAAGTTTTCTTCTTTAGTTAATTAAAATGTTTTTGAAAGAGGCAAACGCAGGGTAATTATATTATTACAGGCGTGGGTAATCCCTATTAACCACTTTTTCTGGCTCCATTTTTAGTGTGGAAATTGACAAATCTATTTACAGATTGTCAAGACATGCCACTGCAGAGTACTGATGTGTGGAGTGGTGGTTAAAAGCTCTCCGAAGTGTTTTCTTCCGGTTGTACTGCGCATTGGTCGGTATAATGGCTGACGTTTAGCTCGACAGCCTCGGGGCTTTTTTCTTCGAGTTCCTGAAGAAATGTCCCTGTAGAAGCTCCCTGCACAACGAGTGAAACGTCAGACATCGAACCGAAACAACGCGCGGTGCAAACTGAAAGCACATCTGCAGAGCTGTGCAGCGCAACTGCAAAAACCAACGCAGTAGTGGTTAATGCACGTGCTTTTGAAACCTCTAATCGAGCGAACGCTGTGATGTGTTTTCTGTTTCACAGGTGCACATTTCTCAAGAAGATCTAACGAGCAGGGGCTATCTGAACCTGGCCCTGAAATTCATTCCGGCCAACTCTGTGGGTAAGTAGGATTTTTTTGCCCTTCACGCCTGCAAGATGCGATATTCGTACGATGAATTTGAAGACAACGCTCGTAACAGAAGAGGGTGGCTCGTGCCTGTGAAACAGCACCTCCCGGAGGCAAAGACTCGATGGGTCACACACACAGATTTGTGAAACTCTTGCCGCCCCACTCCGCTGGGCTGCAAGATGATCAGGTGGCAGTACAGCAAGTAGGGCTCGTGAAAACCACCTGTGTTTGAGGATCCTTTGTGCAAGATATTCTGGGATGTGCGGGGTATTTTTTTTACATTACTCTCTAGTTTCTTCAAACTTGCAACGAAAAAACCATCCAAATGCCAGGACCCTCGTGATAAGAGTCTTGAGACTCAGCAAGGCCTTCTTGGCTAATGAAGTTAAGGAACTTATTTTTGTCATCCCAATGCAGTGCAGTGCTAATGAAGCAAAACAATTCTAGTCGGTGAGCATTTCTGGATGTACATGAAACTATTTAAAAATGTATGCACAGTTGAAACTGCAATAGAGGAAGAAACTTGTGAGCAAGCTTCTTAAATTTCCCCGCCTCTGTCCACTCAGTAGTATAAATGGGTAAAGCACAGTCAGTGGAATGGCAAGGTCATGTGTGTTGGGGTAAACGGTGGGTACTCCCACTTCTTGAAAGATGTCCGACCTAGTGTGGAAGAGTAGGCTAAATACCCTCTTAAACATGCTCTCAGGAGCATCCTCTGTTGGAGACGGCCGTCCACCAGCAGGGTGAGAAAGTAATGACAGGGCTTCGCCTTTACCCATGACACAGTTTGTATTTATATAGTGTCTTCATGTGACTGCGTCTCTACGGACGCTGTAAAAACAGGGTGTAAAACAACGAATTTGACAAACGGGGGGGGATGCTGGTTGTGTGGTAAGAGGTGCTGTTTTAGGATCTTCGATTTAGGATCTTCGATTTGAAAAGCCAGTCGGTGAGGGGTCAGGCATGTCACGAGTGCAGCTGGCGTTGAAATAAAATAAAATAAAAATAAATGTTCCTCTTTATAAACATGGCACTGCATTTTGTGTGTTTAGTTTGTTGTCGTTCCCCCACACCTCTAATTTAATTAGCATGTTTGGCTACTTAGGGTGCGAAAGAAGTTCAACATGGGACCTTTTTTTGCCAGTATCAAAGTATGAAAACGTAAGAATAGGTTTTACCCTTGCCAAACAGAAACCTTTTGCAAGGAATCAAGTCTGCATTAACCACACGTACTTGTGGTGAACATGTAAACAAACATGCTCTGATAATTAATAATATTTGCATTGACTTTGAAACGGATTGGCCTACACCAGAGACAGCCTTTTAGGGCCTTGTCTCACCAATGCCAGGCCAGAGAACGCCAAAAGGCGAACAGCACAAACACAATGCACGATCAGAGCATTTATTAGTTCAACATCCACACATACACACACACACATACACACACAACAACCGCCATTCGCCACTAAGTGGCGGTGACGTCACCACGACACTTGTGCCAAGCCATGTGCACCTTGAGACCATGTGAAGTGTCGAACGCCCGCTGGCAGGAGGTCACGGGGCAGACCCAGGTGCTACGGGTCGACTGACTGAGATAACCGAGACACACATACACACACACATACATACACACATACATACACACATACACACACATACATACACACACATACATCATCGGGCAGATCTGAGTGTAAATATGCGCGTCTGTTTATTCCCCCCCCCTCACCCCCGAAGGGCAATTCACGCCGGCGAGCGGGGAGATTCATATTTGGGTCAAGGAGGCCAAGAACCTGCTGCCCCTGAAGCCGCACGGGGTGGACGCATTTGTCAAGTGGTACGTCGTGGTCAGACGGCATTAACCCCCCACCCAGCCATGCGGGGGGGGGGGGGGGGGTCAGACATGAAGGACCCGGGTTGCTGAAAGAGTTGGGGTTTGCTGTTGTCGATCGCAGGGACTCGCTCCCCCCCTCCCCCCTCCTTTCGTACGAGCGGGGGGGTTGATCGGCGACGTCAGGCGGTTGGGCGAGCGAGCCGAACGCTTAACTACTCCGGCCGCCTAGCGAGGTGCCCTGAATTTTCCATCGGCATGGGTACAAAGTTGCGTCAACCGGTGCGATGTTCCGACATGGTTAAGCACGGAGCAATGTAAATTAACACCACACGACAGGTCCTTGTGTGGGTTCAGCGGTTAAGTGCGTGTTCGATACCCACGTAGTAATGCCACTGCCCACTTCGATCATTCGCTGGCAGCTTATTCGATATTAATCGGGCCACTCTTGAAGCCACTTGCTGCGTAGGTTTCTCTTGTGCTGTACAGCTTTCCGCAATGTGTTTTTGGGTTGCTACCGCATGTTGTTCGGCACGTTGTCCGACGTTTCGCTCCATGTGCGTGCTGTCAGCAGCCGGCAGATGCTTTTTTTATCGAGGCAGAATGTGTAGCTGCTAAGTTCAATTCTTGAAGAAACTCTCAGCACGTGGAGCGTGCCGAACAACACGTGGCAAAACACATCAGAGAGCTACAGCACAAACATGAAAACTTACGTAATTGTGCCTTCAGGAGTAGCCCAATTAATATCTGAAATGTGAAATAATAGAACTGGGCAGTGTCCCGTATCCCGTACTGTGTAGTCTCCAACAAGCAGTTAATTGCTAGCCCCACGGAAGAACCGTGAGGGTATCAATTTACCCCGAAGACAATGTTCTCTATTGAATAGCATCTCAAACATTGCACAGCAGATGCGGCAACCGACGAACACCGATGTAAAATCAGGAATAGCCCGCAGTGTGAATGCGGTTACCAAATTCAAATCGCGTTCCACGTAGTCCAGTTTTTCTGCTGATCGCAGGAAAACACATCTGCACCTCCGATTAGCACGGTTAGCTACGTACGATTCGAAGGAAGTTCTACGTACATACAAACATCACAATGGGCCTTCCGAGTAAAATATAGCGAGCTGCAACACACACGGCCAGCAGAGGACCTTCCCTCTTGCTGCAGCGCTGTTGATTGATCTGAATGCAACTGGACATCTTTCACCTTCAAGGTGCTCCACGGGGTTATTGTTACGTGACACTAAATAAACGCGCGCAAATTCCAGTTGACGTAAATCCTATAAAGAAGTAAAAAAAGCGTCTCCTGCTTCGCAAATATCCAATGTTTTACGTAGATAAAAGCCAAACGTATGTTACGCACGAGCTGAATTTTAAATGACACGCGGAAAATTTGATGTGCTTGAATACACGGGCAAGATTTTTCGCCGTGCCAATGTTGTTATTGACTTTTGAATCATTCTAGCCAGGTGGCGGGGCACTTTTTCCTCAACCCTAACGAGCTTAGTCAGGTCATCTCCTTGCAAAACAGTTTGGCAACAGTCAACGTGTTTTAAACCCTGAAGCTGAGCGAGGGCCACAAAGCAGCGATCTGGCTTCTCGGCGATGTGCGATGGCACTTGGCTGCAATCCAACTCCCTTTTTCCAGGTGACGGGCATCGCGTCCTGCAATCTGCCGAGTTCGCACGACGGCCCCTTCAATTGCGTGCAATTCTTTCGGCATTTTGTTTAGCGTAATGCCAGGCAGGGACGGGACCTCCCCCACCCCGAATAAAAGAGCACGAGCAGGGTCCGTGCGCGATCAATATTCGCACGTTCCATTATGCTGCGGGAAAGCCACGTCCTTCGGGCGGCGATGAAATATTCACGCGTCCCATCCGGAGCGCTCGCGCCTCTGTTATTCCAACCTCAATAATTGTCCCCACTTCTAACGCATGCGTTGCGGGGACGCCTTCAATCACCGAACGCTCATGCGTGTGCTTTGCTTGTTCCCTGCCTAAAGCTAACCTGGGGAGCACCTCCAGGTAAATCTCTCAATAATTCAACCAATTGTTTGGGTGATATTGCATTGCCTGCGGTGCACAAAGAAAAATAACAATAAACTCTCAAGGCATTCATCGATAACGCTGCATTCAACAGAAAAGTATATGATGGACATATCAGATAATGGACATTTTTGTGCACAGTATATATAGTATATATCGTACGTTATATGCTATATGACATACTCTACGAAGTCACACTCATTATACAAAGTGCTCGCCACAAATGAACCACAATACCTTGGTGATCCCGTCAAGGAGCATACATCAGCACGCAAACTCCGGTCATCTTTGCAGCGGCGGCTTTTGGCCAACCATCGAACAAAGATGGGTCACCACATCGTGCGCTTTCAGATGCGCTTCTGTGGCCGTCTGGAACACTCTTCCTTCGATGTAAAGCTTTCGTGACTGCAGGGATTCATCTTCTTGGTTCTTTCGGTAAAGTCACGTAGAAGGGAAGTAATAAAATAATAAAAATAAAACATAATAAAACAATTCTCACGACGTTTCGGCCACAACGCAAGCAAGGACAACAAACTAAACACAAAAGGCAGTTTCGATTTAAAGCTTTCGTGACTGCAGAGATTCATCTTCTTGGTTCTTTCGGTAAATTCACGTAGAAGGGAAATAATAAAATAATAAAAATAAAGCAATAAAATATGTTATATTATTTTACTTTATTTTATTATTTTCCTTCTACGTGACTCATTCTTCAAGCTAGGAGCTTATATAAGCTCCTAGCTTGGCATTGTCTCATTCTTCACCTGAGGACGGCTGCTTGCGTTGTGGCCGAAACGTCGTGAGAATTGTTTTATTATGTTTCATTTTTATTATTTTATTACTTCCCTTCTACGTGACTTTACCGAAAGAACCAAGAAGACTCTTCCTTCTGATATTAGGAAGCCACTTTGCTTTTAAATCAGGATTGAAAACTAATTTCTTAAGAACTGCCTTTTGTCTTCTTGGTTCTTTCGGTAAAGTCACGTAGAAGGAAAATAATAAAATAAAGTAAAATAATATAACATATTTTATTGCTTTATTTTTATTATTTTATTATTTCCCTTCTACATGAATTTACCGAAAGAACCAAGAAGATGAATCTCTGCAGTCACGAAAGCTTTAAATCGAAACTGCCTTTTGTGTTTAGTTTGTTGTCCTTCCCCCGCACCTCCGATTAGTACAATTGGCTACGTACGGTGCGAAAGAAGTTCAAACATACACACGTATAATGGCCACTTGCCCAAAAATGTCACTCATATTATTTTCTGTTTACGGCAGTCTTAATGACTGATGTGTCGAGTTTTTTTCCTCTCCACAATTCAGGTCACTTCCCATAGAACGTGTGTAGCCCCTCGTATGCGTCCTGGCTTTTAACGAGCGGCAAATCAACTCCGGATGCTGCCACTGTGGAGAAATGGTTTAGCACACTGGACTTGCAATCCAGAGGACGCCGGCTCTATTCCATCTCCCCTGTTGCGGTAGTTGAAACAACGACCACGTTTCTTAAATCCCCCTCCCCCCTCTGCCGCTATCTACCCAGAGTAGTATAAAATGGATACACCACAGTTAATTGGGAGGTCGCATGTGTCTGGGTTAGGTTTAGGAAGAATAGGTCAATATTATTGGGCGGGCTCTCTAAAGCTCCCTATAGTGGAGGCTCTTTCAACAGCAGTGGCATGAGCAAGCAATTGTGGGGATGCACCTTAACCTGTTTATATATTATTTAAAAAAAACGATTTAAAGAGTGAGTTTATTTTATTTGGTAAATGTATGTGTCCTGAGCATCGCAAAAACAACCAAAGATCATCAATATTGCCGATAAAGAGTACAGGGCCCTAAAGAAATATCGTGCAACCGACAAACGAAAGGGTAGCCATTCATGCTGACCAACACGACCGCTCTGCTTCTTGCGTCCACAGCTACATCCTGCCAGACCTGAGCCGCAAGAGCCGCCAGAAGACGCGCACCGTAAAGAAGTCCATGAACCCCGTGTTCAACCACACGATGGTATACGACGGCTTCCAGGACGAGGACATGCGCGAGGCGTGCGTGGAGCTCACCGTGTGGGACCAGGAGACGTTCTCCAACCAGTTCCTGGGCGGCCTGAGGCTCGGCCTCGGCGGGGGTAAGACTCGCGCTCGCCGATACCAATACCAACAGGCGCCAATCGCCACTAATTGACGGTGACGTCGCCATGGTGGCGCCTGTGTCAGGCCACGTGCACTTTGAAGCCGCGTGAAGTGTCGAAGGCTCGCTGACAGGTTACGGCGCAGACGCAGGTGCTATGGGTTTACTGACTTATATGACTGGTTGATCCACTGGCTGTGCCGACTTTCTGTATTTTAGCTGCCCGGCGCTCCGCTCGTTGTTGTGAGCGTCGCTCCTCTGCCCTCCATTGTTGTTGGAAGGCGACTGTCTCCTTGATGACCAGTAACGTGCTTCGCAAAACCGCGCGCGCACACATGCGCAGGGACTCGCGCGCTGGCACATGGGTGGTTGGGGTTGCTACCTTGAAGCTGTTTTCCCAGGATTGGTATAATTTTGGGGTAGCTGTCACAAGCAATTTTGTAAATTTTCCCAGGATGTTAGGTCCTGGTTTTCGTCAGTTGTATAATAATACACCCCAATGATGGTATTGTGTCATATTACCTTTCCAATAATGTTGTTTTTTTTGTACAGAACAGGCAATTCCACGAAGACATTTGTAGGGAACATTTTCTTTCCTGGGGGCTGAATAGGACTTTAAAATAGCTATTGGCAGGCCACATTCTAGCATGCACCTCACATTTACTTCCATTGCATGAAGAGGCCCTTGCAGTAACAGAAGTGGCTTGACAGTGACCTGTTGCCACGTCAAATATTCTTCTCCAGTAGCCAATTAGTGTAGGAGAAATGCTTGCAGTGATCAGCCCATCACTGGAAGATGCAGTGATGGGCCAAATCGGACTTGGCAATACCTTTGGCAGGTATCCATTACGACATGCACTTTGGTCACGTAAGCTATTCCAAGAGACTCTTGCCGTGACAGAATAGAAGGGACTAAGTGCACTGAAACTACACACACAGCATTACCAGGTCAAATACTCCCCTCTATTACCAAATTAGTGCCGCTAAGATGCTCGGTGTTAGATAATTGTTTGCGGGCCGTTGTCATGGGTTCCCCTATCTGTACGTTCAGCGGACGGCTCTGTCTTGATGGGGATAATTGAGCACAGGCAGAACACAGAAATAGGCTGACCGCTTCCGACATGTAAATTGGACTCGCAAGTACCAGTGCTTCTTGTCTGTTTACCCAATTATATTCCAAGTGTCCTATTGGTGTCATCTTTCAGAGACAAAGGGGGGATGGATGTTAAGCTCTGACCTCTGAGACCATTTCCATCATAAATGTTTAATGAATTAAAAAAGATCAACCCACACAGGGTTGTTTTTTTGTTGTTGTTGCTGTATCAATTCAATGTCTGGTGTCTCGATATCAGTAGTGCTCTATTGCCATGTCTTGAAATAACTTGGGACGTGATTTACAATGCCATGTTCGTTTAATTGTGTTGTCGTTTATCCTCGACACTTGTAAAGACACGAACAGTTAGTTATGGTGGACTTGCCATCACATTCTGGTGGAGATAACATTTTGTCTGTCACAACAGAGTAGGCTTTACAAGATTTCAAAATGTTTTGATGAAGGATTATTTTAGTATTTTACTCCCATTGTAATTCCAATTGTGATATCGGCATCACGTGAATTGCAGAATATATTCAGAAATCTCGCAAAGCGTTGCAACCCTGTATGTTAAAGCAGTGGTTCTCAATTTCTCTTGGCTACTGTAGCCCTTATTGAATTTAGTTTTAACTGAGTACCCCCATCGCTGACCCAACGTGGTGCCGAGAAACACATGTATGCACAATGAACATCAATATCTGAACCCATTGTCCATTTTGTGACGTACCTGAACTAGCTCGTCACTTAAAGTGAATAAAAAAAAAGACGGAGGCTTTACATGATGTCATTTGTTTGCGCTCACCGGTTACTCTTGGACACCCGCATTGTTTACGATCAATAAGTTTAGAATGGTATTGCGTCGTTCTTGGTTACTACGTGGATTTAAATTGTATCGTAGTTATTTTATATTGGCAGATTCGTACATGATTATTCACCAATGACTCGGGTATTGTAGAATTTTACACATTTATAAATAACCTCCACGTACTCGTTGGGTTATTGCCACATGCCCCCAGGGGTTCGCGTACCCCCGGTTGAGAACCACCGTGTTAGATAATGGCCTGCAGAAGCAGATTTCACAGAACTACTAATGAGTCCTTCAATAAACCTTTTTAACATTCATATTCTTGGTTCTTTCGGTAAAGTCACGTAGAAGGGAAACAATAAAATAATACAACGATAAAAACAATAAAATTCTCACGACGTTTCGACTGCAACACAAGCAATCATCATCAGGTGTGAAAAAGACGGCAAGAAAATTTTAAAAAAGTGGCGTTTTTTTCTTAACGTCAGCACCACGGACAGCGATTTGGCAGTTGGTCAGATGGACGAGTCCATCTATGTTCGGAAAAGAGTAGGGGGGAGATGAAGACAATGGAATGCGGTCTGAAAGTCACTGTAAGCGTGAACACAATTAATTAAGACCCGAAATGGTTTATCAAATCCTTCCAATGATTGTTAAGCCAGAATCCATCTTCTCGGTTGAAATTGTCTCTGTGTTTGTATATGTGGATAGCCTCATGAACGAATCTCTCATGGGGCACTCCAATTTCCCATACACACTACGATAAAGATGTTTGCCACATTGCAGTCAAATTGACATTCTTAAATCTCAAGAGCTAGGATTTAGTCAATCTAAGTAATTTTTGGAAAAGAGTTTTTCTTGTGGAGTCATCGGTGACCAGTCTGAGACCGCCAACTCACTACATTTCAGAACCTGCTTGAACAACGGGTGGCTGAAATCTGGTCTCAAACCAAGGACCTCGACAGAGCTTGCTCGGTGATCTGACCCCTGCCTTACTCGGCTTCCTCTCAAGACATTTCATTAAGATGTCGTTTTCTTTTCGCCGTGTGTAGGGATGAGCTACGGCAAGCCGGTCGACTGGATGGACTCACGAGAAGGAGAGGTGGCGGTGTGGCACAACATGATAACGCGTCCCGGCGAGTGGACAGAAGCCCTTCTCCCGCTGCGACCAGACATGGTCAAGTCTAAGGCTAAGAAATGAGTGGGAGGGGGGGGGGGTGTACCCTGTGCACTCATCTCCCTGTGGAGAGGGTCAAACTGGACTCAAGTTCTGGCACAGTGCACTGGAAACCTAACAATTACACCGGCTCGTAACGAGATTACGCAAAACAGCAATGGATCTGTGGGGGCGCGGTGCATTGCCACCGTTGTTTTTTTGTTCTGCCAGTAAATTGCATCGTTCTACAGTTTTTTAAATGTGCAGGACTGTTTTTTTTGTCCATTTAACCAATTATTTTAAGTTTGTTCAGATATCCTAGAAAATGTAAACTACGCCCCGACGTTAATGGGGGAAAAAAACAAAGAAATCATAAAGTAAAAAAATATTCCAGGCTTAAAGCGGCAATCTAAGTGAGCCTTTGTGTTAAAAATGAATGGGAATGAGCACAGCATGTGGGCACATTCGTGCAAGCAGTTGCACTCTGTGAAATGGTGCCATTAACTGGGTAATGTGCAGTAATTGGAATTTCCTTTTCTCCCCATCATCTTCATATCAAAGACTAACAGTGCCAATGTTCACTGAACTGGGTTTATAGTACCATGCCACTATTGTGTTAGCTAACCATGGTGCGTGCACATACACACACACACACGCTCGTAATAAGTGGGTTTGTTCATATGGAAACGTAAGGCTTGCTTTTAAAATGTTTAAATGCCCATAAATGCATTTCAAGGCTTTTTGCTTTATTTTATGTGTGTTGCAGGTGGTCAAGTGTGTTTGTTTACCCATGAGCTTGCTTGACAGGTAGGGCCTGCTGTATAGGTAGTGCACATCCTTTTCTTGATGTTTGACGCAGCAAAGGGATCAGTGCTAGGAGCAGAAATCGTTTTGCATTGTAAAAAAAAAAGTTGCTTCGAATATTGCTGGGTTCTGGTCATCGTCTATGATGCAACATCAAAATTTACACTGAGATCAGCCGCTCAAATTTTTTTTTGTTCAAGGAGTTTAATGTAGAGTAATTAAAAATGAGGTTTAATAGAGTCGGGGGAATGTTGGATAATTAATTTTAATTGTAGGCTTAATAATACATGTGTTTATAGGTCTGTTACACGAGTTTTAAGTGGTTTGCTCTTTGGGATAGGTTAAACACGGTGCTTTCTTCGCAGTGTCTGGAAAATATGGAAATGAATGACAGACATTAGCGACTGGACGTTGGTTGTTATGAAGCAGGTTTGGCTCAAAATGTGATGGTACGTGTATGTGCTGAGGGTCGGAGAAGATAGATGGTCAGAAATGGCTTGCGTCGCCAGGGGTGGATCAGGCGACGAGCTTAACATAAAGGTCTGTGGACTATGGCGATCGTATGCAGCAGCCAGTGCCACTTGAGTGGGTGCGAGAGATTACAGTTCTGCAGGGTTGGGGGTCATGCCGGTCCCTGCGAGGAGAGGGCAGAGGTGGGGGAGGGGAGGGGGGGGGTATGCGTGGAAGCGAAGGTCAATTGAATGGTCAATTGTATGTCGATGGTTGCTTGATGGGAAAAATCGCTGCAGGCTTTGAAAGATGAGGTCATTATCAAGGCTGAAACTGAGAATGGAAATAATACAAATAATGATTTACATTGAGAAAAACACGATCCAAATTATACATGTGAAGAAACAACTGGCAGAGGTTCAGGGGAATAAAACTTAACAGCGAGCAAGAAATACAGAATGCTAATGCTTTGGCCATTTCTCCTTTGACAAAACTAATGAGGAAATTGGAAAACTGTCTGCGATGAAATAGGATTCTGTTTTATAAACATTGCCCCCTTTATTTGTTGTTCACAACAGTGCCGTACGTTTATCGCGACAATATTCTATGCGCCTGCCGTTGAAATCCGTTCGGTTAAGCACCGCACTTTCTGTCTTTCTCATTTGCTTTTTTCTGAGATACTTTGTATGTATATGGTATTGGGGCATCATTTCAGTTTTAAGAAATAATGTATGCTCACAGATATCAAATGTAAATTGGTTGAAATGCAATGATGATTTGAAAAAAAAATCTAAATAAAGGACTGTGGTTGTGGTGTAATTCATTCCAATGGTTTTTTCTTAAAATACCACGTTTTTTTTCATTTTATACATATGAAATTGTGTTTTCTGTGTTTAAATCCAATAATGAAATGGTATGTTTGTAGAACTTATTTCGCACAATACGTGCTAATCGGAAGTGCGGATGCTCTTAAGAAGGGAAAATGTTACAAACATGAAAACCACAACAAAAATTAACAACATCCTGTCCATTATATCACTGTAAATGTGAATAATTTTCAAACAGAATGCTTCATGTAACAACAAACAATCGCAGCTTGGTAACAACAACTCAAGTAAACAAGGTTCAGCCCTTGAAATATAAATATATCTTTATTCGCACGGGAAAGCCTCAACAAAACCCAGCATTTTCCAAGAGTCCTGTTTTGCAACTTTAGTTTGTTTAAAATATATTGCGATAGTGCCTGTAAAAATAAAAAACCCAAACAAAACGCCACGAGTGACAAAGCTCTACACAAATAGGTCCTAAACTTCAAAAAAACACGTTCTGTGCTACATCTTGACACATTGCCCTGTCGGAGAACATCTCCACAAGCACCACATTTTAATGATCCTGCCTCCCCAGTTTCAAGTTTGTTTTGTTATACCAGGTGAGGAACTCACGACAGCCGGATGCATCTCATTCGCAAGATCGACCTGGGGCATTAGTCTACCAGTAGGAGGGCGATGATTGCTGCGTGTAATTGCAGTGTAATTTTCCAATTTGGCAAATTTGGACCCTGCTGCTGCCGGTACACAATGGCCTATCATTGCGAATAACATATGGGGATATTTAGCTTCCACACTGAAGCATACTGCGCATTGTATTGTTATGGTTAATACACCTGCAGTGCTATTCAGGGGTGGCCGCTGGATTCTCCCCGTGAACCTCTGCGACAAGCAGCAAACAGGCTATTGATTACAGGTGTGTACCACCACACAAGGCACGCCTGCCTGTGTGTGTGTATATGCGTGGGGAGCGGAAGCGTAGCAGTTAGTGCGCTGCATTATAAACCCGGTGACCCATGTTCGATTACCGCTCACGGCCAACACCAGTGACGATTATCTGAACAGGTCCTGGGCCTCCCCTAGGTTGACTCCGCCTGAAATGAGTACCTGGTGCAGTGTGTAAGCATCTCCACTGGGGAGACATTTGGTCGGGAGTGGTGCTGGCCACCCACCCCCTCGTGCATTGTGCCGGCCTTCATAGGTGCTCGTTAACAGTACTTGCCCCAACAGTCTGTTAAGGCTAAACGGGGAATCTTTTGTCTTTGTCAGTACGCAATTCAATAGTGGCCGGTGTGTAAATGTATTGGTGGGGCACGGAACCCCATGGGGGTGTGGGATGTAGCGTAAGGAAGAATGGAGAGGGAAGGAGGTGAATGCTGTTTATAATCTTGATAATGTAGATGTTCAAATATATTTTTTTTATGTGATATGAGCTGGGTCCACCAGCCCCCTTAATGGCAGGCCGCTACTGACGACTGGTCCCAACTCGAGCGAGCGAAGCCCCCATTTCCTCGAATGTTCTCTACCTTAGCAGCTGTCTCTCCTATCAGATGCTGCTGCTGATGTTCATCTCGGAGAGGACTGTGTCCCTGTAGGTCTTCGCAAGGCTCTTCATGTAGCTCAGGTGCTCTCCAAGCTGAAACCCATGAATGGGCTCCTCCTGTACACAATGTGCACCCGGGCATGTGTTTGGGGGGAGGTGGGGGGGGGTGAAAAAGGGTATATAAAATGCATTCCTGTAATATTTTTTTATGAAGGTCTACATAAAAGAAATGAAAGATGTATGACAGCAACGTTCGAATTTTTATAGAAGATTACCGCACGCGGGCGTGGCACGATGCCAACAAATGTATCGTAAAGGTCATCTGTCGTCGCATCATCTTCACTACACTCCTGTAATTTTTTAACAAAATGCCACCCTTCACAAATATATGCCGTGGATGTACTATCTGCAGTGGCGCTCGACACTCTGCCGCCGGCCAGTCACGCCACGCGCGACGTCTTCATCTCACTTGTCTCTTGGCACAATGGATGTTGGGCAACCCCTCCTCCTCCTAGCTGGGTGTGCTCTACACTCGTGTTTCTTTGAATTCCACTACCTCTGCCTTCCCATGGCTCTCCGTTCTAATATCCTCCTTTAAAGAGTAATTTACTGTAATGGGAATTGGACGTGTCTTCATATCGATAAAAAAAATTATTATTTGAATTACGGGGGAGGCACTGAGGTTGAGGAATCGCCGGCAATTTGTCAAGTTTCCCAACCTGCGTGAAACTATTCCATTTTACTTAATTTATTTTGCCTTTTCTCCCAAATTACATCTCAATTGTGCTATGAGTGTCATGTCACGAGATGAACCCAATTAAATGTGAAACTTCTTGGTTCTTTCGGTAAAGTCACGTAGAAGGGAAATAATAAAATAATAAAAATAAAACAATGAAATCAAAATTATCCTCTTCACGTGAGGACGGCTGCTTGTGTTGTGGCCGAAACGTCGTGAGAATTTTTATTTTATTATGTTTTATTTTTATTATTTTATTATTTCCTTTCTACGTGACTTTACCGAAAGAACCAAGAAGATGAATCCCTGCAGTCATGTTGGAGAACTGCCTCGAAAAGCTGTTGCTCAACTACTTACCGTGAGGTCCCTTCAATTGCTTTCCTGAGTTGAGATGTATCGACTCTACCCATTGCCCTTCTATGTCATCACATGGAAATGAAACCAGTTTGAAGTCCTCAGAGTTGTACGTATGCTGGAATAATGTAAAACAATGTTTAATATTGCATTTTCTGTGAACAGTCATTGTAAATCCAGTTGAGAACATTAACTTGCTGAATTTAAAAACCTGGTTTGACTTAAAATGTCTGAAACTCAGACATGGCAGTGCCAGATCAGTGCCAGATCAAGATGATATTTTCCCTCTGAGCCACCTAGCCACCTCAAACTACGTATTTTTTGTTGCCTGGATTACAGGCCAAGGACAAGATATCATCATGCCCAACGACAAGAATGGCACCACGCCTAATCACTGCCTCCTTCCACTAGATGTCACAATAGTTGTAAGTCAACACTCAATGCTCTTTGGTTCTTTCGGTAAAGTCACGTAGGTAAAAAAAAAAAATCACGACGTTTCGATCGCAACACAAGCGATCGTCATCAGGTAAGAGAACCAGAGCAGTTTTCTTGCTGTGGTTGTGTTGCGATCGAAACGTCGTGATTTGTGACTTTATTTTATTTCTACCTACGTGACTTTACCGAAAGAACCAAAGAGTATGGATTCCTGCGGTCACGAAAGCTTCAAATCAAGATTCAACACTCAATCTTTAACCTCTGCTCATTTTGCATTCCACCATCTGGTTTTAAGTCCTCCGTGTCTCTAAGCACTGTTTGGCATTCCATTGTGTGTCTCCATAACGTGCCCTCCTCTGTCCTGCACGTGTCCCAGCTCGTTTTACTAAATACATCTAGTATACTTTATTGCCAGGTTCTATTAAGATTATCATCGTTCTATTTCCACTTGGCACAGGCTGGTTGGGGTGCAATTGCGGTTTAAATGCTGACCCCAGTGGGGGTGGCACATTGACAAGACGGCACTTATCCGTGGCGTGCAAATCCACTGAACGAGTGGTCCATACTCTTTGGTTTATTCAGTAAAGTCACGTAGGTAAAAAATTGAATAAGTTAAAAATGAAAACAACTAAATTAAATCACGACGTTTCGGAAGCAACACAAGCATCCGTCACCATTGTGTTGCTTCCGAAACGTCGTGATTTAATTTAGTTGTTTTCATTTTTAATTGATTTTATTTTTCACCTACGTGACTTTACCGAAAAAACCAAGATTATGGATCACTGCAGTCACGAAAACTTCAAATCTAGAATTAGTGTGGTCCATACTTTATTTTCATGGTGCCTGAGCACAGAAGCAAAGGCGCAAAGGAGCCAAATGGCCAGCAACAAACAACACGAATGAAATTGCAATAGATAATTGGCAATGCATTTCTTGAATGGAACAAGATGTTACAGACTTGGAGAGATGAGATGGGAAGGAATTCTGAAGTTGAGCAGTGTGAAGACAGAAACAGACGGAGAGGTGTTTTGTTCGTTGAACACAGTATGGATGAGTTGAACCAGCCAGTATGATAGACCGAGTCTTCAATATGGGTGGAAGAATCAATGAGCGAAGTTCACGGGCAAAGTGACCACGTTGGAAGCGATAGAAGAGCGATTAGGGGGTGACTGATCACTGTAAGTGCTGGATCATCAATCAACCTGTGTATAGTTTGTTGCCCTTCCCCCGCACCTCTGATTAACACGGTTGGCTATGTACGGTGTCAAAGAAGTTCAACATACAACCAACCTGATTGCTTTACTGTAAATTCTAACAATTCTACACGCGCTGCCCTCACCCTGAGAAAGATCTGTAGGTCTTGGCTCTGCGTGTGCTGCAGGATGCGAGGCTCCAGGTGCCTCAGCACGGCCAGGCAAGTATAGAGCTGGTAGTCGGGCCCCAGCGCCACGCACACGGCCACGTACGCGCACACCTCAGCCCAGTCCAGGTAGTTCCAGAAACACTGGCTCAACCAATGTTGGCAAATCTAATCAGACAAAACATATCACACGTCAACGCATCAGCTATTGTATGAGAGCGTAACAATGAGTAAAGAGAATACGCATGAACAGTGTATTTAACCAATCGTGCTGTGTCCGATCATGAGAGAAAGTATCCATTTGCATCTGTTGGGCAGCAGTACAAGGATCTGCAAACGGATATCGCAGATATTTCTAAGATCTCTTTCAGGGACCTCTGTTACGCATAGTAGTGTACAACACTCTCCCACCCACCCTGCTCCAGAAAGGAATGTTGCACAGCCGGTGAAACGAAACATTTTTATAATTAGAGCTGGAATTTTGCCGCATTTAGTGCGATACCGATTTAAATGTGGTGCCTTTTGGTGTACATTCATCGGAGAAAAAACTGACAAAGTGACTCTACTTGAAAATTCAGTTTAGTCACAGATGGCTGCGAGGATTTGAACCCAGAAAATTCGCGTTGCCAGCTCAGCACTCAGACCTTTGAGCCATGTTGTCACCTTAAGTAAAGAGACTTAATAAATCTCCAACCGATGTCAGTTGTGACTTTGGTAAATGTTATATTGTGAATGGGACATAATTCTGGAACTCAAGTGCAATATTTTTCATGCTCCACAAATTACCAATTTTTTTTCTTCTCAAAATAAAACCGACATATAATACAGACATGACACACTTATTTACTTATTGAAGCACAGCTGTAATTAAAGTGCTATTAAACATTTCTAAGCAAGTATCTGAATGGCGCAGGCAGTGGTTAGACCGTATGGCTCTCAAGTGGATGGCCGCGAGTTCAATTCCCAGCTGTGGATTGACTCGGGGTTGATAAATGGAGTGCCACTGGGAAATCAACAGTGGCTCTTTGGATAGGCGTGCGCCGACATAGCAATGTAAAATGTGCCCTGCTAGCTTAGAAGCTATTAAAAATACGAGTATTGGCCAGCATGTATTTGAAAAAGAGACTCTCATTGACTTTAATTAATGGTAAAATATTAACAATGGCATAGACATAGTGTGGTCTGTTTGCCGAATTACCCGTGAGCTTAAAACATATTTGTTAGACCTATAGAGTAAAGTGAAAAATTGCGATAAAGCAGCCAAGTACGTGTAACCCTTTTTTTCTCTCGCAATGACAGGCAGAAATGCAAAGTCAATGTACGGATCCAACAGCTTCAGCCGATAAACTCCATCATGCGATCACAAGCGGGCTCCTTTACCCGACGGCGAGAACATTTGACAAACGAAAGAGATTGCAGGCATACTCTATGGTTCTTTCGGTAAAGTCACTTAGAAATAAATTAAACTAAAACAAATCACGTTTCGAAAGCTTCAAATCAAGATTGCAGGCACATTTCCAAGCACTGCATTCAGCAGCAGGGCCTACTTCGCACAGCGCGTCAGGGTTTCATAGCTAATGATATCATGAAGACCCAACAGCACAAATTGGGTGAAGGCGTATCGCGGTGGATCACGCACTGCACTATAAATCCAGCGACCCGGCTTTGATTCCTCGGTCACAGATAACTTCAGCGGTGAGTGATATCTGCAGCGGTCCTGGGGGCCTCTGCTTCATCAACCCGCCACTGACCAGCATGGTGAATTATGGTCAATACCATAACCGACGTGGCATGGGGAAGCTTTCATCCCTCAGTACACTGACACGAGGGCTGTGATTTCAATATGTATTAGCACAACATTGAGCAAAGTCTTTGGCACGAGACTATGGTGTAAGGCATGTCAACTTAAAGGCATCACAAATTATACGCATATGATTTAATATTCTAAATACAGTTAACCAACATGCCCATCAATATACCCGTGATGCTATATCATGTTTATTACATGAATATCATGATGCAGCCCTTATTTATTTATTGAGGAAATACTGACAATCAAAATACCGCACTTTTGCACCAAAGGGAATTAAACACTGGCCAAGCCTTCTAAACGGAGCCGAGCATCTACCTGCGAGGGAGTGTACCCAGACATGCGAAATGCAGAGAAGATAAGAGGCAGCTCTGATTTGAGGATGGACTCCACCCAGTGGCAGGTGCAGGAGTACAGAGGGTGCACTCCAGATAGTGCCGTCTGTTCAGCCAGGTGAACCTGCAGGCGCACAATTTGATGTGAATTGTAAGAATTATTTATTGAGCACATTTGGGTATTTCGCACCACTCTCATCACACGCAAGGCTATCGGGATGGCGCTATGTTTCACATAGTTTGCAGTTGTTTGACAACAGGTGGTAAAGTTGCTATGCGTAATCCCAATTGAGTAATTTGCAAACAGTTTTTCGAATTTGGGCGGTGATGTCAGTACAATAATGTCCACGTGTTATGTATTACCCGTGTTCCCCTGAAGGGGTGCAACGATGCTTCTATGAGGTTCCAAAGCTCATAAAAAATGGATAGAATGGCATCTGTGAGAATAGATGTTTCTCAACCATTACTGTTGGATGTGATGGTTTCACGTGACTCCTCCAGCCACCATAGGTGGCTGCATTGTCCCGCAATGAAAACACATGATTGAATGGAGAGGGTTTTTTTTGTGGAGAGGGTTTTTTGAGTGACTAAAGGTGTGCCGAGTGAAAATAGCGGTTCTTGGTAAATAGTCACTTGTGGAGTCAATAGAGGAGTGTTGACTCAACAGAGGTGTGGTGAGTCAATGAATATGTATCCAACGAAAGTCGGTGTGTTGAATGGAACAGGGACGTGTTAAGTGAAGAGAGGTGTGCCGAGTCAATAGAGGCAGGTTTATTCTGATTCTGATGTTAAGTGCATGGAAGGGTGTTCAGTCGGAAGGGGTATACTGAATCAATAGAAGCTTGTTGAGTGAATGGAGATGTATTGAGTAAACGTGTCGAGTGAACGGATGGCGAGTGAATGGATGTGCGTTGAGCGGAGCTACGCTACATACAGACGCATGCAGGCGTGCCGGCCACAGCAAGGCGGACACCAGCAGACCAGAGAGGCGGCGAAGCAGCTGCCAGCTCCGCTCACGGTCTCCCCCAGTCATGAGGAACACGGAGGAGACAAACCAATCGTGGTCTTGCCTCGCCCCCTGCAGGGAATCTGGTGCTGTTTTAAGGCATTTCTACGAGGCCCTCATACTGCGAGTCTGGGCAGCATCCACAACGCTCTCAGGGGCATATTCTAAGTTACGGCTCGGATCTGGCTTCGCCTCGATCACGACTCACAGCTCAGGCTTGAACCGCTCCGTTGCTTCCAAAGACGCACAAGCGGCTCAACCGTGGCTTGGCTCAGGCTCAGCTCCACGGAAACCCTGAGCGTGGCTGGAACCGTGGTCAGAGGCGGCTCAGGTTAAGCGTGGCTTTGAGTCGGCTCACTTGAGCCAGAGGCAAGGCTGAGCCAAGCCGTGACTAAGAATATGGGCCTAAGAGTCTGCTCATTGAATGAAAGAGTTCCTGCTTTTTAAGAGAAAGAACAGAACACCTCATATAGTATGCGTGTGCGTGCATTGTAAGTGCAGCTAGCCTTATCATCATTGCTGTTATGACATCGCTGCTACTTATTGGCAAATGGCAGTTGTAGTTCTTGATGGGTGTATTTTGGCAGATAAAATCAACAGTTGTTCTTCTAAAGTATAAGGAAATTATAGTGGGAAATTGCTTAAAATAGGTTTTCTGCAATAATGGTAATGATAATGGCAGGAATTTAACATTTATAAAGCCTGAAACATTTCTTTGGTTAATATTAAAAGGACAACCTCTTTAAATGTACATACAAATTATATAAAACACACTAATATCACAAACCATGATCATCTCAGCTTGTTTTCACGCCTACTTGAACTTTCTGCAAACTCAATTCATGACGCTATGATTATGTCAATTATGTTTGTAAAAGTCTATCCCGTGAAAATCACATTCCCACACAAGGGATCACAGACACATCGGACGATGCCCAATAGACATTCCTATTGTGCCCATATCAGTGTGCGAAAGATACAAGAGGATGGGTCAAGCTTCTTCTGCTGCAGCTGCAGGAAAGCCTTGCTGTGCTTCAACAGGAAGCTCAGATTTTCGACTGAAGACTGTTTTGGCTTGAGCAACTTTAGATGCCTTCCATACCTAAGTGCAAATAGAAAACAAAAACCATGAAGATGTGGGATGCCTAAAATCCATTCAAAATAACTTTGCAATACTCAATAATAATAATAAAAAAGTGTAGTGATTATTTTCAACGGTTTGGTCATAGTTCAAAGCAACAAACTTTGACGGCAGTTCGCAGCAAATTGGCACTGATACTCGCATCTTACCGGACCACCATCTTCACGCCAAGTTGTTGGACGTCAGACAGGGAGTGAGTCTTGACATTTGCATCGTTTACTGAAATAAGAGGGTGCCTCAAATTTAAACAGGAAGCTCGGCAAAGGTCCAGGCTTTTAAGCAATTACCTTGAATCAAATACAGTTACATTTTCTTCACAATACAACTATTTTAGGTACATAAAAATTGTTCATTGTAATTGCGGCTCTAATTTACGTGGCTCCTGAGCTGTCTAAAATATAAAATTAGGTGGGAGCTTATTAAGGCACAGTTGTGCTTTTGTGTGGCAGTCACTTATGTATCGCAAATCAGAAGCATGACTCAATGAGCCAAATGGAGGCATGGACAAAAGTATGAAAACATGTGCAAGCATTTGAAGGCGGAGAGATACAATAAAATGTCCACATCCCATAGAATCCCTCTGTTATGGATTCAATGTGTCAGTGATTAGGAACATTGCATGCCAGCTGCTAGACATTGCTGGAATTGAGTAACACAAATTAAATGTTGTATTGTAGCTGTTTTCTGGTCCAACTTATTTTTTAAAGTCAATTAGTACTATGTATCAATGTAGTTAAATGTATATTACTCCCCTGTAATATAACTTCATATTCATTTACTTTTTTTAGATTTGTTTTGGTAGAATAGTAAAAAAAAATACATGTAGAATAAGCTGGCTGGGGCCGATTGTTTTTATACTGATCATATTACAATGACAATTAAGTGATAGAAACAGAAAACGGGAATAGTAACTATTGTGCCAATACGAAAACAGACAAAGAATATATGTCAAATGCAATAGCAAATTAAGTCATCATGAAGAATCTACGGATTATCATAAAATAGAGATGGGGGAGTAACCAAGGACAGTTTCTGAAGCGATGGATGTCAAGGTGTTTGGCGCATTAACAAGATAATGAGTGAGAACCACGCTGAGTGGTGTTGTTACTGACCAGTGTATTCAGGCAATTTGAAGGCCTGCTCTGTGACATCTCCCTCCATGGCACACACGACCCTTTCCACCACATCCACCACAACTGCAACAAATCACATGCTTCATCAGCATCGTTTAACGTCAGCATTCTTAAACAAAATCTGCAAATGCTATTGCAGGCGTTCTTCCCATTAATTACGGATGTCTCCCATACGCTCTAAGCGTTCTCAGAAGCTAAGCAGGCTTGACTTAATTATTACTTTGTGGGTAAGCATGACGGCTTTCCAGGTGTTCTAGCTGAACGGCAGTGTTTAGTGTCACCCCATCGTGAGCGTTGGCTTATTTCTTGGTAATCTTGTTTCCTCCCACATGTCAAACATTAATGTAAACCTTGCTTAAATAGAATCTTGAAACTGAATGAGGCTTTCCTGAATAAACAATTTGCATTGTTATTAAATACATTCCGGATTAATTTCGCTGAATCGAGCTAGTACATTTAAGATCACTCTTTATTTCAGTTGACTTGTTTAGTTATGTACTTATTTATGTGCCAGACAAAACTGAACAACAACAATACTTTTGGCAAGGGTTTTGTGGGATTTTTTACATCTGAAAGTAGATGCAACAGCTGACTTAATGCTCCCAAAATAATTGTCCAATAGAATGTTCGCTTTGCTGTTTGATTCGTCAATACAAGTACTTATAGATAAAAAAAATACAAAATGGGTGGAACAAATGCACAATGGTTAGGGTACTATTCTATGAACCTCATGACCTTAGTTCGATTCCTCGCCGTGATTTTATCCTCCTCCCTTGGTGTGCAGGTTGTGGTTTCGATCCCGACCCAGATGATGCCTGTATATTTGGAGTCTGAGTGTTCTCATCCCGTGGTCACGTGGATTTTTCTCTGGTCCCTCCAGTTTTGTCCTCCACATTTAGAAACATGTGTTTACATTATTAAAATGATAGATTTCCTTGATATAACCAGAGCAATACTTGTGCATGTGAAGGAGAGTCGGTTAACAATTCAGACTCCTCAGTGTGAATAAACTATGGTATCTATAGCAATTCTGAGGTTAGCTTATAAGACAGTGACACGTCTGTGGTACACACAACCACAGAACAACCCAAAACCCAAGAGTGATTCTACGCCAGTTTTTCTTGCAGTATGAATAATGACGAGCCAGCATGGTTTTCTAATGACTACATCAGCCTGTTTCCAGGCAATTTCTGGCAGTTGTAGGCGGGTGAGCTCCAAGCACAAGGATACTTTTACAGACTTATCATTAAATCTTGCTCTCAATCAGATGTCCTCCATTCCACACACTTAGCAATGTAGTGCAGGCATATTTTCTCAGAATCTAATGTAAGTGGGCTCTCTCTGTTAATCATTGTTCTGCCTAAGTGCAGCACTTATGGTAGCATTCACCAGAACTACAAAGGAGAAACGCGGGTTATTGATTTTTGCCTATGATTCAATACACTGGCTATATTTAAATAACACCGAGGCAAGTGCATGTATATGGATAGACTGGCTACTAATTCATTTTACTGGTGGTCTATTTAAGATATTAACTAATAAATAAATAAAAATCTGTATTAATTCATGGAAGAGCCCATTCAATTGAATTACGTTTTCATAAAGATGATGCCAGTGGTTGCAGTCAGGGCAGTACTTGTAAATATTTGATAACGTGCTTTTAAGGTAATCTTCAAAACGTATGTAGAATCACGTGGCACTAATACGGCATAACTCGTAGATTTAACCAAAAATCTGGCCACATTTATTCTAAAGTATATGGTGACATTTCGATTTAAAGCTTTCGTGACTGCAGGGATTCATCTTATTGGTTCTTTCGGTAAAGTCACGTAGAAGGGAAATAATAATAAAAATAAAACATAATAAAATAATTCTCACGACGTTTCGGCCACAACGCAAGCAGCCGTCCTCAGGTGAAGAACAGGTCTGTCGGAAAGACAGCGTCTGAATGAAATACAGTGCAACAATTGATTTTGCTGCATTGCCATTTGCTTCCTATAACAAAGCCCACCATAATATAAGCTGTCAGTGCATATCAGCACCCAACTAAGCACTATCCAGGCCCAAGCCTGCTTAGCCTCCAAGATATGACGGGAATGGTTGCATTCCGGATGATTTGGTCATAGGGAAAAACGCAATGCATTATGGTTCAAGACAGAAATGAAGGCCACGAATGTGAAATCTCAGGGGATGCCCATGGTAAAAGCAACAATAATTACATTTTATAGAGTGTAATTCATGCTACTTGCATCCCACACCGCTGTACAATAATCATATATAAGGGTCACATCTTTTGTCTAATTTATAAAACAAAGCATGAGTAAATATAATCTCTAAGCAAACGTTGACCAAAACAGTGTAAGTTAATCTGTGCTTTAATGTCGTATGATTAATGTATTTAGAGATGCCTTCATCCAGTAGGGGACTGATTATGACTCATGATGATAATGATGATCATGATGATTAATGTATGGTAAACAAAACATAGCGGTCAAGCAACACAATTTTACAGAATGCAGTTGCAATACTTGTGCAGTGACAATCTTACCGCTTGTGCTCAGGTTGTAAGATTTTACTGCCAGGGCATTGCAGAGCAAGCGCTGGCAGCTTGCGAGCCAGTCTTTGTGTACTCCATTGCCCTTTGACAGAAACTTGGATAGCTCAGTCTCTTCATGGTAGAAACAGGTGGAGGAAAGGGAAAACATTAATTCAGTTTTTTGGACACATTGTAAGGGAGGGGCAATTCATCGAGATTTACTCTGAAAATGTAGACCATGTTAGCATGCAAAACACAAGACAGTGCTGCATTCCACTTTCATAAATTACATAACATTACAATAACCACAACTCCATTATGCCTCAACTGCTAATTTAACATACATTAGCCAACGGGCAACGATAATTTACATTCATTACCTTTAAACTTCAGAAGCAAACATGCCACAGTGTTATACTGCTGACAAAGGGTTTATTACTGCCGTCAGCGTTAACTGAAACATATAAAGATTAAACCACTCGTGCTGCACACATTATCAGCTGCATTCATTGGGGGCTGCAACTTGGCAAAAGTCACATCAATGACACTGACTTCAAATATCACTCGCTAAATTAAATGTGTGCATTGGTCTGTATTGGCTGTACCAGTAGAAGTAATTTTGGAAATGCTATGGCATCCTGACCCGGGGTCCTGTCATCGCCCCCAAGAAAGAAATGCCATGGAGGGTGTCACACACCTTCCTTTGAGTAAGAGCAGGGTTTTGTCTCAGGCATGTAGACTTGTGGGACCGGGTAGGAGGAGAACAGAGGCCAGGGGTAAGGGTCTTCATTCTGCATCCGCCATGGGTGTAAACCAAAAATGCACACGTGCAAGCAAAGTATGGCAGTAGTCTGAATCCATTGAATTGGAAATAATTGTTCACGCAGATTTGTTCACTCATTTACTAAATTATTCACTAATTTACCCAACAGTCAAAAATGCCAAACACTCATGAATGAAATTGGCTAAGCATCCCTATGCAGGGCACTCGTGAAAAATTAAAACAAATGTGGACTTAGTGAGCCCTTCTTCGGAGAATGAAGGACATTATTGTTTGATGCTATTACATACTATTATTATTCAGTATTTTGAATAAACTATGGGGTGGAGTCACTTGGCAACCTATGTTTTATCCGGCCTATAGCTGACATCAGTGGCGAGTGATATCCAATCGAGTCCTGGGCCACCTCTTTAACAACCTTCACTGGCTAGCATGGTTCAAGTTCAAGTTCATTTATTAGGTATAGCCCTGTGAGCCATTCAGCTCTTGAATCGGGTGCAACCGCAACAAACAAAAAACAAAAACATGAACAAAAAACATCTTAAAGTGAATATGTGACTAAGTGCAAACAGAAAATTCAAGAAAAGACAGCAAAAGTATTGCAGAAAAAACACCGTACACCAACGCTGTGTGCAAAAATCTCAGTGGGATGCAAGTCAAACAACAACAACAACCACAAGACAGCTTAGATTAAGGCCATCAGTCTAACTCTGTACTACAACAAACAAACATGGCTAAACCAAATACACTTTTCGAAATCACCGAAATAAAGCCATGAAAGCAATGAAAAAGCAACCATAGGAACTGTGACGGAATTTTCACAATAAATGGCATAAACAACATGTACTACCAAAACCCTGCAGCCATAGCTGGCTGCATGAGTCACTCCACAACAGTAGGAGCATCAATCGGAGTATTGTAATTTTTCAATGCACCTTTAAGATCAGCACACTAAATCAAAACACAGGTCATACTTTGTAGCGATCATCCGGAGCGAAACATTTTATTTTAGGTCACTGAATAGCACTGGCAGCTAGGGGTGTACAACTCCTCTAGAGCAGTTTTGAGTGAAGATCTCATAGGTATGGTGAAGTATGTTCAAACAATACCCATAAATCACACAACACAGGGATGCCTTCATCCAGCAGTAGATTGACAAATGGTTGCAAATTACTTTTATTATAACAATTAAAAGCAAGTGTAATTTATATGTGAGTGGAAGGTCATTTAAGCCTGGCAGCACATTCATCTTGGCAGTGCTAAAAGACAAATGCATGAGGCTGAAGTGCTCCTCTTCTAACATATGATCTATGTCCCATATAACACGTTGGCTTTCGCGACCAATATTATTCATAATCAACGTTTTTGGGTTTAGATCGCGTTATTTATAAATGTGTCGTAACCCTCCACCACCCGACACGGCCAATCAGTACAAAAGTGTCACGTTGACAAAAGACAATTAGTTCACTGCTTTAGCCCACCGGTGTGTTATATAGAACGGGAGACACAGCAGAGCCTCACCATTCTGGCGAATTGCCCGATGATGCTGGATGCAATTACCAGCGAAACGTCGTACTCAAATTGTAAATTGTTGTGGTTTCACGCTTCAACACACCGGTGGGCTAAAGCAGTGAACTAATTGTCTTTTGTCAACGTGACACTTTTTTACTGATTGGCCGTGTCGGGTGGTGGAGGGTTACGACACATTTATAAATAACGCGATCTAAACCCAAAAACGTTGATTATGAACATGTCCCATATGTTTATTATAAAGTGCTCTGGTCTTCCGTGTTTGATGATGTTTATAGTCAATGCAATCTACTGCATTTTGGCTGTATGTAAATAAATTCATCAGTAGACCTGTTTATAAACATGAATCCATTCCACATTATTGCATTTCAAGTAAATTAGAGGTATATGTCAGAGAAAGATAGGTTGCATTCATACAGGCAACTGCCCAAAAGGCAAATTTCTCTTGGGCCACGTTTTGGCCATGTTTTTACAAAAAAAATACCAATGCAAATGTGGTGGATTCATCAATTAAAAACAGCACAATAACACGACTATAACATCAATGGTAGCTTCTGCCAGCCAAAATTGGCCCCAGCCCGCTTCCCGTGGGCTGACAGATTGTCTGCCTGCGTTTGTGCCATGTGTGTACGTGGCCAGGCCACGCACAATCGTTAGTAAATCTTGTACGAATCTGCTAATGCCGTGTGCGTGTGTGTGTTAACATTCCATGGGTAAATACAAGTACCAGACCTGCAGGAGAGTGTGAGGTGGCAGAAGTCTCTCTGATGGCCCACCCACGGTGTACATCTGCACCAGCACATGATTCCTCTCCAGTGACAGCCCATCTATTATAAACTCTCTGCAGCGATAACATAATAAAAAAAAACCGTTGGAATTAGTTTCAACTGCGCAGACATGGCTTGACACCAGACCCTGCACAAATAATTATTTTTGAAATATATTCCTATGATCGGGGGGGGGGGGGAGAGGGCAAAATCTATGGCTTTCTTATGAATGTGTCCAACTCAGTAAATGTGTAAAATGCACATTAATGTTAAACTAAGAAAGTGTTAAAATGTGATGGTCAATTAGTCATTCAAAAACCTGGCAAAGGTATAATTCCAAAAACAATGATAATTATTCCTTTGCACCCACCTGCAGTTCATGATTATCTAATTATATTGCACATGATTTATTTGACACACACCAATTTAACTTGTGGAAATATGACAATAACACAGTAATTGTAGCTGAACATACTCAATAGGGATTTGTAAGCTATGTTTACACATAAAAGCCATGAGCTACTTACAAATCGATGCTCTCAAACTTTCTCAGGTTAATGAAACTTGTAGTCAAATTTACTACACCACTGCAATGTATATTTCACACCTGGAACCTCCACAGTTGATGAATGAGGTTGCCATATAGGCAAAACTTCTGCTAATAGTGCTGAGTGGCCTCATGCTGAGCTAAGGCGTATCAAAGCCTGACACGTTCAAATTACCCGCTGTCCAGCGCATTCTCAACTTGACATGCGAGCAGCGCTTGAGATACGTGGTACTGGCTCTCCAGCAGTAGTAGCGTGTCCAGACCGCAGCACAGCACACTGAGCAGCCTGGAGTGATCAAACAATCCCACCACACACAACGGCAGTCTCGCTCACGTGCGATGGTCTACGCCTGTAATCCAATGCTTTGGAAAAAGGAAGGAAAGTCACGCACAGGCATACATTCTGTAACACTTTTCAAGATGGGCTTGTGCTCAAAAGTATTGAATTCTCAATAACGAGGGGTTGTTCGGGGGCGCCTGCGGCGCCCATCGCAACCATTTACAGGCCATCGGCCAGGAAAGTCACGAAACAAATTTGCACACGAACGAAGCATTCACGCAAGCACCCGATGCTCCGTTTTGAAGTTATAAATGGAAACATCTTTGAATTGTATTGTGTTTTGAATTATATAATTGTATTTCTTCATTAAAAGCTTATATCATTTTACATCTGGAAGACTTAATTGAAAACGACATTTCGTGTGATTTTCTCTCGTCGTTAAGTAGATGGCCTCGCTGGGGGTTCGGTTCGATGCGGACTTTCATCTGTTTGGGATCGCAGGATCGAGATAAAGCGACATACAGCTGGCCGTGCGAGAAGACCGCCGTCTGCAGATCGATTCCAACGTAATCGAACGTCTGTCCCTGCGCCTCCATCGTTCATACAGGGGGCGCGTAGGTTTGCAGCGCCCCCTGCATGAAAACGACGGAAAGTGCAGCGTTCATCACAATAAAGTTGTGCGCTTATTATTATTAATGATAATAATGGCAGCGCTTGCGCCAGGTGCCGTAAACACCTCCGATTATCACAGTTGGCTAGGTATATTGCGAAAGAAGTTAAATATATATGCATAGAAGCAGTACGTCCATAGGACACGATGAGGCATTGGGGTTCTGACAGCATCTCTGTGTGAGAGGGCGTGGGAAACTCTTTCATTCAATTGCGGTGGGTGTAGTACAGAGTGAGTTCCGAATAGCAAAATAACTTTATACCAAAGTTGAGCTCATATTGGATCATATTTATGCGTGTTAATGTCAGTAAGCCACGATGAGAAAATCTTAGTTGGAAAGCATTAAAAAGACTTATGTGCTGAAGTGGACCATTCTGGGTAATGAAGTAAATAGATCTTCTTTTATTCCAATTTGGAGATTTCACTTGCTTCAATTATTTCTGCCAAAGCACTAACAGAACGAAAAACATTTGTTGTGGAGCTAGAGAATAGTGGATATATTTAATTGTCCAGAATTCACCATGACAACACGTAATGAGTTATTCACTCATATTGTTTTTTGCGTTGACATGATGCCATCATTTAGAGGTAATAGTCTGGTCATCGGGCAGGATTAGTTGAGCAAATCTGACTCTGCTGATGAGAACCCGAAGGTCAAAACTGGTCCAGATTTTACTTGTTTAAACAAATGCTGCTGGTCAACATAAATCTCGAATGGCATCAAAGTGATAAGACTAAAATTGAAAAGTGCATAGCTCCGGTGGCTTTCTAATATTAGAAATGAAGAGTGTTACAGATGGCTGCAGAAGCACATCTGAAAGCACGCGATGCAGTGACCATCTATATTCTGCAGTTGTGCTAATAAGATGCTGATGTTTAAGACTTATGTTTGTACTTAAGTGGCTGATGATAATGCATGAGTGAAAGTCAATATAAATGGATGAGCTATTTATTTTTATGTTCGCCGAGCCAAATGCAGCGGCTATATTTTGTCCTTTGTCATCATTGGAGCACTATGTTCTCACTGAGGATCACTCTAACAGCTGTATGAACCTTGCAACATGATCAATCAAAAGTTATTTACCTTGTGAATGTTTGGTCAAAGAGTACATCATTGTTCAATCCATGGCATTGCAATGGTCACCACTGGTCGTTTAAACAATGTGCATGATTGAAAATTGTAAATTTTTAAAGGGGCATACCTTAGTCCAAAGGTGTGCGATTGCTCATAGTTGAACAAGGAGTGTATCTTTGCTTTGGAGTTGACCAGAATCAGTCGGTCTACAATGTCCTGAAAACAAAATACGAACAAGTCAATATTTAAAACATGTGTTTACATATGAACCTTATGGCGGTTCCCCAGGGTACCATAGTACCCCGGCTCTCGCATAATGTCCGTGATGCAGTCAGTTTTTAGTCTGAGATCTGATGAGATCGGGTGCACTACGGTGCGTACGAGTGTTCAGGGTTTCAGCGCAATCATCCTCGCTGCGTTTCTACATCGCGGAGTAGCACTGATTTCGGATTGATTGGTACCCCAGTCGCGGAGTGAAGTACACCCCTAGAAAAAAATAGTGCCCCAGAAATAAAATATTTAATTGCCTTGGCCATTTTGTACCACCATAAGGATCATATTATAAATGTAACTATAGATAAGGGATAGTGTTTTTTCACTCGAAGCCCCAAGAGTCACAAACAAAGGACCCTGTCTCATCAGATATTGGAAGTTAAGCAGGTGTGTGCCTGGTTAGTGCTTGGATAGATGACCAGCATGCATGCCAGGTTGCGATAGGCACCTTTGGGGCTGTGTTGTCAGCAGAGGGCAGATGCAGCCAAATCAATACATTGTACCGTATTTCTACTCTCATGTCTATGCTTCATACCTTCACCAAACCACAATAACCAGCATGGTAAACTACGGTCAAATAACCCTGACGACTCACACGTTGTAGGAAGATTCTCATTCAGAAGTTGATTTACAAAAAAGTGCTGTTCATGTGTTGCATAGGAACTCAACTAAACTGTAATTCATAGCTAACCCTCTCTCACACCCTCACACCCTACTTATTTACAAGGGCACCAAAGGTGAAATCCACAGGACACATGCACATAGGTCGGCAAGTAGTGTAATGTTAAGGAATAACTCACTACAATGGAGGTAGGGATTTCGCGCAGGGAATATTCTTCCTTGTTGGGCAGCATCTTCCCACCAAGCAGCTCACGCACAGCGTAATACGAGGACAGCAAATTCACCAGCCCCAGGAAAAACTGCACACACCCACGGCAGCACACACAATTCCGTTAAGTACTAATTTTAACCACGAGAGACAATGTATTATTACATGAATGCTTAAAAAATATAAACGCAATATGTGACTATGCTAAATGTAAAATTACAGCATGAAAAAAATACATTTAAATCGAAAGCATAATGATAATCATTTATGCCAATTTTTTTTACCCAGGAAAGCCTTAATCAGTTTTAATGCTCTCTTTTAGAAGGGTCCACATTTAGATGTTTGTCCACTACCATTAATGAGTATTTAGCATGTTGATTGAAACTGCAGTACCCAGAGAACACCCATGCCGGTCACTGCAGGTTGGTTAAGAGAGAACTCAAGACGATTTCAGATATCACTTGGCACTGATGTTAACCATTGCTGTCACCATATGTACATTGAACGTTTTTCACACTATTCTTAGTTCTTTCAGTAAAGTCACATAGAAGGGATGGCTGCTTGCGTTGTGGCCGAAACGTCGTGAGAATTGTATTTAATTATGTTTTATTTTTATTATTTCCCTTCTACGTGACTTTACCGAAAGAACTGAGAATATGAATCCCTGCAGTCACAAAAGCTTTAAATCGAAAAATTTTCACACTGTGCGTAGCCAACCGTGCTACAATCCTTGTAACAATCCATCTAGCAGCTGTACACGAACAGATCTCTGGACTTCATCTACTCCATCTTTGCTTATCTTAAAAGGGTCATTTATGTGCTATGAAGAAAGACCATTGCCAGAAACAGCACCAATTACATATTGTTTCTTTTAAGGCCTGCAGTGTTACTGACTAATGTGTTGAGTTTTTTTTCTTGCTCATCTTACACTGCTTTAATTAAGATACTAAACGATATTTTGACTGAAGAAGTTTCATACAACCAGGTCACTGGCAGTTGTTGATCATAACCAGAATGCGCACGCAGCACCGTCCCCCACCTTGTGGCAGCTGCGGTCGATGGGGTCGAGGGCGGTGGGGCGCGGCGCGAGCACACGTACGTCATCCCGGCCACACTCCAGCACGGCCCACAGCTCCGTGACCAGAGTCCTCGTGTAGCCTGCTCGAAGACAGCAGCTCTTATTCTTTGTTTTTATCACATTATCAAAAGTTTTAAACTCATGTCAGACAGGCCAGAGTACACAATCTGGGTATGTTTCTACAATCGCTGAATTGCATTTTTGTTTACACATTCTTTGGTTCTTTCGGTAAAGTCACGTAGATAGGAAAAAAAATGAATAAAAAATAACACAAATAAAATAAAAAACAAAAACCACTAATGTAGACTGTAGCCTGGTTTTTAATCTGAGTGAGTGTACTGGCAGTCTATAATGTAGACTGTAGCCTGGTTATTAAGTTTGGTGAGTGTACTGGCAGTCTATAATGTAGACTGTAGCCTGATTATTAAGCTTGGTGAGTGTACTGGCAGTCTATAATGTAGACAGTAACAATGATTAAGCTGGGTGAGTGTACTGGCAGTCTATGATGTAGACTGTAGCCTGGTTCTTAACCTCGGTGAGTATACTGGCAGTCTATAATGTAGACTGTAGCCTGTTTTTTAAGCTTGGTGAGCGTACTGGCAGTCTATAATGTAGACTGTAGCAATGGTTATTAAACTGAGTGAGCATACTGGTAGTCTATAATTTAGACTGTAGCCTGGTTCTTAACCTGAGTGAGCGTACTGGCAGTCTATAATGTATACTTATTCTTTGGTTCTTTCGGTAAAATAAATCAAATAAAAAACCACGACCATTCGATCACAAAACAAGCAATCGTCTTCAGGAGGAAAGAGGGGGAGGTCACCAAAGGCAACCGTTTTTAAAGGTTAAAATAAAGTGGGCATGGCACAAGCGCTCTGGCGGTGGAAGCATGGAACATGCAGTGCCAACAAAACGTCGTGGTGTCAAAACGAAGTGGGCGGGGCATATGTGCCCTGGGGTAAGGTAACAAGAAAACACAAATGAAGTCATGAAATGACCTGTGTTCCCTTGACAAAAGACCCAAAGTGGTTGATGACATCTTTCCAATGATTGCTGAGTTTGTACCCATCTTCTCGGTTGAAATTGTGTCTATCTCTGGGTGGCTTCATGAACAAATCTTTGTTGATAGCAAGTGAACTTGCAAAGTACCATCGTCTTAGAGAAATAAATTTCGTGTGAGCCAGCCGCATTAAAATAATGATCAGTCACGGCAGAAGTATTGGTCCCACCGTGTTTCAAATCTGCCTCATGCTGACGAACACGGTCCGAGACATGTCGCTTAGTTTCCCCAATGTAACTGCTGCCACAGATACAGCTTAGTTTGTAGATGCTGGGATATTGCATGTCAGGGATCTTTTCCTTCACAGATGGGATCAGATCACGAATTTTATGTACTGTGTTAAATCGGACCTGGATATTGTGTTAGTTCATGATTTTGGAAATCTTTTTGGTTACCCCTGCTATGTATGGCAAGGTGATGGTTTTTATTAGATCCTCAGATGGCTCCTTCCTCACGGTTTGGGTGATGACTTTGCAGATTGTGGTGTAGTCATAGTATCTATTCACCTTGAGAGCTTGGTGTACGTGTTTGAGTTCACTGGTTAGGTGTCCATGGTCGGAGATACATTGAGCTCTCGGGTGTAGAGTTTTGATGAGGGAATTCTTCTGGGATGGTGGTGGGAGTGAGGTTTTAGGTATGGGTTGCTTTCCTGTAGACAGAATGGCTGATCTCTTTTTGATTAGGACATCCAAGAAAGGTAGCTTGCCATCTTGTTTTACCTCCATGGTGAATTTGGTGGCTAAGTGTCTAAAATTGATGTGGTTGAGGAATTGGTTCAGAGCCGGTCGGCCATGTGGCCAGATGACAAACGTGTCATCCACGTACCTCTTCCACAAGGACGAACATAGAGTGGATGCTTAGATGGCGTCCATGTCAAATTTTTCCATGAAAACAATGGCTACAACCGGAGATAAGGGAGAACACATTGAGGTGCCTTCAGTTTATTTGCAGAATGTTCCATTCCAGGTGAAGTATGTATTGGTGAGGCAGTGTCTCACCAGGGCCGGTACATCAGCATTCAACCCTTGTTGGACCAAATCTTCAATTATTGCAATGGTATCGGGCACAGGAACTTTGGTGAACAAAGAAACTACATCGAAACTAACGAGCAAATCACCTGGGGACAGTGAGAAGTCTTTAATTGACGATACCAGGTGAGCTGAATTAAGTACAGAAGAGGTGGTCTTATCAGTGAATGGCTGTAAGGTCTCAGACAGATATCGGGTCAGTTTGTAGGTGGGTGAGCCAATGGTGGAGACGATGGGACGAAGAGGTGAACCTTCTTTATGGACTTTTGGTAAGCCATATAATCTGGGTGGTCTAGCAGCAGAATGTTTCAAGGAAAACCTTTTGTTCTGTTAAATTAATGAAGCTGAATCAGTGAGGATACTGTTCGTTTTGTAACGAGGCTGTTGGTTTTGTTCATGATGACCGTGGCATTGCCCTTGTCGGCTGAGAGGATGACGATATCATCCCTCTTTTTCAATTGAGATAACTCAAAACGCTCATCCTCATCCTTACTGATGTTGCTGACTGGTATCTTAGCGCTTTTGAGGGTTGCAGCAATTTCAGATCTTGTCATGTCTGCAGCGATGTGTCCCAAACCCCTAAGGGCTACATCGACCTGGGCAATAATGTCATCCACTGGTATGTATTTGGGGGTGACTGCAAAGTTCAGCCCTTTAACCAGAACCAATTTTAAACCATTGGAAATTGGACTATTACTCAGATCAATAACAATCTTGTCAACGTCTAACATTTAATGTGTGGATCTGGTTTCTTCTTAGAAAGGAGGTTGCACTTGTAAATCATGTTATCTTTACGTTTAGCTGACATTGTAGCAGCTGATGAAGCATTCATGTTATCTACATGTTCCCAATCAAATGTTGACATTTTTTCTGTCAATATTAAGTGTGTTTTCAAGAGTATCTTGTCCACATGATCTAGTTCAGTGCAGAGCAGTCTAATTCTCTCTGAGATCAGGGCCTGAAGAAAATTCGTTTGGCATTGGAAGATGTGACAGCAGCAGAGGTCAGTGTACAGGAGATCGATATTACCTTAAGAGTCGTGGCATATCTTCAGAAATGTGAGTGACTCGATTAGATGAACTTTCTTGTCTCGGAATTTGTTAAAATATCTTACGGTTATGTGGAAACCCTCCCCGTAGAGGCGGTTAAATTTTTATTTAAAACTTTCGTGACTGCAGGAATTCATATTCTTTGGTTATGTCGGTAAAGTCACATTGTGTAAAGCAAAAATGCTCCTAAAGGCTTACTCATAAAACCATAGAAATGCTTTGTCAAAACAGTGAACGCTTTTTTATTTGGCCGAGTATGTTCCAGGGACACATTGTGCAAATAAATAATATAAAATAATAAAGCCCATATTGCAAATAAAGTTTCCCCATATTACATAGGGGGGGCATAGTTTTAGAATATATGTGCAATGAGAACACGTTACATGGTAAAATTGGGGAGAAGTTAACATAACTGTGTGTAATCAACGTTTTTGGGTTTAGATCGCGTTATTTATAAATGTGTCGTAACCCTCCACCACCCGACACGGCCAATCAGTAAAAATGTGTCACGTTGACAAAGACAAATAGTTCACTGCTTTAGCCCACCGGTGTGTTGAAGCCACACCGGTGGGCTAAAGCAGTGAACTATTTGTGTCACGTTGACAAAGACAAATAGTTCACTGCTTTAGCCCACCGGTGTGTTGAAGCCACACCGGTGGGCTAAAGCAGTGAACTATTTGTCTTTTGTCAACGTGACACTTTTTTACTGGTTGGCCGTGTCGGGTGGTGGAGGGTTACGACACATTTATAAATAACGCGATCTAAACCCAAAAACGTTGATTATGAATAACATTGGTCGCGAAAGCCTACGTGTTAAACTGATAACTGTGTGTGTAGATGTCTTACCAGAGTTGTTAACAGCAGCAATGCCTGGAGCAGTGGCTGACACCTGTGTGACCATTACTCCATAGCCAAACTTCTCAGCACTTGCTCACCTACACAAGCACATCACACTAAGTCACCAATATAAAGTCTATCATATTCATGATTTCCTAGTCCTACATCTTTGTCAATGTACCGCTGCTTTCCCAAAATACTGCTGGATAATGGCCTTACCACGCTTTGTGGTTCGTGATATTAATTTAACCATACTTCACCAAAGCTGGTCAATGTGGGTTAGTGAAAACGTGGGGCATGGATTTTGGAGAATATAACAAAATGAATAAAATATTGAAAAATACTGTTTTTTAAAATACGCTTTAATGAAATGTACTGTCCGAGCTGCCCCTCCCCTTGCCCCCATCAGCCCCTTCCCTCCTTCCACATCCTCCACCCCTCGGCGTGGCTCCCCAAGGCTTGCCGTGACGTAAGGGACAGTGGTGATTTACAGGCAACGTGAGTTGAGCGTGGACAATTAGAGCCGTAAACGTGGACAATTAGAGCCGTAAAAAAGATAGTTTAATTTTGTTATCAATGATAGAATATGGTATTGTCATCAGTATGACATACCTATACTAAGTTTTCAGTCGATAGCACATTGGGAAGTGGGTAAAAATTGAGTTAGACATTTTTGAGGATACGACAACAGACGGAGTGAGTTAAATAAAAGGGTGTAATAAAAATGTTCTTGCACTGCCCTCTGCTGAAAACGTAGCCCTGCAGCAGAAGCCTACAGCACCTATTGTATGCATGGTCACACATCCGAGCACTATTCAGGCTCAACCCTGCTTAGCTGCCCAAATCTGCAAAGATCAATTCCGCATCCTTTGGCCATAGGTATGTTTTATTCAAAGGAGGATATATATATATAAATATTGACTTAAAGCTTTCGTGACTGCAGGAATTCATATTCTTTGGGTCTTTAGGTGAAGTCACGTAGAGAGGTTCAAAGAAAACAACAAAAATAACAGAAAACTACGACATTTCGATCGCAACACAAGTCGTCGTCTTCCAATGTGGAACCTGAAGACCGCCGCTTGTGTTGCGATCGAAACGTCGTAGTTTTAGTTATTTTTTGTTATTTTCTTTGAACCTATCTACGTGACTTTACCGAAAAACCCAAAGAATATGAGGATAAAAATATTCAATTGTGACGGAGAAATACAATCAAGATAACAAGTAGAGAGAACAGTTTCAAATATAGTGATCTATTTGGAGCCGTTTTCTAATTAAATTCAACCTACAGTGTTTATAAATGAACACACCATATGGCAATAAGCGCACCTGCAGCTTGCTTGTGTAGCGGCTGAACATGTATGCAACGCACTGGCCAATGGCTCCGGTCTGCTGCAGCAGCAGGAGCCCCCGAGGGGTCGCGGCAAAATTCAGCAGGTTATCTAGCAGAGTTTCCTCCCATGCTAGCCTGCGGGTGCATGAGCAAAGGGCACGTGGGCATACACAGTCACACAAACACACAAAGGCCCCCCCACCCCCCCCCCAATTAGCCTTTAACAGACTGTTGGGACAAGTGCTGTGACTGAGCACGCATTAAGGGCAGTACAGTGCATGATGGGGTACATACTCTTAGGTTTTTTCGGTAAAATCACGTAGGTAAAAAATAAAATTAAAATTAATAAAAGTAAAATAAAAATCACGACGTTTCGGAGGCAACACAAGCTTCCGTCTTCAGGTGGAACCGTCACCGCACGATTGCTGTATCAAGTATCAAGTGATCAAGTATCAAGTGATACAGCAATCGTGCTGTGACGGTTCCACCTGAAGACGGAAGCTTGTGTTGCCTCAGAAACGAGTATCAAGTGATACAGCAATCGTGCTGTGAGGGTTCCACCTGAAGACGGAAGCTTGTGTTGCCTCCGAAACGTCGTGATTTTTATTTGACTTTTATTAATTTTAATTTTATTTTTTACCTATGTGATTTTACCGAAAAAAAACCTAAGAGTATGAATCCTTGCAGTCACGAAAGCTTCAAATCTAGAATACATGATGATGATGGGGTAGTTTGGCCAGCAGCACACCTAGCCGCCTTGGTCTGGCCTACACAGGGTACCTGGAACTCATTTATGGATGTAAGTTGAACTTCTTTCGCACCGTACATAGCCAACGGTGCGAATCGGCTTAGTCAACCAAGGGCAGGCCCAGGACCAGTGTTGAGATCACTCACCAGTGATGTTAGCCATTGCCAGGGATCAAAGTCAGGTTTCTGTGTTCTTAGCGCAATTTACTAACCACTTCACCACCCCTCCCCACACACAAATGCATTCACGTAGACTTGGACATACGCAAACAAACACATGCACAGTCATACAGGCACAAGCACAATGCAGCATGATGCATTTTAGCCATTCAGAGTAATGTTTGGCACAGCAGCCTCATGGCTCATACTCACAATGCCTGTGTGTCTTGGCTGGATGAGGGCATACAGTTGTCTTCACCAGACACTGGAGTAGGAGCCCTCTCTACTGCACTGCTCGCCTGTGAATAGTCGTGCAGCCATGGGGTATGGGCTACAAATCATCGAAAACAAACCACTGCCGTACATTTAACACATTCCTGCGGAGGGAGCTGGTAGGAACGTTGGGTTGCTCGGTCAATGGCCAGGGTCAACGACGGCGTGGTATATTCCGCAAATATGGCCGACTGTGAGGGCGGGCACAAGCCGGCGTGAGTAGGTTAAACGTTGAGTTTTATAAGAGCACCACGGGGTGACCAGCCCCTCCCCACCCAGTCCCACCCCTCCCACCCCTCACCCAACCCCACCCTCCCCACCAAGCCCCCCCCCACCCAGCCCCTCCTCACCCTCCCCACTCAGCCCCTCCCCACCCTCCCCACCCAACCCCTCCCCACCCTCCCCTCTCCACCCAGCCCGACCCCTCCCATTTTTGGATGCACGACGGACGGATGGACACAATAATCCCCTGTGGGCTGGTGGAACCAGGTGGTTCCTACCAGTAAATAGTCGGAAGTGGAGTACGACACAGCCAGGGCAAAGCTTAAGATTCGAATACACATGAGCAATCGTTGCCTGCAGTTGTCACCGGCAACACATTTACTGTGAGCAGCTATGGCAGCTTAGTGTGGCAGTATTATAGAGTGATGAAATTCTGTGATGGAATTCTGTCTCACAATGAAAACAGTGTTTTCTGAATAGGGTGTGATATGAACCACGATTTACCTACAAAGCACACAACCTTGAGGAGTCATGTGACCACTGTACGTGATGTGGTTTGATGCTGCGATTCCAATTGCCCACAAGTTGAGGAGAAGAGATCACTTTTGTCCAAATTTGTCAACCGAAAAATTATTTTATGACAAAAAATGGTACCGCAATCACTGCAGGATGACACTTGCTGGAAATTACTGTCTTAAAATTGCTCGAGTATATTAAGACCTGTAGGCACTCACTCATCTTTGGCGAATGTTCCTGCTATGATTAGAGGTTACATTACGTGGCATGAACTTCCACACCCACCATCAGCTCTGTATTGCCTTCAAGCTATCCGAAGCCACCATGGAGGGAATTTCTCATTTTCAGCAAACCAGTGTTGATTTAAACTAGATTCGAAGCTTTCGTATCCACAGAAATTACTCTTTGGTTCTTTTGGTAAAGTCACGTAGAAAATGGAATCAAATAATAGAATACGACGTTTCGATTGCAACACAAGCAACCCCCATTAGGTAAGAATGAATGAGGAAAAAAAACATAGTCAACTTAGAAACACAATGCAACACAACACATTCTTTAATTCTTTGGAGGAACGTGGCCAGCCAGGTGGGCTGTTGGCTGTTGTGTTGTCCGACTCTCTGTGTTGTGTTTCATTGTGTTTCTAAGTTACTATGTTTTTTTTTCTCATTCATTCTTACCTGATGACGGTTGCTTGTGTTGTAATCGAAACGTCGTATTCTATTACTATTTGATTTTATTTTCTACGTGACTTTACCGCAAGAACCAAAGAGCAGTGTTGATTTAGTCAGCATTCTTTTCATTACAGTCTAAGTCCACACGGATGACATGTAGTCACTCATAGACTAGTCAATTAAAGAAGTGAAAAAATTGTCTACTCTTCAGAGTGTGTAGTTCCCCTCCTCCCCAAATATTGCCAAATCAGACAATTAGTGAATGCAATAAACCTTTTTGTACTTTAGTCACAAATAACATTTCAAACGCATCTTTGCATTTTCATTCAACCAGTAAATTTTGTCTCATTATAGTCAGTCACGCTTTTGGCCATTGACGGGTAGTCATTGCAATCCTTGATGACTTTTGTCTTACATGCAGTTATCATCGACTAAAATAAAAAAAAAAACAACACTGAGTCGAAGAATATTTTCACGACTTATCTCGCCAATAATAAAATCAACACCGCACCAAACGCACACACGTACCTCCCTCCAGGCGTGTGCCAGGCAATCGTGCAGACGGTATGGCTGCAGCACCTGGAGCCCCTCGGCCGTGTTGTAGAGTTGGCGACAGACGAACACAAATGCTCCGATCACGGCCCAAGACAGCTGCACGGGGCCCGCGGGTGTGACCAGGGGTCCGTCCAGCGTGCGCTTGCAGAACTCGACGATCACGTGCGCGGGAGATGACCTGGGTTCGATGAAGCGAGGCAAACAAAAGATCCGGATGAGCCCATTTATGAGCGTAACAGGTAATAGTGAAGAATTGACTTGAGGTGGCGGATGGTGATTCATTGAAATTCCACCATGTGTTCCCATTTAACAGCAGTAATGTTAACATTGAATGCGATTAGGAATTCTTTTTGTAAATCAGCATAATGAAGTACAGCCCGTTTCTGGATAAAGGACTCCATATGCAGTGTCGATCATGGGGATCATTAGAACATACTGCATCACATTATTTATAGTGGGTTGGTGAAGTGGGGGTTTGTTTAACACGTAGGCTTTCGCGACCAATATTACCAGTTCAGATATCACATGTCACTCATGTGGGCTATGGTTGGGAATCAAACTCAACCGGCACGGTTAAGGAATCGATTCTCGGTTCAAATATTGACCCTGAATTAATTAACAAGACAGGGAACTTGGCAAAGGGCCACAAAGTGAGAAAACAGCACATTACAATGCATATTCACACTTCCATGACACAGGGGACATGATCCACATGGTTTATTGTTTTGTGTCCAATTTATATATTGCTTAATATTTGGCTTATAAATGTAGTGTTAAAATTGTTTTAATATAAAAGCAAAAACGGTTATTTGGAAAGAAATATAGATCTTCATGAGTCAGACCTTGCTAGTAGCAGATATTATTTCTGTAGAAAATGCTACTAATACTTAATACTAGAGATTGCTTTAAATATTTCCAATGCAAGGCACTACCGAATTGACCAATGATAGTAATTTAAAAGCCTTACAATTAAAACTATACAACACTACAATGACATTTGCTCTACATGCTCAGCCATACAAATGATTTAATTTAGCAAAATGTATAATATTGTAATATAAAATTGTAATATTTTTAGAAATTGCACTTGCCATAACCTAAGGTTATTTTACACACTAAATACCTAATCTCCACCACAATTCAATGCATTTTCAAGATTTTGCAGTATTATATATGCTGCTGTGACACATGTAGAATGCATATTGGCCTGCACAGTTTCTGTGAACCCGAATTAATTATTCACGTAACATACATAGGCGTGCATTTAGAGTATTTAGCTGCTTTACATTTCCACGTGATAAGCCACTTCGTTGAGCGATCATTTGTGGCCAGGGCGCTTCTGAAAAATAGCTCTGTGTGCCTTGCCTGGTAAAATAAAAATTGTTTCGTTTCTTTAAAATATGTGCGGATTAACACCCATGAATGGAATTGTCCAGATATTTCAATAAGAAGTCTCCTGAATAAGAGTGCCACGATCCAGCAAAGCTTTGCTGGATAAACAAAGGGCATTATTAATTGTATTATTACGTGAATCGGAAATTAAAAAAGCGGAATTTTAGGCTTGCACGCTGAACTTAAATATCAATGTTACTGTATTAACTGATAAATGATATGAGCTTAGTAAATTTGTTCAGTGCCATTAATGAATTGTTACATGCCACTTTAAGGAAATTCTGCTTTCATATCATATATATACTGCAATATGTTTCTTCAATGAATAGTGATACAACAAGCAGCTGGAAGCCTGCTTTGACAAGCAAGATAAAGTTAGACAATAAAAATGACCAACAACCATTTTTCATATGCTGACAGTTTCAATGAGAAGTTAATGAGCCTCAATAGGGTCTCATTTGGCACAAAAGCCCATATATCACCGGACCATTTTCAATTAAAATGGCTCGTAGTAAACAGAGCAGCACGCTGTCGCTGTCCATACAGTAGAAGCTGAGTGAAAGCACAACCTTTGTATCTCATGATCCAAGGGAGTTGATGCCACTTGGGGTGGCAAATACTACCAGTATGCACCACAGGTAGTATCCGACATGGGCGGAAAGCTGAGTGTACATCCTCCTGTTGTGTTTCATAGAGATTCTTCCTATTTATATTCATATCACATCGATGTTTCATTTCACATTCATATTTTACCAAACAATATTCTCATCACACAGGCTACTGGTACCCTCTAGATATAATGTTACATGTTAAAAAAAGCTAACACGATTTAATTTGCTATCATTTAGAGATAGAATGCTTCTAACAAAAATCATTGTTAGTATTTGCCCCCCTAGGTGGTACAGATATGTTATATTACGGACAAAACTAAGTGTGTGTATATCAGAACTATGCCTGTATAAAGTATGGTTATGTCCATCTTACTGGTAGAAACCTCCTGGTTACACCAGCCCACAGGGGATTATTGTGTCCGTCGTGCAGGGAGGGGCTGGGTGGAGAGGGAGGGGCTGGGTGGGGAGAGGAGGTTAGGGAGGGGCTGGGGTGGGAGGGTGGAGCTGGGTGGGGAGGGGAGGGTGGGGAGGGGCTGGGTGGGGAGGGTGGGGAGGGGCTGGGTGGGGAGGGGCTGGGTGGGGAGGGTGGGGCTGGGTGGGGGGTGGGAGGGGTGGGGCTGGGTGGGGGGTGGGATGGTTGGGGCTGGGTGGGGAGGGGCTGGTCACCCTGTAGTGCCCTTATAAAACTCAACGTTTAACCTACTCACGCCGGCTTGTGCCCACCCTCACAGTCGGGCATATTTGCGGAAAACACCACGCCGCCGTTGACCCTGGCCATTGACCGAACAACCCAACGTTCCTACCAGCTCCCTCCGCAGGAATGTGTTTAACTATACTATTCTGGTTATGCTTGTTTGCCTGGGAAATCCTCACTGAAGAGCAAGATTCTGTTTTAGGAGGGTCTTGCAAAGTTTTTGCAGAACGGGGTTTGATGTTGCTATGTATGTCAATTGAGCAATTTTTCTGAATTCTGATATGTTGGTCCAATAGCAGTTACAATGTATTTTTTTTAGCTATTGGAGGAAACTGGAGAACCTGGAAGAAACCCATGCAGAGCAGGTAAAGAACATACAAACTCATCTCAGAGAGGCACCCGAGTAGGAGAATCAAACCCAGGCCCTTCTTGCTCCGAGGCACAAGTGTTACGCGTGCGACGCTAGATCCCACCTACTCTTTGTTTTTTTCAGTAAAGTCACGTAGGTTAAAAACAGGAAAACAAATAAATTAAATCACGACGTTTCGGAGGCAACACAAGCCTCCGTCTTCAGGTGGAACGGTCACAGCAAAAATTACTGTAACAAGAGAAGGGAACTCCAAGAGACACGATCTTAAATACTGATTAAGGGAAAGGGAAGAGGAGCCATCCTGGCTCCTGGTTAAGGGATTTAATTTACTTGTTTTCCTGTTTTTAACCTACGTGACTTTACCGAAAAAACCAAAGAGTATGGTTCCTTGCAGTCACGAAAGCTTCAAATCTAGAATTAGATCCCACCTGCCAGCCTGGGCGCTCTGCTTGCCCTCCCCCCACAGCAGCAATGAGAGGCCGCGATCCGTGGAGGCCACACGAGCAAGAATGTCGGCCACGTGCAGCAGCGTCGATTCTTTGTTGGCGCCGCTCTGTGCACAGTCGCAAGAGACAGAACACGCCCTGTCATGAGGCGACACGCTCGTACGTCTAATGCACAGTCGGCTAATGTAGTTGTATCAACTATACAAGTTTCAGTGAATCGCTTCTCTTCAGGTAAGGGGATTTTAATACGCACTTAGAAACTTAATTTAGCTAGCAAGGTCAACATGAAATGCATTTTGGTGTGGAGCGATGGTGCAGTGGTTTACGCACTGCACTTTGAAGCTTGTAATTTGAGTTATATTCGTTGCCACGGATAACATCAGTGTCATGTGATATCTGATACCGGTCCTTGGTTACTTTCCTTCACCAACCAGCACTGACCAGCGTGGTGAAGTATGGTCAAACAACTTACTGACTGGCATAGCATATGCATGCTTTTATCCAGGAGTAGCTTGATAATGGGTTAAAGGCAGTTACTAAGTCTAAGGAATATTTTTTGCTATTAAATTGAACGCATTCAGCCTTATAAGTATTCGAAAAGCCAGGCATTAATTCTAAAATTGCAAAAAGCTACGTATAATCCAGCAGTTTAATAATTTTTACGACCGCAAATCGACGAGTGAATGAGAAAAAACACATTTGTCCTATGACTTACACTGTTTGCATATGCCTGTTATAGGTAAAAAAAAAACGTCCATAATGAAAGGGTTTCAGATAAGTAAAAATCCACTGTACTGTGAAATTAAACTGACAAATGTGAATCACATTCTCCTAAAAACCGTAGCTTTTTTGACATGCATAGAAATTCTGCATGCTGCGGTGCAACTGCCGACCTGGCTTTATTCACAGACCAACAGTGTTGCCGTTCCAAATCTTTCACTTTACTAGAGCATGACAGCCAGCTTAGATGTACACTAAATCATTAACCTCAACACGAAACTGCACAACTGTGGACAATGCCAACGACAATGGCAACAGTGGCCGTGACACACGGAAACTTGGTACACCACCCGAAAGCAAACATCATTCGCGGAAGGAAAAGCTGCTTGCAAAGAGTTTGTCACGCTCGAGCCTTTCAGCGCCATTATTCATTTGTGGGTATGTGCGAGCGTGTAAATGGCAGTGAAGTCAAAGTTCATATTCTTGGGGTTTTTCGGTAAAGTCACGTAGGTAAAAAATAAAATAAAAATCACAACGTTTCAGAGGCAACACAAGCCTCCGTCTTCAGGTGGAACCGTCACAGCACGATAGCTGTATGCCACGTTCGAGCCTTTCATTTACTTGATACAGCGAGCGTGCTGTGATGGTTCCACCTGAAGACGGAGGCTTGTGTTGCCTCCGAAACGTCGTGATTTTTCTTTTATTTTTTACCTACGTGACTTTACCGAAAAAACCCAAGAATATGAATCCTTGCAGTCACGAAAGCTTCAAATCTAGAATTAATACCCTCTACGGGGAGGAATTCCACCTATCTGTTAGAGTTTTTAACAGACGAGACAAGAAGTCACAGCCTCATTTACTTGATATAACGAGCGTGCTGTGACGGTTCCACCTGAAGACGGAGGCTTGTGTTGCCTCCGAAACGTCGTGATTTTTATTTTATTTTTATTTTTTACCTACGTGACTTTACCGAAAAAGCCCAAGAATATGAATCCTTGCAGTCACGAAAGCTTCAAATCTAGAAGTCAAAGTTCAGGCTCACCATTCTGCCTTCCAGGCAGGCGGAGATCGGCAGTGTAAGGGCGTGCACCACGGCGTCATTGTAGAGGCAATCGGTGGCACTCTCCTTGCCCTCGCACAGCATTCTCAGGACCCCAAGCGCCAGCGTGCCAGGGTCATACACGTCTGCATGGCGGTAAACACCACACACGTCATCGCTTTGCTCATCCCGAGGATATTATTGATTTGTTCGACGCACTATGAATCAATAAACAGCTCCTTGTGAAAGGGTTGCTTTAAAATACGGAGTTTTTGTTTGCCAAGTTAAATTTGAGCGGTCATATTTCGATTTAAAGCTTTCGTGACTGCAGGGATTCATCTTCTTGGTTCTTTCGGTAAAGTCACAGTAGAAGGGAAGTAATAAAATAATAAAAATAAAACATAATAAAATAAAATAAATTATATTATTTTATTTTATTATGTTTTATAAAACATAATAAAATAAAATAAATTATATTATTTTATTTTATTATGTTTTATTTTTATTATTTTATTACTTCCCTTCTACGTGACTTAAAATAAAATAATATAATTTATTTTATTTTATTATGTTTTATTTTTATTATTTTATTACTTCCCTTCTACGTGACTTTACCGAAAAAACCAAGAAGTTGAGCGGTCATGTCCATCATTCGGCAAAGAAAGTTGCACTGTTCTGCTGAGTGACGTATCATGTTATGCTTGAAAAAGTAATGAACACCACGGGTGGGTCGGTTGATTTCTGACCAGAACGCGTTCCCGACTGTTTCTTGAATTGCCTGGGTGCTCCGCCATGCATGCACATGAGCTCGACACACAGCACCATCACGTCTGACAGGGAAACTGGTTCTGCAGGAAAAACATAAACACACAGAGGCACACGGCTAAGCAAGCATCTTTCATTTTAAAATCCGAAATACATTGTCATCTGTCTAACCCGTCAAAATATCAAACGCACTCTTATCACACCAACACATTCCAGCGTGAAAAAAATAAACATATTCTCAAGCAATATCACTCTCACAACAACGGCTTTCCAGGGATAACAATAGAAGGGTAACTAAGCCTCAATGTAGCTATTAATATCTATACTTAAGCTCATGATACATGCAATGAATCGCATTTGTAAGAATCAATACTTTTAAGATTTGTATATGTCGTGTCAAATATGGTTACTTTATCCAAACAGCCATGAAAGGCTGCTACATTGACCACACTGTAAATAAAAACGATCAATGCTTGAACTGAATAACAAACCCTCAATCTTTACACCTCTATGTATGAAGCATGCACTCTGAAATTATCGTAATTTTTTATCTCGAGATTTATACATCAAAGGACTTGTTAACAATCGAACCAGAAATACGGACAATAACAAACAAAATGGAAGAAGGCTGAAGAGTACAAAAATAAGCATGGACAGATACGCTTTGTTTTTTTCTTTTTGTTTTATTCGGTAAAGTCACGTAGGTAATTTTTTTTTTTATTAAATCACGACATTTCGGAGGCAACACAAGTCTTCAGGTGGAAGACGGAAGCTTGTGTTGCCTCCAAAATGTCGTGATTTAATTTATTTTTTTTACCTACGTGACTTTACTGAAAAAACCAAAGAGTATGAATCCTTACAGTCACGAAAACTTCAAATCTAGCATGGACAGATGCACGTTTGGAACTCTACTGAGCGACACAAAGAGGAACACCTGGTTATTATTTGGTTCTTTCGGTAAAGTCACGTAGGTATAGAGTAAAAAAATTAAAATTACGACGTTTCGGGCGCAACACAAGCGTCCGTCATCAGGTGGGACAACCACAGCAAGAAACAATTGCTGAAGTGGGCAGAAGAGCTGCTGTAACACGAGGCTATATAGCCACTTCAGCAGTTGTTTCTTGCTGTGGTTGTCCCACCTGATGATGGACGCTTGTGTTGCGCCCGAAACGTCGTGATTTAATGTATTTTAAACCTACGTGACTTTACCGAAAGAACCAAAGAATATGGATCCCTGCAGTCACGAAAACTTAAAATCTAGAAGGAACACATTGATCAGGGAACAAACACAAATGAGTGACATATTATGCCGATGGTTAAGTGAATGAGCTTCAGCAGAACACATCATTCGAAGGGATTATGGTTGATGGAAGAGAATGGTGACAATGGGAGATCAGCTCATCTGTAGGATTATATGGATTGCGACATCTTTTCAACTGTGGGGGAGCGGTGGTGCCGCGGTTAGCGTAGCTACGCCATAAACCTGAAGACTCGAGTTCGATTCCCGTTGACGGCCAACACCAGTGACGATTATCTGAACTGGTCCTGGGATATCCCTAGGTCGACTCAGCCTCAAATGAGTACCTGGTGCGGTGTGTCAACATTGCCATTCCGGAGACAAAGGCGGTTGGACATGGTGCTGGCCATCCACCCCCTCGTGTGACGTGCCGGCCTTCATAGGTGCTCGCTAACAGCACTCCTACAGTCTGTTATGGGTATATGGGGGATCTTTATATTTGTCAATCTAGCAGTGAATAGAAAATGGCTGATGTCGATGAAAGAACTTGAATACATTTGACATTTCATTATTTTGAATCACAAAATGATTCAATGGTTCCACTGCCGACAATGGCAATTCTCCGGCAACGCTTTACCCACCTTTGCGATTTGCAATGATGAGCGGGAAAAGTTTGCGTCCATGGGCGTACATCAGCAGCCGTCCCAGCATGCACAGCGAGTGCACAAAGTGCAGGTACAGCAGCTCGGCCCGCGTGTATGTTGTTCTTCGCCCGCTATCTGTGTGCACAGAACACAACGTGCAGTTGGTGGTGGATTTAACGACACATTTACATTTAAGCGATTTAACCCCCCCCTCCCAAAAAAAAACTATATTATGGGTGCAGGTCTTCAAGAATTATTATAATTACCACATCACACAGAAAGTTCCTTGTTCTCATCAGACGTCGAAAAGTAACCAGGGTTGAGCCAGGAGAGTGCTTGGATGAGCAACCACCATGCCTAACAGGTTGTCATAAGGCTGTGGGGCTACGTGGTGGGCAGCAGAGAGCAGTGCAAAATTTTAGACTCACATGTCTATGCTCCCCCACCTTCACCAACCTGCACTGACCAGCATGATGATGTATGTAGTAGGGTCAAGTAACCTTCACGATAAGCCGTGGGGATGCCCTCGTCCAGCAAAGATTGACAAAGGGTCTGTACAAAGAAACCTGCTACCTCCTATGTGTCCAACCATAATTTCCAACTCCTTGATATTAAACAATCAGTGGTATGGTGAAGGAGGAATTTCAGATACACTAGTATAGAATCTTGAATTGTTTGGAGCATATACAGTAACATATTTTATTAATGTGTGCTATTTTCTTGGCTGCAAATGTGTGAAAAATATAGCCGAATATTTTTAGTGATTGTGTTTAGACATTTGTTTTCACCTTCTGTTTTCAATGTTTTTTTTATTCCTTTACTGTACATTATTTGCTTTCACCCCCAGGGCTCACTTGCGAAATACTATTGTCTCACTGGGCTCTCACCTCGATATAAATAACATTGATGTACAACATGCAAATATGTAAGTATTTATTCTTGTCATAATTGGTCCAACACATTTTAACATTGTGAGGGATCTTTACATATTAAAAGCATGCAGAAGATCTAATAGAATAACTTACCAGTGCCTGAATTTGAATAGTCAACACGTTATACAATGTAAATTTTGATGTACGGAGTAACTTAATGCAACTGCATTGCAAGATGAATCATGTTCTATATTTACAACAACAAAAAAACACAATTACTTCATTAAATAAAAACACAAAGTAACATTACCCTCTTCTGGCAAACTATACCCATCTGCAGGCTGGGTCATGTAACCTGCATTCCCAGCATGCTCAAGCAGCTTGTTTGGCCAGATAGAGGGGGCTAAATGGGCATGGCACAGGCTACGTTGACCAACGTGTTAGAGAAGAATTTGGAGCCGATTGGATTTGCCGATGACTAACACCAGCAAGTGTCAAGATCAGTCGTTGTGGTGGAGGCTCATGAAGGATACTTCTAGGCAGCTGGAGGCATTTGCCCTCCAGCAACAACGGAGGCTGGATGAGCAACGCTCATAATGAGTGGAGCACCGGGTGGCTAAAACACTTCAAGTTCGCACAGTGGGTAGGACAGGTGGTGCATCTGTCAGTAATTTCAGGTCAGCTAATCCATGGCACCTGGATATATTCCATGACCTCCTGTAAGCAAGCCTTTGACAACTTCACGTGGCCTCAATGTGCACCTAGCCTGGTACAAATGCCGTGGTGACGTCACCGTCACTTAGTGGCGAATAGAAATTGCTGTTGTGTAGGCACAGTTGCTACTGGAAGTCCTCTCAGGCAATAGAATGGTTGAGATGTGACGTAAGGTGCTTCGAGGTACTGAGGCCTTTAAGTTCCCAATACATTCAAATCCTTGAATCCTTTAAACAATGTCCATGTAGAACCCAACAGGCTTAGATGTACTGCCCAAACAAATTTAATATGAACTATTCCTGAAGGACAAACGGCATAAATCCAGAGAGCAACCTGAATTCAACTATTGTCGCAAAGGAATATATCTAAGCACAGATATTATGGATGTCACGGGAATAACTAATTTGATTTTTTTTTCAGCTCCTCTTCAGAGGTAGATTAACTGCCAATAATGTCAATGACACGTTTGGTCTCTTGACACCACTGTTACATGTTTTAGTGCACAAAATCACGGAGTTCAACAGATACATAAATCACCCGTGCAGAAATCCTAAAATCAACAAATTAAATTAATTCACTAATTAACGTACAGGATGGAGTTGCTAAGAATTGATGTATATTGCTTTGCTGGGAATGATTCACAACCCAATTTTCGTGGCCCTAGATACCTAAATTCTAACACTGCTTTCCCAAGTCACTCATGTGCAGATTTATTTAAACATCTTTACAATGAAGATTCATTAATCACGTCACAGTATAGCTCTGTAAGACTTCAGAAACAATAGAATCACCACTAGTTTGTAGGGGTGGGTGGCTTCATGACGGATAGTTTTTGTACAGGAACATGGCACTATCCCTGTATCACTAACCATCTTCCACTGCATCACGAGCACAGTGGTACTGTGCAGATCATCTATATAACTGAAAACGATTCACTGCTCAATAGTTATAAGACCAACATTCCGAGGGGAGTAGTGCAGTGGTTGGCGCAATAAGCTGCGAACCCAGTAACCTGAGTAAAATTTTGCAAAAATGAATAACATCAGTGGCGAGTTATATATGAACTGGTCATGGGCCGATTAATTCACCAATCAGCAATTACCAGCATGGTGAAGAGGCCTTCATCCAGCAGTGGATTGACAAGGGGCTGTAAATTAAATATTATGTTACGAGTCCTACAGAATGGTAGCAATCTTTCCATTCGATGAGAATGATGGCATCAATGAAGCACACTATTAAAAAATAATGACCGTACTGACAAAAGATAATGAATGAATACATTAACAAGGGAATGAATGACAGCAACTTAAAGGTTAGTAGTCTCGGTGAACAACTGCTCATGCATTTATGAACTGGATGATGAAGAAGGGGATGAAGGGATGAGAGGATGAAGGGATAAGGCAATGGCAGAATTGTGAAATTAAGGGATGAAGGCGTGACAGTCTGACAGCGATCCGCAGGATGAAGGAATCGAACAATGGATGGATATGGTGGCACTCACGAATGGTCTGCTGCTGTAGGCTTGCTCTCATCTCCTCTGTCCCATCCTGGCAGCTCTGCAATGCCTGCCTGTAGCTGTAACACTGCTGCACAGCATCCTTAATCTGTCCACACCAAATCATATCATCAATGTACTCCAGCATACCACAATCCTGTATTCCACAATGTACAGCCATTTTTTGTCAATCAACTGCTGGATGATGGCTTCCCCCACACTGTGCAGGTCATGGGGGTTATTTGATGACACTTCAACACGCTGGTCAGTGAGGGCGGGCAGCATAAACATTATACTTTTATTTTTTTCGGTAAAGTCACGTAGGTAAAAAAATGAAATTAAAATTAATAAAAAAATAATAATAAAAATCACGACGTTTCGGAGGCAACACAAGTCTCCATCATGACCTGATGACGGAGACTTGTGTTGCCTCCGAAACGTCGTGATTTTTATTATTTTATTTCTATTAATTTTAATTTCATTTTTTTACCTACGTGACTTTACCGAAAAAACTAAAGAGTATGAATCCTTGCAGTCACGGAAGCTTCAAGCCTAGAAGCATAAACATTGGAGCATAGTACAGTACAACAATCCGTTTTAATGCAGTGTCTTCTCCTGGCCACACTGGAGCCCCGGCAGATAACCATGTAAATTAACATCTGCACAGGAATATGAAGACTGACAAATTGGTCCTCGTTTTTAACTTAAGCCATCTGCGAAAGGACTGAGAACTTACCAGTGAGATGTATTTGGTCTCCAACAGCCGAAGAACCACTGTCCTGCTGTAGTAGCCATGCTATGGAACCAAAACAATGCATGCATGTTTAGTCCACAACTTGATTTGCAAGTTGTGCAATGTCCCTCAATATCCCACCACCGTCAGTTATAAATAGGCTATAAGATTCCTGAGCTGGATATTTTTATCATTAGTTTTGAATACCTATTTTTCTGGACTTTCTTCATATCCAGAAACGGTAATGAAAATATCTCAATCGTGAAATCATGCTGCAATTGTTATTTCTTTGCAAAAAGGGAAACAGAAGTGATATTAATAATCAAAGACCAATCTGCCCCCTCTTGCACACATATATATTGTTCACAACAATCTGAGGGAACTGGAAAGTGGAACATTTAGAGTCAAACGAACCGTATGTGCATGCTGGATTTAGGAAACTTTTCTCTTCCATCGGCCACGTACATACGATCAATAAGATTCTGAAAATGACCAATGGATATCACATTGACTCTTACTTGGTTGGGAAGAACAAAAGCAGTAAAACATTGAACATGCCTCACCATCCAGAGTTTGAACCAGGCTGCTTTCGGGTCCAATAATGACAGCAGGCAAATGGGATGGATGATGTTGTGAGTGGTGTCCTCTCTCTGTGGGCGGTCTGATGAGCAGGCGAGGAATGACAGGGTGCTTTCCACAATCTCCTCCATTAATCTGAATGGGACAAGCACAATCCAGTGCAGGCATCACTCATCGGCTGTCATTCATGCAGGACGCACTGCACCCATGAACAAGTCATCCAAAATATGCTTCATCTCGTCAAATCTCAGAAGCAAAGCAGGACTGAAGCCTGGGTATTGCTTGGTTGAAAAACCACTACATAAAAGGTGCTAGAAATTAAGGAGCAACATGGTAGGCAGCAGAGGATATTGTGGAAAAATCCATTGTTGTAAGTACTATGCTTCTAAATCTATGCTCGTCATCTGCACTAACTCATGCTGACCAGTGTGATGAAGTATGGTTAAATAAACCCAATGGTGTGCAGAGGTCGCCATCCAGTAGCGGATTTACAAAAGGGCTATAAAATTACATCAAACTTGTACCCTGTATTCCACTTCTCCAAAAGGACTCCGATTTATTCTGCACAGGCAAGAAAAATCCACCAGTGTTTATGGGTCTGTAATAAGCCCAGTATTTAGTCAAAACTCTGCGATGAGAGGCAAAATAAGTGTGTACACTTTTTTGAATCGATAAAACAATTACACAATAGTTTTTGCAACAAAACTCGCATCACATTTTTGGTCATTTGCGAGGTATGTGTGCGTACTTTTCAGGTGAACGGATCCAAAACGATGGCACCTCTTTTTGAAAGTCATTCAGCAATCGTATCTGCAAAGTTTCAAATGAACAGGCAAAACAACACAATATTTTACATATTAAACGTATGCATTCAACTAATACTAAGTGAAAATAGTTGTGCTGAATCTCAATATATGTTCTTTATCCATCATTGTTTTGGAGAACTATCAATGACAACTAAATTAACTTGTGCAATATGCAAAATATGACCACTGTGAGCTGATATAATTTTAATGAAAGTGTGGACCACCTTGCTCATCTACTTGGGGTGCCACGGTGGCAGGATGTTAACTACCTCGCCTGGTATGCAGGAGGTCGTGGGTTCGATCCTGACCCTGACGCCTGTTTATTTGGAGTTGGCATGTTGTTCCCATGGTGGCCACGTGGATTTTTATGCGGGTTCTCCAGTTTTCCCCTCCATATTTAGAAATATTTGTTTCGAGTATTTGGCTGCTATACATTTCCACAATAGGCCACTTCATTGAGTTATCATTTGTGGCCAGGTCGCTTCTGAAAAAGAGATACATCGCTCAGTGGGCCTTACCTGATAAAAACGTTTACTTAATTTTAATGGGAATGGAACATCATGCTGTACCTTAGATATCTTATTGATTCACCCATCCACAGTTTGATGAACTGTCACAATTTCGGGTTGAAAACTTTATTTGCAAATAGATGTTTGTTCCCTTGAAATGAGTGTGCACTCTACACTGATGTGAATCTTTGCAATTCGTGAAGGTACAGTTCAGAATACCAGTATATGAATTTGAAATAATTGTTTTATACGCACAATTAGATACATGCACGAGTGAGAGTAAGAATCTATTTAAATCAATAAATTGATTAATGTTGTATCCACACTATAACTGCTTGCTCTACCGAGCCCAATAATGTTCACTGTGTAACCAACTGAAACAAAATTGTCGATTTGTAACAAGATAAATAGGCACACGTCTCCTCCATATATCCGTCTCGCCATGTGACAAAATAAAAGTGTTGTTTGTACAAGCCATTAGCCGCACGACCTTTTTGGCAGTGCATAATTTCAGCGGCGATGATTTATAAAATCTGTGGACCGAATTTGACATACGGTGTCTCATTATCAGTCAGGCTTGCTTTAAAACAAAAACAAGCATTGATTAATAAAAGCAAGCCATGAATCAAGCAAACCTGATTCTGCAGATGAGGCAGGATATTTCGAAACCGGTCCAGTTTGTTTGTATTGAATACATGCTGCGGAATTATGCACAAAAACGTTGTGCTGCTGATGGGTTGTGTAAGAAATATTTTTTTTTTATGTGGATAGACAGATTTGTAAATGACGAAGACGTATTGTCTGCTTATTATTATTTTGTTGAATTCTAGTTCTGCACTGCCATCTCCTGGCCATGCAATTCTTACACTAACGATAAATGCACGGAATGGTGCGTGTAATAATTATTTACAAGTATGTCACATATATGCGAAGGATATTTACATTCAAGCTAAATAAGCATTTGGAAATGTACAAATTGGACAAAAAAAGCACGATACAAAACTGTGATGAAATGAGATGAAAAACACAATTTCTGTTTATCTTTCTTCTCTCAGTGCAAGATGAGAATTTCTCTTTACCATTTCTCTACCGCTTCTTGAACTACGGTCACATTTAGACGCCATATCAATCCGAATTGTAATTGATTATTCATTGGACGGCAGGACGACCCTGAATTGTGGCAACGTTGAATCGCAATGAGGTGAGCTGTTACACACCGAGTTATGAATGCGTGAAATGTACACCTGCTCAAATGCATTATGTTTTCGATTTAAAGCTTTCGTGACTGCAGGGATTCATCTTCTTGGTTCTTTCGGTAAAGTCACGTAGAAGGGAAGTAATAAAATAATAAAAATAAAACATATTAAAATAATTCTCACGACGTTTCGGCCACAACGCAAGCAGCCGTCCTCAGGTGAAGACCAGGTCTGTCGGGGAGACAGCGTCTTCACCTGAGGACGGCTGCTTGCGTTGTGGCCGAAACGTCGTGAGAATTATTTTAATATGTTTTATTTTTATTATTTTATTACTTCCCTTCTACGTGACTTTACCGAAAGAACCAAGAAGATGCATTATGTTTTGTCGCAGATTTTAAGTCACGCAGCAAATACCGCATGATTGAACATTGTGTAGTCGATTTTTGCAGCTATGCATTACATTTTGAAACTAAAATGTTTATTTGTAGAACCGGTCACGTAGAACGTAATGCACTGTATACAGTACGCTAGGGTATCATCCATTTCGATTGGAACAATTCACTGGCACGCCCAATCCACAGCAATTCCTGAAATTGTAATTCAATATCACAATTCAATTCAATAATAAATTATTAACATTGTGGTAAATTGTAGCATCACTAGTGGCTGCAGGGGTGACGTGAGCCTATTAAATGCCATGCAGATTCGGAAGCATGCAATTCCATAACTGTATCATGAGCTTTAGTAGAATCAATGCATAATTCCCCAATATTGTGCATATAATCTAAAAATCTTCATAAGAATATGGAGGCATGTGCAAATTTAACTACCAGAGCAACGTTCCAGGTCACATTATACATTTATTGTAGTATCATAAGACGCAATTATTCTCCCCGCCTTTCAGCAAATGCACTCACCGATAAAGTTACGTTTATTCACAAAGCCCCCATATCCCATGTGTATGTATGTTGAACTTCTTTCGCACCGTACGTACCCACCGAGCAAATTGACAAAGGGCTGTACATGTTTCATAGTGACTTGTCTTAACATGTTGTTTTAAGGTGTAGAAAGTCAGAATAGATTTCTGTACCTTCCTTTTGACCTTTAACTGATTTTCCAGTGGGGCCATAAAACACATTGCTACCTTCAATACTGCTGAGACTTAAACTAAAATGTTCTTCACCGAACCAGTTCAATAAGCACTTTCAATATATTTTAAATCTGTTCTTCTTTCCAAAGACACTAACCCAGTTTTCCTTGGCAACTGTTTCCACTATTCTATCTTCAAACCTTCTCATGATTTATCAACATGAATCCTGGCTTGCCACGTAATTTTTGTTGTTGGTTATTTCTCTTGCTTATGGCACCACCAAGACATGTTATTTTTTATGCAAATTATCTATTTAGAAAGCAGCAACTCTTGACATTCCTAAAAATGATCACAAAAACCTCAATCCAATCATCAATAACACCGCTTTAAAATGAAAAATCTATAATAGTTGACGTTTTGGGCAATGGTCCTTCTTCATAGTACAAAAATAATAATTGGTTCTTAAATTAATGAAGTAGTGCTCTCACATCAAAGCCAAATATAACCCAGGTACGAAAAATGAGGTGGTAGGTGGCCAGCACCACACCCGGCCGCCTTTGTCTCCCTAGTGGCGATGTTTACACATCGCACCAGGTACTCATTTGAGGCTCAGTCGACCTAGGGGAGGCCCGGGATCAGTTCAGATATTTGTCACTGATGTCGGCCGTGAGCGGGAATCGAACTCGGGTCGCTGGGTTTCTAGCATAGGGCACTGACCATTACACCACTGCTCTCACATCTCACATTGTGTGTCAGTCAACAAAAACACTTTATGATGGAATCAGATCAAAAGCTGTTCACCTTCATGCTGATTCAGTCCTTTTTCCAATGTCACTCTATTTCATCTCAGTTTTCTCCATTTGCTTGTTCTCATGATAATTCTAAAGCCAGTACGAATCTGAAGTATCTCACAAAATTCTACACACGACTCTACTCGTATTAATGGTCCTCACCATAAGAAAAGAGTTTCCTTACAAAATTGCCATACAAAATATTTTCTTTATACATCATGTACCATACTGCTCAAAACAGCATGTCCTATCATTCCAGTAAACAATTGTGTTATAGTAGAGTACATTGAGTTATGCAAAGAAAATATTATTTGGCAAAATACAGGACAGATACTATATCTTATACTTGGGTTTTTTCGGTAAAGTCACGTAAAAAAAAACCTAAAAAAAAAACCTAAGAATAAGAATCCTTGCAGTCACGAAAGCTTCAAATCCAGATACTATATCTATTTTAAAACAGTATATTAGACGTGACTATATATGAATATGCACGTTTTTTAAAAGTATACTCTTTACATGTTCACAAGTGGACATGAGGGGTATGTACCTTCTTAAGCAGATGTTCCGTGTTAGCATTGGTAACGTCCAACCCTCCAGAGAAGCTGCCAAGACTGCCCATCTGGGAATTAAACTCATTCTCCAAGTGTTCTGCTGCACAAAACATGATATAAAAAATAAACTCAGTGAGCAGTTGTCTCCGAGGCAATTCGTTGCCCACGTCCCTCGAACCATTAAAATGTGATCTCGTCATGATGTAAAAATGTTCTTGCGCATCTTACCCAGGCTGGTATAGATTTCCTTGGTGACGTGCGGTGAAGAGGCGGTGAACATTTTTGCGTGCAAACGCAAGCTCTTGTCCTGAGCCAAAAAGGAGAAAACAGACCGATACGTGCCACTACATTTGCTTATTTATTCCAATCTATGAGTTTGACAAAGGCTAATATGACAACAAAAAGCAAATATTGCTTGACATTCACACACTCTGACAAGCACTATGTTTGTGCAAGTGATACATTACAAAAAATACAACCCTACGAGCCCATTTAGGTGGCAAGGAAATATCAAAATGCAAGCTGGTCAACGATATCTGGATATAAATGTCGCGCATGTATTTTACACGTGTAATTTTTTACTAGAACCCTATATTAGACCTATATATGTTAGTTTTTAAGTAATAATAAAAACCAACATTCACTTGTGTTGTTTCACATCAGCCAGCTTAATACAAATGGGGTGTTTGCATATGAAGTATATTAACTTTCAACCCTGTAAATACACTTATGCATAGAAAGCCTCCCCACACTTTCCCATGTCAGTCATGAGGGCTGTCTGAACCATACTTGGCCACACTGTTCAGTATATAGGTTTGTGAAGGGCGCAGTCAGTTCAGGTATTGCTTGCCAATGATGTTAGCTGTGGCCCAGGAATCAAACTCAGGTCATCAAGTTCATAGCACAGTACTAACCACAATGGCACAGCTGTTTGTACAACATCAAAAACTAAACAACGAATACAAAATCCACAAAAGTAATTCAGAAAACAATTCCGCTGTGAATCTTGCATTTACCTTCACTTCGTGGGCAGCAAAAATAAACGTGCGTTAACCTCGTAGTGACAACAAATTAATTAGGCTCACGCTCAGAGTGGGGTCAGCATCTCCGAGAGCATCCATGAGTCCCTTGCGCAGTGAGCTCCAGCTCTCACTGGCCAGAACGTCCGACGGGGGCAGCGAGTACAGGGCATGAAGTGCGTCCCTGCGCACCTGCACACAGCACCGGCCAAGCATCATGACAGGCTTCACGATAATACATCTTTGCCTGGCCAAGAAGGCCTCCCCTGATTCAATCGGAGCAAACAGGCAAGTCTGGTAACCACTTGGGATGTTTTCAATTTCTGTTTTTCGAATTTTTAGTGTAGAGCACAGACTGGCTTAATAAAAGCAACATGGGCATAAAATACAAAAAAAATATATAAAAAAAGCGAAGTCAAATGGAAAATACACTCTCAAAATTACTTTTGAAAAGCTATGCGACAACATATAAACAAAGGCAGTGAATTTACGGTGTAGTTACATTTTTATGTGAAAGGTATTTTCTAAATATATGCATTGATATTGGATAAATCCAGCACCCCATACACAAATGTAAAGGAATGTTTTTTTGTTACGTTAGGCAATGAAACAGATGCATTACTGTTTCAAATGATGGAAGCACCGTGGCTGATAAAGCACTTTAGTTAAACACAGTCCTAAAAGATAAGACTGACTCCAAGCATAAGACTTTCCCAGGGAATAGACAGCGCACCTCGAGTGGCTGCCTTGAGTCCAAGTTCTCAGCAATCCTGTAGAATTGCTCCTGATTCATGAACATGAATGCTCCCTGTACAAACAAAGTACAGATATTAGAGTGTGGACGTTCACAAAACCTCTGGTAAACACATTACCTGGAATGCTCAATTAACTTTTCACTTTAAAGTTACCATAATTTTCCAACCACCTTCTCTTGTAGTGGTAAAATTGTCTTTGACTACTCCAGCTGCTTAAGCGAGTTTCAGCTGCTGATCAGTGGTGGCTATGCATGCGTGGAATCCAGCACTGTGGGGGCAAGGGTTGGTAGATCGCACAAATTTATTGAAACTCCCTTCCCGTGGGTGTCGAGGTGCCATACCTTGGATCGCCAGTAGAATGCAGTACAGGAAGTGGACTAATAGCAATCTGTTTCCATCTGTACGGAGATATGGTTTCCCCCTTGCGTGTGTTAGGTTTCTTGCACTTGTATAATACTCAATAAATGGCTGAAAAGATCATGAAATAAAAACCGAATTCAGGACCCTCTTTAAAAAAAGTCCTACGACTCGCTGTGTCTTTACTAGATAAACAATAAGTAAAAGGAAGTAAATCATCTACAGGTAGTCCCCGGGCCTGGGCTCTGCTGGCCCATGGGCACCAGTGTAGTTGCACCGACTGGACACTCGATAGCTTTGCCACTGCCAACCTGGTTGAACGATGAGTCGCTGTCAGAGCTGTTATCAAATGAAAAGCTCTCGCTGTTGCTAGAGCGGCGCACTGAGTCACTTTGCCCTGGCCGCCGGGAGTGCTTTTCCTCCTCCATGCCTCCCAGAAGAACGTCCACAGCCGCCAGTATGCGCACCTTTAGGCTCTGCTCCAGCTCTGCATAACTGTCACAGCCATTCATGCAGTCACACACAAGTTCAATTTAGGCTTGTGCCCAAGACCACAATTGTACACGACTTTCCCGTTCGTCAATCCAGTGATGGACGAGGGCTTCCCCACTCCGTGTTTGTCGTGGGGGTTAATTAATCAAACTTTGACACGTTGGTCAGTGCGGGTTCGTAAAGGCAAGCAGAATAGTTGTGGGAGTATCGAAATACAGTACAGCAATTTAATTTAATGCACTGTCCTCTACTGACCAATATGAAGCCTAGCCCTTCAGCCACCTATGAAAAGCTGGAGTTCATGTTGGTCATCCATCCGGGCACTATCCATGTTTAATCTGCTTGGAGTTTTAGATCTGAGATAATTAGGAATATATTGGGTGATTTGGTCAAAGGGCAAATTCTTAAATGAATGCAAATAAGTAAAGTGCTCTTAGAAAGAGTGACGGACCAGTGACATGGCTGTCATGGATAGAGTGTGCTCACGCGTCAGAGTTGGTTACTCGCTGAGCCACCCGCTGCACCAGTGTCTCCTGCTCACTGGACAAGCCGACGCCCGTGCCTACGGAGCTCCTCTCAATCTCGTCATCGATGACCCGGCCAAGAGAGCGCTCCAGCTGAGCTTTGAGCTGCTTCACAAATTCATACCTGCATACAAGCCCAGCAACATCGCAATCCTGACTTAAATCATATGCAGACCGACTATAAATGAGCACACTGGGTGTGGGGTAACTAAGCATGGAACGATATACCCCTCCAATGGTTCTATTGGTAAGATTGAGGATCACAATTATATTCAAATTAAAAAAAAAATTCAGTATTTTTGTAATGCTCTCGTTGTTATTACTTCCAAATTATTCTTGTCTTAATTCGTCTATTCTATTAGCCTAAATATAGCATTGGCTTCATCAACCCATTGGCAGACATTATATATCAACTGCTGGAACGACGCTTTCGAAAGCCATCACTATATCTCAAGGTCTTGCAATCAAAAATTATCAGATTATATGCGCATAATTGCATAAACCGTAAATAAGAATTTATCACATATATGGTTCAATACACCTATCACGAGCATACGAGTAGATATCAACACATTAATCAAATGCTTAGTTACATTTGGCCTAATATTTATCGCCTGAGTGCTCAATAGTTGAAAAATGTGCAGGAAATAAATAAATACAGTACATACATGAAATGTATTGAAAACAAATCAGAGCCCATTTAAGCAAATTGTATTTGTAAGGGAGACATGTGAAGCAATCAGGAGTAAAATGACTCTCATTCCAGAATTTGTTTTTATAAACAAATCACTTTTTATTTCATAAATAAAATTAACAACATTAATCTATAAAAAGGTACACTTATTCTTATGAAAGAATGTGGCAAAACAAGTGAACTGCTTATTGATTGCTAAACCACTTTGTGAAAGCATACATAATCTTTGTTAAGGGGTTATTGCGAATTTCTTCACCGTAAAATCGAGCAATCATTTATCATGGCTGCACTATTTACAGTTTAATTTATTCACGAATTAATATTTAACTCTCACACATAACTGAACAAAATTATCCAGCAAAGTAAAACAATGAATCTGTATGGGACAATTTGATGAACTTTTGCAATGGTTAATCTTTATTTAATATATTTCGTTCTAATAAATATATGGACATAATTTACTTTCTAACGCAGAATTACAGTTTCTGAAATACTGTGTGTCATGCGGTTGTATGTAGGTACTTTTAAGAGGCAAAGCAATCTATTACGCGTTGGCATATATTTGTATTATGCAGAGAGATAATAAACGATATCATACTTTAAGATTACAATTTCTTAATGATTCGAAAACCATGTTAATGGCTGTGGAACAATATGCTCGTATTCATCCTGGAAACCACTTAGGCACTGTGCAAAAATGACCATGAGGGTTAATTACAAAGCTCTATTTGTAGTAATGATTCAACATTATATTTCATAGCTTCGCTTATGAGCATGTTAAACGATTTCAATCCACTCTTAGATGAAGGCCACCCCACACTATGCAGATAGTAGGGATTATTTGACCGTGCCTCATTATATTGGTCAGTGCAGAACAACTGCACGGTACATTCGATTTTCCTCCACGACTCTATGCTGCCTCACCACATAGCCGCTGCAGCCCAATGACGACAACCTGTTTGTACATGGCAGCCATTAATCCACACACTTTAGGCTCGAAGCTGCTTAGTTTCTGAGAATAGAATAGGTTCCATGCACAATCCAGGTGTTTTGGTCGAATATATGAAAATAAAAAGCTGTGTGCTGATGGTTAACATCAGCGATATTGATTGCATGTCTCAAAATCTCCTCCGCACAAGGTCTCTCTGTCTCGGGACCAGGCTCACTTGTGAAAGTTGTCATCGGTCTCCTCCAGGCGGAGCAGGGCATCTGTGGTTCGCATGCCGGTCCGTGCGTCTAGCCCCCAGAGAAGCTCCCTCAGTGAGGAGACCATGTCTTCATCGCTCTCTGCTGCGTGCTCCATGTTGCTAGGGTAGGTATCTGTCGTCACAAACACATACACAGAAGCATTATTTATGACCTGACGAGGAATCATTGAGTTCTATGGTACCTCATTTACACTTGTGCCATGGTTTAATTCCGGCTCAGAACGGTACATGCCAGTGGAAAATCCACCCATATCATTTAGACCCTGCACTGGCTCGACTCAGATTTGCCCGTGTAAAATGGATATTTGAGCTGGGCACATAACTAGAATGATGACCGATGGTCAATAACAGTGGCAGCCAAGAGGTAACACGCCCGAGAGGATACCCCCTGTGGATATGGATCAATTCAATAATCTCAAGTGCATTAAGTAGATCAATTGCTACAGGGCTGTGAGAGATGGTGAGATTGGGAAGCTTTTCATCCAGCAGTCGATTCAATTCTCGCATACAGTTTAAGTTTGACGTTCAAGTTTATTTTGATGTTACATGGATGATCCCGTCTAGCTAGTTTTCCGGTTATTTTACAACAGAAATCTGGGTGCATGAGCACTGCATGAACAAAACCATTAATATTGCAGAGAACGGGTACAGGGTTTCTTAACGAATATTGCACGACGAGGTATTTAACGGTCGTAAACCAACACACACGGGAGTAAAAAAAAATCCAGTGCAAATGTGAGAGCTAGAGGGGCCAGAAAAAGTTAGGTATATATTTTAAGCAGTATATTTTAGTCTAACAGGAAACAAGATATATAGCAATATGTTCAGGAGCTGAAAGACAATGTCAAGGTCTGCTAGCCACGAGACAGCTTCAGTAGAACGTTCGTGTAGTGTTACTGTTCCTCCTCCATTGTGTATATTGAACTTCTTTCGCACCGTACGTAGCCAACCGCGCTAATCGTAGGTGCGGGGGAAGGACAACAAACTAAACGCAGCAAGCAGGGGTGCAGACTACAGTCGTTGACGGGCCAGACTTTGGATTGCATGGCCACAATCGCATGACTGAAGCTTGTCTTTAATTCTCCGTTTATGAAGGCGATGTTCTGATGCGGTTGATAGTTTCCACCAGTGTCTTCGATGAAAGTCAAAGCCGGGAGGTGCAATGACATCTGGGTCTTGAAAGGTTATTACTAGCCTTTTGCCCGTCCAAGGACGGGTGTATTTCAGTAAATCTGAAACTTGCAAGCGAAAAGCAGACCGCGACGTGATATTCATTGCATCCATTCGTGTGCAATTTGTGAGACCGCGGTGACACAGACTTATTTAATTTAAAGGTTATAATCCCTTGTTCATCATGACGTCATTTTTACTTCGATGTCTCAACAGCGTTACGCGTGACGTGAGAGTTCTGCCTTTGTAGTGAGAGTTGTAAGTTGACGCTGAGGAGGGAGGAGGAGGCGCCTCGCCCCATGTGGAGTGACGTAACCTGTTTATGATTATTAATGAGGGGGGCTGGCCGACGTGGAGTGACGTCACGCGCGGGACACACAGACATTCTTGGCTCATTATAGTCGTATTCTTGGAGTCCGCGTTGCCCCCAACTCCTTTCGCCTGCGTTCTTGAAAGATCTGCTTTGAGATTCTATGATGGTTGATAGCAGCAGTCCGATCCCAGGCGGGGGGTCTTGGTTTGAGGTGCATGTTGTCGTTGGCAAGAAAGCAGTGGATTAAGGAAATGTATTGGAACTTCTTTGGTAGCCAACCGGGCTAATCGGGAGATGCGGGGAAAGGACAAAGACGAGACAAAGATCTCCCGTATCGCCCTAACAGACTGTTCGCGAGCACCCACGAAGGCCGGCACGGCACGCGAAAGGGTGGGTGGCCAGCACCCACGCCCGACCGCCTTTGTCTCCCCTAGTGACGATGCTTACTTCACACCGCACCAGGAATTCATTTGAGGCTGAGTCCACCTAGGGGAAGCCCACGACTGGTTCAGATAATCGTCACCGGTGTCGGCCGTGAGCGGGAATCGAACTCGGGGCAGCCGGGTTCGTAGCACGGCAGAGCGCTAACCGCTGCACCACCGCTCCCCATCAAGGAGGTTCACGAACCGAACAAGAACAGCAGTTCTGAAGAAAATTAGTTTTCAAGCTAGAAATTAGTTTTCAAGCTAGAAATTAGTTTTAAAGCTAGAAATTAGTTAGAAATTAGTTTTCAAGCTAGAAATTAGTTTTCAAGCTAGAAATTAGTTAGAAATTAGTTTTCAAGCTAGAAATTAGTTAGAAATTAGTTTTCAAGCTAGAAATTAGTTAGAAATTAGTTTTCAAGCTAGAAATTAGTTTTCAAGCTAGAAATTAGTTTTCAAGCTAGAAATTAGTTTTCAAGCTAAATAATTAGTTTTCAAGATAGATAATTAGTTTTCAAGATAAATAATTAGTTTTCAAGCTAGAAATTAGTTTTCAAGCTAGAAATTAGTTTTCAAGCTAGAAATTAGTTAGAAATTAGTTTTCAAGCTAGAAATTAGAAATTAGTTTTCAAGCTAGAAATTAGTTTTCAAGCTAGAAATTAGTTTTCAAGCTAGAAATTAGTATTCAAGCTAGAAATTAGTGTTCAAGCTAGAAATTAGTGTTCAAGCTAGAAATTAGTGTTCAAGCTAGAAATTAGTTTTCAAGCGAGAAATTAGTTTTCAAGCTAGAAATTAGTTTTCAAGATAAATAATTAGTTTTCAAGCTAGAAATTAGTTTTCAAGCTAGAAATTAGTTTTCAAGCTAGAAATTAGTTTTCAAGCTAGAAATTAGTTTTCAAGCTAGAAATTAGTTTTCAAGCTAGAAATTAGTTTTCAAGCTAGAAATTAGTTTTCAAGCTAGAAATTAGTTAGAAATCAGTTTTCAAGCTAGAAATTAGTTTTCAAGCTAGAAATTAGTTAGAAATTAGTTTTCAAGCTAGAAATTAGTTTTCAAGCTAGAAATTAGTTTTCAAGCTAGAAATTAGTTTTCAAGCTAGAAATTAGTTTTCAAGCTAGAAATTAGTTTTCAAGCTAGAAATTAGTTTTCAAGCTAGAAATTAGTTTTCAAGCTAGAAATTAGTTTTCAAGCTAGAAATTAGTTTTCAATCTAGAAATTAGATTTCAAGCTAGAAATTAGTTTTCAAGCTAGAAATTAGTTTTCAATCTAGAAATTAGATTTCAAGCTAGAAATTAGTTTTCAAGCTAGAAATTAGTTTTCAAGCTAGAAATTAGATTTCAAGCTAGAAATTAGTTTTCAAGCTAGAAATTAGTTTTCAAGCTAGAAATTAGTTTTCAAGCTAGAAATTAGTTTTCAAGCTAGAAATTAGATTTCAAGCTAGAAATTAGTTTTCAAGATAAATAATTAGTTTTCAAGCTAGAAATTAGTTTTCAAGCTAGAAATTAGTTTTCAAGCTAGAAATTAGTTTTCAAGCTTTAGTTTAATTAGTTTTAAACCGCGGCTGATAGTTTAACAGACATAATATGCCACAAACGGGCTCTGTATACGGAGTATGCCACATTAGACGTCAAACCAGTACGTTAATACTCTTGATAACGAGCGCTTGTGTAGCGATAGAAACGTCGTGATATTTTTATTCACTTTCATTTGTATTCTTTTACTATCGACGTGACTTTACCGAAAGAACCATAGCACACAGAGTATGTTTAATATAACTATTCAGATAATTAAAACTAAACAACGCGTTCAGGCGAGAGGCTGGCGTCTCGTTGCCATGCCAACCACTAGGCCATTCGCACCTAGCAACGCCTATGCAGCTTAATCATTTAACGTTGTTATTTTAAGGCAACTATGTTGTTCGCGTATGTATATAAAACCCACGACGTTTTATTTTCTGCTTAATTAAATCGCGAATTGGTGTTGCGTGACCAAGGTTATTTAACACAGGCGGTAAGAGGCAAATGCGTTTGTAACCAAGGTTCGCCGCTTGCGTTTATTAACCATTATTACAACATTCTATCGCTTAACCACCTTAGTTGTTTGCCTAGTTTGAGAGCTGTACGACGCGGAGCTTACAACGCGGTAGTTGTTATGTTTGTAAACGCGAGCATTCTACGTACTGTACACTTGTGAAAATGGTGAGCGACTCCACGCGAATCGAAGTAGAATCGAAACGTAATAAGGAATCGATGGTCAGGTCACGTTTATACGATCTTATTTGTCACGTCTAGTTGGTTTAAAATAGGCTGCGGAAAATGTGTGCTTAATTATTTGAGTATAATTAGCAATACGCGTAAGCAATAGATTAGTTGACGCGCGATAAGCCAATTTATAGCTCAAGCAGGAATCGATTCCAGTAATGTTGTTCATTGGAATCGATACAATTATTTTTCGTCTCCATTGGTGGCTTAACAACTTAAAACTCAATCTTGATTTGAAGCTTAAAACTCGTCCCTCAAATCGCGAGCTAAACTCACAACGATCGCTGCGTGAATGAGTGCGAATGCCGCGGTCAATGCACCCTTTCGTTTTAAAAAAAAATATTTCAAATTTTTTTAAAGATATCGCTGCTGAATTATATATTAACACAAGCGCCTTTATCTTACACGGGCTACGAGTGTGTTACATACAGGGAGTGTTTGCTAAAAGTGATGTGGCGGATAGGCGATGGGGTTGTGGGGAGGGAGCTTAGCAAGTACCAGTAAACACATTGTCCTGCTGCGGAGGGAGCTGGTAGGAACGTTGGGTTGCTCGGTCAATGGCCTGCAGGGTCAACGTTGAGTTTTATAAGGGCACCACGGGGTGACCAGCCCCTCCCCACCCAGCCCCTCCCCACCCAGCCCCTCCCCACTCAGCCCCTCCCCACCCTCCCCACCCAGCCTCTCCCCACCCTCCCCACCCAGCCCCTCCCCACCCTCCCCACTCAGCCCCTCCCCACCCAGCCCCTCCCCACCCAGCCCCTCCCCACCCAGCCCCTCCCCACCCTCCCCACTCAGCCCCTCCCCACCCTCCCCACCCAGCCCCTCCCCACCCTCCCCACCCAGCCCCTCCCCTTTCCTCCCCACCCAGCCCCTCCCCACCCACCCTCCCCACCCAGCCCCTCCCCACCCTCCCCACTCAGTCCCTCCCCACTCAGTCCCTCCCCACCCTCCCCACCCAGCCCCCTCCCCACCCAGCCCCTCCCCTTTCCTCCCCACCCAGCCCCTCCCCACCCTCCCCACCCAGCCCCTCCCCTTTCCTCCCCACCCAGCCCCTCCCCACCCTCCCCACTCAGCCCCTCCCCACTCAGCCCCTCCCCACCCTCCCCACCCTCCCCACCCAGCCCCTCCCCACCCTCCCCAGCCCCTCCCCTTTCCTCCCCACCCAACCCCTCCCCACCCTCCCCACTCAGCCCCTCCCCACCCTCCCCACCCAGCCTCTCCCCACCCTCCCCACCCAGCCCCTCCCCACCCTCCCCACTCAGCCCCTCCCCACCCTCCCACCCAGCCCCTCCCCACCCAGCCCCTCCCCACCCAGCCCCTCCCCACCCTCCCCACTCAGCCCCTCCCCACCCTCCCCACCCAGCCCCTCCCCACCCAGCCCCTCCCCTTTCCTCCCCACCCAGCCCCTCCCCACCCACCCTCCCCACCCAGCCCCTCCCCACCCTCCCCACTCAGCCCCTCCCCACCCTCCCCACCGAGCCCCTCCCCACTCAGCCCCTCCCCACCCTCCCCACCCAGCCCCTCCCCTTTCCTCCCCACCCAGCCCCTCCCCACCCTCCCCACCCAGCCCCTCCCCTTTCCTCCCCACCCAGCCCCTCCCCACCCTCCCCACTCAGCCCCTCCCCACTCAGCCCCTCCCCACCCTCCCCACCCTCCCCACCCAGCCCCTCCCCACCCTCCCCAGCCCCTCCCCTTTCCTCCCCACCCAACCCCTCCCCACCCTCCCCACCCAGCCCCTCCCCACCCTCCCCACCCAGCCCCTCCCCTTTCCTCCCCACCCAGCCCCTATTTATAGCACGTTTGGCAACGTACGGTGCGAAAGAAGTTCTACATACACGTTACATATACACATTGCACGTCGGAGAATACACACAAATTCTTTGGGTTTCATCAACAAACCCGGACAAGGACGACTATTGAAGAACAAGCAACATTTCGACACTTGTTTCGTTGGAGATTAAACCCCAGCGTCATCAGGTGTTTAACAACATAATTAAAACAAAAATGTCAAGCTGCGTTGCTTGCTCATCAACATTCCTCCGGTTTTGAGGATAAATCAGTGGGCGTGACGTTGTGATTGGCTCTGTCTGGTGATGGTTTATTGTGAAAAATGTAAACATTGACATACCTACGTGAAGATCGAAACTAATTATAAATCATATCACGAATCATTCGTCAATAACACTGCCTTAAAAGTAAGAAAATGGCTAGGCGACGTTTCGAGCAACGGCCCATGATAAACAGTTTGGATGATGTCATTAACATGTGTATGCTCTCTAATCCACGTGGTTCTATGGGTTTTTATAGAGTAGCTGTATAATGTACAGAACTGCAGTCTCAGCTTAAACGTTCTGACTCGGCCCTACTGGACATCTTTGATAAAGAGCCTAAAAGCTCATCGGATTCCTCCCAGTGTAAATAATCTGATTCTAAAAGTCATTTTTGTGGGGAGGTAGTGAGAATAAGGGGAGAATAGCGCCATGTGTGAGCGTGTGGGGGTATAGCTCAGTGGTAGAGCATTTGACTGCAGATCAAGAGGTCCCCGGTTCAAATCCGGGTGCCCCCTCTACAATGTTTTTTATATTACAATTTTTTTTTCAATGCAGTAAATAAAGTTTTAAAACAGGACGTGTGTTAAGCTATTTTTTAAAATATAAATTGGGGTTCGTTAGACGTGTAAGTTTCTAAAACTTGAAACATGTTGGTCAAATTAGTCTCCCTCTTCACTGGACTTAAGTTTTTTGTTTATCATAATTAACGCGACGCATATGTACCCAGAAAAGCTTCACCGAGTCTCAAAAGACTTTGCTTGACGATGATGGATCCTGCAAAGTTTTCGAGAGTAAAGGGACACATTTTGAGGACTCTGCAGTGTAACTTCACCGCCACACGAGCACAGCTTTGGAATGCCTCTTACTTTCTGGAACTTCTCATGAATACGATCCAATTGCAGGATTTTGATGGAAACAATGTCTATTGGAAATGGTCACGTTATAAGCGTGGTTGTATTATTATAAAACGACTGGCAAAATGTCGCACTCAATGATGTGAATGATGTGGCTTTGCTCTCCAACGCACAGCCGGTGTGCTGAACGAGTAACGAATTGGCCACGTTCTGTTTACGTGACAAATCTTACTAAATTGGCTGTGTCGGGTGGTGGCGGGTTTAACGACACATTTATACATTTACACAACCTAACTCCCCCAAAAAACCTGTATTATGGATTATAAAATTGTACATATAATATATTGCAATTCAGACATTCGCCAATAGGGTGCACGATACATACAATATAACTTTGTGGGCAGCAGAGGGCAGTGCAGGAAAAAAATATATTGCTGTGTATGCTGTCGTGGCTTTTATTGCCCAAAATGCTGCTTGCCCCACCTTCACCAAGCTGCATTGACCAGCGTGGTGAAGTATGGCCAAATAAGGTCAATAACCCTCCTCCACGACCCACAACTGCCTCGGTTGGCCTTCATCCAGCAGTGGATTGACAAAGTGGCTGTACATACACACATATCGGTGTTTATATTATTTTGTATGCATATCCTATTCATAGTCCAGTACAATGTCTGTACACTATTGTTAGGCTCAGAAGTAGGGCATGCACATGTAGAATTCATTAATAGCAGCAGCATTATTTACGTAGATTTGTAACTAAAGTGGTTTAAATACAAATACTTTACAATGTTACCTCCAACGATCGTTGGCCTAATCTCTTCTATACAGCTCCAAGCCAACGATGACAATTCTTCATTCCTATGGCGGGGCCAAGGATATCCAGGCAGTACGGTACATGGAACAATCATAACAAAATAGATATCAGGATCCGAAAATTAAAGGTGTATCTATCTTACTGTAGTATCATGTTTGCTGAACACATGCCCAGCGCGCAAAACGGCCAATAACAATCAGCACTAAATGTAAAAAAGTATTTAGTTTATCGGTTAACAAAAATAGTTTTCCATATATAAAATTGCATACAATTGTGTACACAATTTATATAATAATATTATATGATCTACAATAATTATTTGATCTACAACGTATACAATTGTACGCAATAATATTTCTGATTAAATATTACAAATCAATTTATATTTTATTTTTAATTATCTAGTTATATATTATTGCAATTATATACGTTGCAGATCAGCGTTTTAATCCGTCATATATATACACACTAGAGGGTTTTTATCCTGCACTAAAACAATGTTTTTGCTCAGTGCTATTGTAATCGATTAATGATCATCGGCAATTCGAGTGAATCAGCTGACGCGGTCACGTGGTGGGGGGGGCGGTGACTCTGGACCCACACTGCACCGCGCGCCAACACAAAAAAGATGGCCGCGCCCGTGTCGAGCTGACTCCGTTGCAAGGCGAACTCCGCTTCAAACGCGCAGCAACTCTTAAATATATTTTCTTTCTTTAATACATTTCATTTTAAAAGTATCTTGCCTGGCCCGCCTACACGTCGGTACGTTTAAAAAAAAATATTTATGCATACCGGAATATGAGGTGGTATTAAGGACGCACATTGTGGCGTAAGAAACATCAATAACTGGGGCAGAGGAGGAGGACGGTCTTTAAACGAAGATCAAAGCAGCCTCCTTTTGTCCACCTGTCGGTAGGAAAGTCGTCGTTCTACCCTCCCACTCCGCCTGAATTCCATAGCTGTCAACCCCGTGTCCAGTGCCTAGCTTATTACAGACCAATTCAGACCGTATCGCTCACCCAGTGCCCTTTTAAATCGCAACGTTCATCCTACAAAACGGTACGCCGTATGGACCTGAAAACGCAATTTTTCCCTGTGCAAGAATACGGGGTAAACCGTACGGGTTGACAGCTATGGGGCCGTCCATATATGACGTCACTCACCTAGGGTGGGGGGGGTCAGACATTTGTGACGATGTGTGACTAGGGGGGGGGTTGAGAAATGTGACGTCACCTCAAAATTCGCAACTTTAAATAAATATAAACACGTTCTGCTGAATTAAATACTTTTTAATAAATGTTTTCTCCTACAACAACAGAGTGCAGCGGCACATTAAATACGGGGTAAACCGTACGGTTTGACAGGTACGGAATTCGGACTCGCAAACTTTGAACTGGGGTCAGAGTGCTCAGCTGGCACAGCTGAGAACCCGAGTTCGATTCCTGAGCCTGTGATTAAACCGGTTTCTGAAGTGGAGTGAGTTGACCATCCATACCTGTCAACCCATGCGGTTTGCCCGTATTCTTGTACAGCGAAATTGAGATTTCAGATCCATCTGGCATACAGCCGTTTTGTTACGGACATTGTGTTGTCTTTGTGTTTCTCTCTTGTGATGGGATTGTAGGATGAATGATGAGATTTGTTAAGGTGACCAATAAGGTCTGAAGGTCTGTAATAAGGTACGGCACTGATAAGGGGTTGACAGGTATGATGGTCTCAGCCCGGACACCGATGACCAACGTAGAGGCCCATAGCTTTATATTCTTGGTTCTTTCGGTAAAGTCACGTCCCTTCTACTTGATTTTACCGAAAGAACCAATATGAATCCCTGCAGTCACGAAAGCTTTTAATCAAAATTTAGCCCGTAGCTTTGTTTACATAGAGACCCATTGACTTGCATACAGAACAAACTAAATACATGAACACCCATATTCTCCAGTGTTCATGTTGACCCTATTTTAAGACATTTGCCGCATTCCTTCCGTGATAATGATCATCAGGTGTTAAGATGTTCAAGCACAAAATAGATACATTTTGCCGGGAATCAAGTCTGCATTAACCAGATATATTTGTGGTAAATATGCAAACAGACATGCTCTCATAATAATGTATGCATTGTCTTTGAAACTGATTGGCCTACACCAGAGACAGCTTTCAAACCGATAGAACGTAAGTCGGTATGCCTTAACACACATTTGTTAAACATGCGACTACGTAACGCATTGCAAAAACGCCAAAATGTTGTACCTGTATATAATATCGGATTTAGTGAACTCTTTTGCCGCACAGCTTATCGTAAAAGTGCGGTACATTTAATAAACTAAACTCAACACTTATTCACAGACACCATTAACGCAGAGGAAGGTCGATCTGAATTAAATAAGTTATTACGCAAAGTGGCTTCAAATATGGGATGTTGGCTACCAACAACAAGGCAACTCCTATGACTAATTGGGAATGGGACGCAAGCGTAGGATTGATCACCCTGTCGCTGGCCGCCTTTGGGGAGGGTGTATAGTATGAAAGGCCGAAACACCCTAGGACCCAAAGGTTCACTACTGACGATGCGCTCCCCAAATTTCACCAGGCTCACTGTTCATGAACTCTTGGAAGTGCTTGCACAAAGGATAATAACATCTCATCCTGTGTTCTTTGGAATTCTTTACGGAAAGTGACGGTAAAAATAAATATACTGTATGCAGCACACTTCAACATCCGTACGTGACGTCACTGCAAAAGAGCCCCCCCCCCCTCATTAATAATCATGAGCGGGTGGATTTTTACACTAACGTAGAGGAAGGTCGAGTGGAAATGAATATTTTTACGCAAATTCGCTTTACATTTGACGTTTCTTTATTGAAAAAGTTAATCAAATTACTGTACTACTAGAATTACTAATATAATGAGCCAAGGATGTGTGTGTGTCCCGCGCGTGACGTCACTCCACATGAGGCCCACCCACTGCGTGACGTCACTCCACATGAGGCCCACCCCCCTTATTAATATTCATGAGTGGGTCGATTTTTACACTAACGCAGAGGAATGTTGAGCCAAATTAGATCATTTATTACGCAAAGTCGCTTCAAATATGACGTTTCTTTACAGAAAGTGACGGTAATTGTTTGTATCTAAGCAGCACAGTGCTACATCTGTGCGTGGCGTCACTGCAAAAGAGCCCCCCCCCCCCTTCATTAATATTCATGCCCGCGTGTAAATTTACACTAAGAAGGTCGCGCACTCCACATGCTGCACCCCGCCCCCCAATAATAATCATGAGCGGCTGACGTCACTCCACATGCCGCACCCCTCCCCAATAACCATTAGCGGGTGACGTCACGCCACATGGGGCACCCCCCCCCCCCCCCTCATTAATAATCATGAGCTGAACAATTTTTCTATTGAATTTCAGATTTACTGCAATATACACCCATCCTTGGACGGGCAAAAAATCTAGTTGACATGAATAACCGAAGAAAGCGCTCGTTGCCTGTCAAGGTGGACGTGGAGAAAAGAAAAGTTCTCTGCTGGAGTTTGCAGGATGAGTTTGCTCCTACAGCTCGGACAGAACAAGGAGATGCTGCCCAGTTGCATACCGAAGACTCGGATGCCATTGCACAAACCTCGGACTCGGCGACGTACAGCAGCGACGTTCCCGGTCGCAGCTCAGACACGCCCGGTGGATGCTCAGATGTTGCTGCATCGGCTTCTCCGGCTGCCCCGGCCACTCGACCTTCACCTCTGCGTCTCGCGGTGTATCCCCAGCCAACAGAGCAGCAAGCGTGGAGTGCCGTTCTGCTGTCGTTTGAGCTCACGTACTCATTTTCTGACTTTGCTGCCCAGACAACTGACCTGCCAGTGATGGTGACCCACGACCCATGCGCTCCCTCACAATTGCTGTGCGAGTGCGACTCGCCGTTGGTGACCTCTGTCGATCGCCCTGAGACGAGCGTGCGTGCCAGCGCAACGATTGACCTGGACATTCTGTTTGGTCTTGCCTGGCTGCAGCGAAACAAAGTCGTCACCCTTTATCGAAAACCAACACAGCCGTATCCTTGCACCGTCACGGTAAAGTATTGACATATATCTTAAATCTTTGTGCATGTATAAAATCAGGTGATAGTCCATAACTCTGTTACAGTTTACACACGTGTAATGAAGAAACCTCAACACTCGTCAACAAGACTTCCCTAAAGGGCTAATTTGCGACGTTTCGGGCGATGGCACTTCTTGATAGCACGTGCTGAAAACTTTACATGATTACATATTTTCCTTTAAGGCAGCGTTGTAGACGAGTTTGTTGAATTGTTTTGTTCGTTTCCCCATGTGGCATGTGGAGTGCCATGACCTTGTGCGTTCGTGTAAATTTGCACACGGGCATGAATATTAATGAAGGGGGGGAGGGCCTCTTGCAGTGACGTCACGTACGGATGTAGCAGTGCTGCGCATATTTATTTTTTACCGTCACTTTCTGTAAAGAAACGTCATATTTGAAGCGACTGAATAATAAATTAGTTAATTTCGCTCGACCTTAGCGTTGTAAAAATCCACCCACTCATGAATATTAATGAGGGGGGGGTTGGCCTAATGTGGAGTGACGTCACGTGGGGGGTGGGCCTGATGTGGAGTGACGTCTCGCGGGGGGGGGGGGCATTGTGGAGTGACGTCACGCGCGGGACATTCTTGGCTTATAGTAGTAATGTGTCTTTTTTCAACAGGTCTTTGTCCATATGTTGACAGCAGGACTGTCCCACATAGAGATTCTCAGTGAGGGTTACTGGAAAATAAAAAAGGTCAACCAGCTGCTGCAAAAGCTTTTGGCACTTTCTCATAACTTCCCAATTCCTGGTACGTGCAAGCACAGAAAATACATTATCGTCTTAAACATGCTGCATCATCGCTTTGCAATGTTGTGCCATAGTACAAATTAATAGTTAAATTATGTAGTCTACAAAGAGCAAAATTCATAAATGAAAGCAAAGTATGCTTTTGCATGTTGAATATATCCAGTAGAGCACCACATTTTACTCATGCATCTAAAAATGTCACACTACATAGGCTGCTACGTTTTTGTTCTAAAACCTTTCTCAATTAAACAAACATTAACTGGTTTATATTACATCTTCATTAATGTTTGTTGGTATTTGATTAGCATTTTTTGCCTCTTAACCTGTGCTCAAAATATAAGTATATACAAAGGTTTTGCCTTTTGACAGAGGAGCAGCAAGAAGAGGCTGTGACAGATGAAGCTTTGGACCTCCAGAAACAGAATGTGGAAGCGCTGTACGACTATGTGTGGGAGGCCCACAGTTCCTTTCGCACTGCCACTGCTGACACTGCCAGTGGCACCGACAAGCATGTGGGGGGTTGCCAGGATGCACAAACAGACGTGCACGCTAACTCACGTTCACTCGTCGACGCCGACTCTGCACCTGAGACCTTGTCTCAGCTGAATGAGCAGATGAGTTCCCAAAGTTCGGAGGGAACCTTCTTGGTAGAGGCAGCAGCACAGAGCGATAGCGGGAGCTCAAGCGCCTGCGACATCCAGCACCCACTGCTCGTGCCACAGCTCCGCCCTTATCAGTGTCAGGCCGTGCAGTGGATGCTGAAAAGGGAGCACGTTGGTCACGATGCTTGCTCCACAGGTCAGTTGTGTTGTACTGGTAGGAACCTCCTGGTTACACCAGCCCACGGGATAATTTTGTCCGTCCTTTCGTCGCTTCCAAAAATGAGTAGGGGTGGGGCTGGGTGGAGAGGGGAGGGTGTGGAGGGGCTGGGTGGGGAGGGGCTGGGTGGGGAGCGGAGGGTGGAGTGGGGTTTGATGGGGAGGCTGGGGCTGGGTGGGGGGTGGGAGGGGTGGGGCTGGGTGGGGAGGGGCTGGTCACCCCGTGATGCCCTTATAAAACTCAACGATTAACCTACTCACGCCGACTTGTGCCCGCCCCCACAGTCGGGCATATTTGCGGAATACACCACGCCGCCGTTGACCCTGGCCATTGACCGAGCAACCCAACGTTCCTACCAGCTCCTTCTGCAGGAATCTGTTTTTCCACTCACAAATATGTAGTAGTGTGGCGCCACAGTGATTCACGCATGAGGTACCATGGCGGTGAGATGTTAACTACCTCGCCTTGTATACAGGGGGATGGGGGTTTCATCCTGACCCTGACGCGTGTATATTTGGAGTTTGCATGTTCTCCCTGTGATCACGTGGGTTTTTCTACGGGTCCTTTGGTTTTTCCTTCCGCATTTAAAAACATCCATTTCGAGTATTTAACTGCTACAAATTTCCGCATGATAAGCCACTTCGTTGAACTATCATTTGTGGCCAGATCGATTCTGAAAAAAAGCAACATAGCTCAGTGGATCTTAGATGGTAAAATAAATGATGAAATAATTGTGCTATGAGCCCAACAACCTGAGTTACATTTCCATCCATGACGAAAGTAATCGGTCAGTGATATCTGGACATGGGCCCGCTCCACTTCCTCCAACCCGCATTAATCAGCATGGTTAGGTGTCAAAATAAGCCCCATGACTCACACAATGTGGAGAATTCATCCAGGAGTGCGTTGACAAGAGCTGTGCGTTTAATGAGTTTGAGTGACCCCTGCTGCCGCTAGTGGCTGCTCCATTCACAAATACAGTGTCCTAAGGGTAGACTTGTGCTTTTGATGAAGGCAGACCTGCACTGTTGAGATTTCTTGATGTTTGTTGCCTTTTCGAAAACTCGTCATATATTTAATGTTTCTGTTATGGTTTCAATCAGGAGGTGAAAAGAAGTTGCATCCACTGTGGAAGGAATTCTCGACCATTGATGGTCAAACATTGTACTGCAATTATTATACTGGCAGGTGAGGTCGCTACAATTACCAATAAACATGAATGTCTGAAGTATAATTGACGTTTCATTGCTTCATCAGAATACTGGTGGACATTTGGTTAATTTTGTTACCTTCACAGTTGTTGGTAAGCTGTTTCAAACTGTAACAAGTTAAAATTTTTGCAAGTTAAATGCCTTAGAGTGGATACTTTTCTCTTGGTTAAATTATTTTAAGGTGAACAAATTTTTATCCAAACATAGCTTCAGTAAGTCCTGCACACAAACGGGTCTCTTGACTGGCTTTGTTTTTGCTGGAAAGCTTCCCTCCAGGTACTATAAGTCTTCCATCTTAAGTACATATCGCCTAACCATACTAGATTAGAAAAAAGTTGTACTCACTGGCTGGCACGTGGTGGTGACGTCACAACGCACATCCGCATGATGATATCCACATCCCACAGCTACGAGCGGGGTTTGTGCGTTGCCCTGACGTCATGCCTCACCCCCACCCACCCTCCACCCGGCTGTGTATCCCATGCCAATGTGCAGGCAGTGCTAGTTATATAGAAATACATTTTCAAACGGCTTTTAGCATGTCAAAGTTAAATAATTGCACTCATAACAAGGTCATCTGAAAGTTAATTCGCTTCCCTATCTAACCCTCTTGGGTAATGTGTTGCTGTGGTTACGCATGTTTATAATGGGAGCTTTGTACTGTGCATATAGCCACTCTAGTGTTGTGATAATGATGTCCTTATGTTACCTGTGATCACAGTATGCGTTCAGTGACTGGAAATCCATTTTGGACGTAGACCAAACCTGGCAGCAGTGTGACGTGTAGTTAAATCGTCACCAGAAATCCAACGTAGAGCATTGGCATGCCACACACACTGACTTATCCTTTGTTGCTTGCAGCATCATCAAGGATCGTCCAGAGGCAGCTCCCGAATGTCCAGGAGGCATCTTGGCCGATGAGATGGGTCTGGGCAAAACCATAGAGGTTCTGGCTCTTATTCTGGCCCATCCAAGACCTAACATGGCAACAACAAGCGAGCTCCTCCCCAGTGTAAGCGATGTGCCAAACGGTTGATTATATCTTCATTGCAGATCACTCACATGGCAGACTTTCATTCATTTGTATTCAGTTATTCACGTATCATCTTCTTTGCTGAGGGTTTCCTATTGTAAGGGCATCTGAACCTACTAATCTTGGTGGACAGCAGACACACTTAAAGTGTATCGATTTACACAGGTTACTTCTTAACTGTGCTAAATTAGCATGAACACTTAGTTTATTTTTACTGATGTAGTCTTGTAAACACATTCGAAATCTTTCTGTAAATGATAATAAACTCAGAAATAAATTTGAGTGCAGGGTGGAAATAAATTAGTTATAATACGCTCAAAAGAAAATTTTTTTACTGAAACACTTCAATATAGTTTGACTCTTGCGTTATTGATCTGGAATAAAGTTCTGTGAATTTTACACATATCCCATTGCTGAAGGAATACCTGAAAATTACTCAGTCGGGATTGCAAACAGCAATATTGCTCCCTACTTTGAAAACTTGGAAGGGCCCTCCAAGCATAATAATAATGGATGCAGTGTGGCGATTTAACGTGACATGCAGGGCATGATGGGAATACTAATCCTATGGTCCCAATTCACACCCGCTGTCTAGAAATAACCTTTGGCATTCAGTTTTATTTAAAGTACATTTTTTTTTATGGGGAACAGTGTAAAATCATGTGTAATCATTGTATTGGCTTATGGTTGTGCTTTCCTGTGCTTTGTTTTTTGCTTGTATATGATGGCATTTCATCATTACAGGGTGTTAAAGTTAACTACTACATTCCGCCTCCTGAGACGGAAAAGGTGAAAGAGAAAATTAAGCCGAGTGCCGGATCTCCTAACAAGCCAGCTGTCAGTGCTGCAGGTAATGTGCTTCATCTATAAGAAAAGAGTGTTCAAAATTCACCATATGCCCTGCATGCAGGCTGCCTGGTTATACTGGTAGGAACCTCCTGGTTACACGAGCCCATAGGGGATTATTGCGTCCGTCCGTCGTGCATCCAAAAATGGGAGGGGTGGGGCTGGGTGGAGAGGGGAGGGTGGGGAGGGGCTGAGTGGGGAGGGGAGGGTGGGGAGGGGCTGGGTGGGGAGGGTGGAGGGTGGGGCTGGGTGGGAAGGGGCTGGTCACCCCGTGGTGCCCTTATAAAACTCAACGTTTAACCTACTCACGCCGGCTTGTGCCCGCCCTCACAGTTGGCCATATTTGCGGAATACACCACGCCGCCGTTGACCCTGGCCATTGACCGAGCAACCCAACGTTCCTACCAGCTCCCTCCGCAGGAATGTGTTTAATTCGTGGCTCACAATGAACATGTCAAAGGTCCTTTCTTCCCTTTAACAACTTATGAAAAATATATCATTTGATCCAGATTGTGGTTTTAATTCAGCAACTATCATATACAGACTTTTAGCAAGGCATGCAACGCTCAACCGCCCAGCAGTTACATAAATTGCCTCTATTCAGGGTTTCAAATTCAATAATAAATATATGATTTAGTGTCTCGTAAGATTTTGTTTGTAACGTTCGCCTAAATGTAACATTGACGTATATTCTATGCTTGTATTTTAGGTATTTAAACTGATTCAATTCATCGATTCACCATTAAATCCACACATTTGGCACATTTCACGTGCTTTATATGGAATACACAAGACACCCAACACACCACCTATTGTGCTGATGTGTTTTCTAGAGATGGATCGATGCGTCCATCAATATCAATTGTTAAGCTCACAATACATGCATCGAATTACATATGTGAGAAGCAATATTATTTCAATAAATTATTGAATCAGGAACGCAGTCCTGAATCAGGATAAATTGATCAAATTGCAGTTACTGCGGTGGCAGGGATCGGGGGGGTGGGGGGGGGATGTACTTTGTTTAATCTCCCGTGGAGACTCGCAACAGCCTTGTCATAGAGGCGAGCTGGCTCTGGCAGCTTCTCCTTTCCCGCGCGTCTGCGAGCAGGGCTCAGGACCATGATCGTCGAGGCGTTCCGCAAGGCTAAGGGCCGCAAGGGCGTGTCCATGAGCGCCTTGTATCGCCACCTGTCGGCTTCCTGCGGCTACGACGCCGTGCAGAAGCGGAAGGCGGTGCAGAGCGCCGTGCGGGTCATGCTGGACGCCGGCACGCTGCAGCACGTCAAGGGGCAGGGTCTCGGGGGAACCTTCCGCGTCAGCAAGAGCTACAGAGAGCCTGTCGCTGGGCTCACCATGAGCGCGCGCAAGGCACGGGCCACGCCTGCGGAAAAGGTGCGATGTCGGGAAAGTACCTTGTTGCCCATAATAGAGCTTTTTGGGTTAGAACGCGTCAATATAGGTGTGTCGTTAAACCCGCCACCAGCCGACACAGCCAATTAGTAAGGTTTGTCACGTAAACAAAACTTGCCAATAGTAAACCCACAATATTTGCCATTCTAGGATGACGTTTGGCCGTCATTGCCTTGTGTACTTGTGTAGTTTGCACAATTTTTTGTGTTGTCCTTCCCCCCGCACCCACCAATTAGCACGGTTGGCTATGTATGATGTAAAATATGTTGAACAATACATTGCGTTTGAATTGTTTGTAGCCGTACCGTGAATTGTACACTATTTACGTTTATATACATACTAGTTCATGAAGCCTGTCTTCACCAGGCAAAAGTTTCAATAAATAAAATAATGAACCTGATATGATTTTTTACAATTTGTACCAATGATCAGGCACAAACAACCACTCCAAAAACTAGTATTTTTCCACAGATTTCGGATTCAACTTACGTTTACAGACGTAGCCATCGGAAACTGCCGATTCCATTATTTTATTATTAAAAAGAACACAAATTAATGAACTTACTACTCTGTGAGGGAAAGCTCCTATATTTTACTGTTTTCGAATTCAGATTTATTGTAAAAAAAGCACTTGAATCCGACAACATAAAAACTATAAAACAGAACAATGGTTCTCACTTAAATTTTATTTGCTGTTTAATGCTCTATCCAACGAAAAAAAATGCAATCTTGTATTTTCAACGGTTTCTGAATGACACGCACTACCATGTTTATGGGACACTTAAATTCAAGATTTGGGGGCTTAAAATAAAAAATGTATAATTTTGCATACCAAATTTCATTTTTCTATCTTGCCGGAAAGCACACTCGAGTTTTTTGAGACGCAGATTAAGGTCTGTATATAGATTCTAGATTTGAAGCTTTCGTGACTGCAAAGATTCATATTCTTAGGTTTTTTTCGGTTAAGTCACGTAAGTAAAACATCAAAATAAAAATAAAATGATGTTTTACTTACGTGACTTAACCGAAACAACCTAAGAATATGTATATAGATTGTTAGAATACTATGCTTCATCTTCTTGGTTCTTTCGGTAAAGTCACGTAGAAGGGAAATAATAAAATAATAAAATAATAAAAATACAACATAATTAAATAATTATCACGACGTTTCGGCCACAACGCAAACAGCTGTCCTCAGGTGAAGAACAGGAAAGACAGACCTGTTCTTCACCTGAGGACGGCTGCTTGTGTTGTGGCCGAAACGTCGTGAGAATTATTTTATTATATTTTATTATTTTATTATTTCCCTTCTACGTGACTTTACCGAAAGAACCAAGAAGATGAATCCCTGCAGTCACGAAAGCTTTAAATCAAAACTTAATACTATGCTTCTTTAGCCTGGAGAGCCTCACTGAGTCTCAAGGCCTGGTGATGATTTGCAGTAGGGGGTGCTGTTGCCATGTGGAGTCATTTGCATGTGACTTTTAAGCATTATAACTTTTTGGCCAATATGAGTTACACTGGTTTTTTTTTATTGTGGGAGGAAATCCGAGAATCCATGCAGAACAGGGGGAGAACATAAAAATTCCACGCAGAAAGGTGCCCGAGTCAGGAATCAAGCCCAGGCCTTTGCTTTGTAAGTGTAGTAGAGTTACCCACTCGATATTCACAAACAGGGAGAGCTAATCGTTGACAAGGGTTTCCCGCTCAAACTAACGGTCAGGGTCTCACAAGTTGTGAGAGCTGACCGTTAACAAGGTTTTCCCGCGCGACCTAACGGTCAGGGTCAGATAGGGTAAATTGGGATCGAAAAGCAGATTGGGAACGACCAATCACAGGGTTCCACAAGGTGGCCGGGGATTGGACAACCCGGCCACGAACGAGTATAAAGCCAGAACGCTCAGAGCTCTCGGGGAGTCCGACGACACGAAGACCCAAGACGGCGGAAGAAGCATAGGACCCTGGACCAAGCCCTCCAGCCCTTATAAGGGCTAGGGTTCAGAGTAACCAGTGGTCAGGGAGACATCTCCCTAGGTCCAGTCAGAGGACACTGAAGGAGCGGGGTATGAGTAGCCTGTAGGCTTGTACGTTCGGAGTGTAACGGGTGAGGGGACCGTATACCCCTCGGTGCATAGGGACTGTATTCACAAATAAAGTGTGTGCTACTAAAAGACGTACAAGAGTCTGTCTGTACAATACTACATTTGGCGTCAGGAGATGGAAACAAGACGAACGAACCGCACGCGAAGTCCCGATGATGCAAGCTCCGACTCACCCGTGGGTGCTGCGGGCGGCGCTGAAGATGTTGGCGTGCTGCCAGCCGCCCCACCACCAGCTGTGCAGCCGATCGCCGCGAGCGACGGCAACCAGGCTGCTCACGCCCGCCTCGCCCAGCTGCTGCATGCTGCAGCAGCCATCCTGGAGCAGCTTACCCTGGGGGCTGCGGGCGGGGAGGAGCGGCCGACAGCGAGCGTCCCCGCCATCGCAAACCCGGAAGAGAACGTCCTTCCCGCCGATGGGTCACGTGGGGGCGGAAGCCAAGTGCATGCTGGGACCTCCGGGGGCCAATCACGACACACTGCGTTATCAGAGAGCGATGCTGCCTCTGCAGGACACTCCAACAACACCGCGTCATCACGGCTGCGACGCCGTACAGTACATGTTGTCGACCAAGCCATCGCTGCGTTCGGAACCGAGTCCGAGCTTGACGAAGACGACGACACAGCTGCTCTACAGCAGCGACTGCCTGTCTTTCGCGAATTCTCGTCCACAGGGGGCGACTGGGCAGCATTTCAACGTCGCTTCCTCAGTCACCAGGAGATGGTGGGCTGGTCGGATGCACAAGCACTTCGTGCATTGCCAGCCACCTTGGACGATGACTCTCTCGCTGCACTCATCTCCATTCCCAAGCGACAAAGGGCGACACTACAAGCAGCACTTCAGCGGCTGTCTGATGTCTACGGACCTCCTTCCGCCACACGCCACCAATTCTACGAGAGACGGTGCAAGCCAAGGGAGTCGCCATTGGCGTTCCGCACCGCGCTACTCGCCATGGCAAGAGCGGCTTACCCCCGCATGGACGATGAGGCTATCGACGCACTCGTCCTTCAGAAGCTGCTGGAGATGGCGAGGGGGCTGCGCCTTGTCATCCAGGCCGTGGATGACGAGGACATGTGCTCACTGCGAGCTGCCCGGAGCATTCATGCTCACTTAATGCTGGACCAGGACGAGACCATCACCGCTTCGGCTACGACATCGGTACCTGCCAGCAGGGACAACGCTCGCTCTCCTGATCGAGTCTTCTCGACGTTCAGCGCGACGCCCCAGCGATCACCAAATCGCACCAGTCGCCGCAACGACTGGGAGCGGGGACGGCCCTTCCCCCGCGACGACGCGACGTGTTTCAACTGTGGCCGCCGAGGCCATTTCTCTCCCGACTGCCGTGCACCTCGCCGCCGCTCCGCCGGATCCCGAGACCGGGACTACAGAGCTTCCAGAGCAGCGCAGCATAACCAGGCAAGTCGCGGCACCCCACACGCTCGGTCCTCATACACACCACAACACACCATTGACTCCGCTCGGAACACGGCGTATGATGCGCGGCGTTTGGCCGACTTTTCACGACCACTGCGACCCGGGCAGTGGTCAGAGCTGGCCCATAGAGTGGTTGCAGCGACGGCGGGTTCCTCGGTGGTCGTTGGTTCGATCGAGGGGGTAGAGGTGCGCGTGCTTGTCGATACCGGTGCATCGGCCACTATCATCTCTGAGTTGATTTACAATATACTGCCCGTGCGATGTCGATCTTTGGAAAAGGTTTCCGTTCCGTTTTTCACTGCAAATGGAAGTTCCCTGGGGATTCTCGGCCAAATTCGGGCGCAAATTGCCATTGGAGATATTAAATTGGCCGGCCCTGTTTTTGTGTCTTCTTCCCTTGCGGTGCCGTGCCTTCTGGGAACTGATTTTCTTGCCAAAATGCCCATTAAAATCCTTATCGATCAGGGATGTATTGAACTTCCCTCGGGCCGCCGGATGGCATTTTTACCCGCGGCCACGCATTCACGGACGGAAAATGTTTCGGTACAGGCTTTTGCGGCTTGCGCTGTACGCATTCCGCCAGGGGCACAAATGCTCGTACCCTTACGGTTAAAAAAACCGCTCGCTCCCACCGCCTCGGTAAATGGCATTTTATTGGGACCTTCCAACACAGCAGTTAACAGCCTTTCGTTGGTGGCCGCACAGACTCTTGTAGCGGACGACAGGGAACCATTTATACAAGTTTTGAATGTCGGTCTGTCAGACACCGTCATTTCACAGGGGACAGTGCTCGCTCATGCGACAGTGGCGCCTCTGGGAACCGGGGTTGTCGGACACGTAGCGAACAGTCAGCAGCCTCGCCCTCATAACGGTGACGAGGGATGGATTGACGCTCTCTGCGCGGATGCCGGCGATTTATCCGGGTCACAGCAGAGTAAATTGCGGGCTCTTTTGCGGGAATTCTCGGATGTGTTCAGCAAATCACAATTTGATATTGGCTGCACCAAGCTGCTGCGTCACCACATTGACACTGGTGACGCTGCCCCTATCCGCCAAAACCCGTTTCGGCTCAGCCCTGCGGAGAAACAGCATGTTAAATGGGCAGTTGACGACATGCTGGCGGCTGATATCATTTCTCCTTCCAACAGCCCCTGGAGTGCCCCGATAGTGCTGGTCAAAAAGCACGATGGCAGTCTTCGATTCTGTGTAGATTTTCGGCGCCTAAATAAAATTTCTGTGGCTGACGCATATCCTCTTCCACGTATGGATGAGTCATTGGATGCCCTGGCAGGGGCGCGTTATTTTTCCACTTTGGACCTTCTGTCAGGGTTTTGGCAACTCCCCCTCGACGAAGCGTCAAAGCCAAAGACTGCTTTTCGGACACCACAGGGCCTTTTCGAGTTTAATAGATTGCCCATGGGGCTCCACTCAGCTCCAGCGACGTTTCAGAGGCTCATGGAGCTGGTCCTCGCTGGGCTCCAGTGGGACTCATGCCTTATCTATCTTGATGACGTTATCGTCTTTGGCCGCACGTTCAACGAACACATTGAACGGTTGCGCGCTGTTTTCGAAAAGATGCGAGCTGCGGACCTTAAATTCAAACCGCAGAAGTGCCACCTTTTGCGTGAGTCTGTGCGCTATCTAGGCCACATAGTCAGCCGCTCGGGTATTTCCACAGACCCTGAAAAGACTAAATGTGTCAGCCAATGGCCTACCCCCACCTCTGCTGGGGATGTTCGCAGTTTTATCGGGTTCGCGTCGTACTACCGACGTTTTGTGGCTGGTTTCGCTACAATCGCCAAGCCACTACACGCTCTTACAGCGAAAGGGCTGAAATTTCATTGGGGGGACGCGGAACAGGCCGCATTTGACTCCTTACGGAATGCTCTTGTAGCAGCACCGCCCCTGGCTTACCCCGATTTTGCAAAGCCGTTTATTCTGGACACCGATGCCAGTAACACCGGGATCGGCGGGGTGCTGTCCCAAATCATTGAGGGCGTTGAGAGGGTGGTTGCCTATGGAAGCAGAGTTTTGTCCCCTGCAGAGCAACGTTATTGCGTAACCCGACGCGAGCTGCTGGCCATTGTTCACTTTATACAACAATACAGGCCATACCTGTACGGTCAACGGTTTACCGTGCGCTCCGATCACTCTGCGTTACAATACGCTTTGCGCATTGATCAACCGTCTGGCCAGCTCTCCCGATGGCTTGAAGTCCTCCAGGACTACAATTTTATGGTGATTTACCGCAAGGGTACACAGCACAGTAATGCGGACGCGCTATCTCGCCTCCCGTCAGAACAATGCGCCTGTTTTACGGGTTCTGGCCGGTGCAGACCGCAAATAGTACGCCCGGTTGCACCTCTTGAAACGGTTTCTGCTGCCCTTCCTTCCGATCCTGCGCCGGGTGCGGACCACGAAAATCCGCCAGCAAGTGACGACTTGCTGGGGATAACGTTGGACGAATGGGGTCGGCACCAAATGAACGATGCGTCATTGTTGCCTCTGCGTCGTCGCGCATGTGATTCGTCCTCACGTTCAAGTAAATCGAACTCTTTTGCCATGCGCCGCGGTCTGCTCATGCATTGGGACGCTGATTCTTGCCAGTACAAAATTGTAGTGCCATCGGCTTTGCGGTGTTCGGCTGTGTGCGCAGCACACGAGCGATTGTCGCACCTGGGTGTGCATAAAACCATTGGGTTGCTAAGATTACAATTTTACTGGCCGGGCATGCTTCGCGACGTAACTGATATTTTAACGGGCTGCACCCAATGTGCGCAACGTAAACCTCCAGCGACGCCGGCATGCCCACCGCTGCAGCCCATCACGGTATCCCGTGTGAACGAGCTGGTTGCTCTCGACATTTTGGGGCCTTTCCCTACAACGCCTCGTGGTAACAAGTACCTGCTGGTTGGGGTGGAGTATTTTACACGGTGGCCTATGGCCTGGGCCCTCCCCAACCAGTCAGCAGCAGCCGTGGTGGACGCCTTTGTTCAAGGCTATGTGCTGGACAAGGGCGCTCCAGAACGGTTGCTGACCGATCAGGGAAGAAATTTTTCCAGTACCCTGCTGAGTGAGGTATGCCGCCTGTTGGGCACTAAGAAGGTGCGCACCTCGCCCTATCACCCCCAAACAGATGGCATGGTGGAGCGGTTGCATAGAACCCTCACCTCTATGCTATGCCATCAGGTTGACGAATCCCACTTAGACTGGGACCTGCAGATCCCAGGGGTCCTCGCTGCTTACCGCATGGCGCCACATGCAGCGACAGGGTTCTCCCCATTTTTCCTAATGTATGGCAGGGAGGCCATTCCCCCCGCTGATGTGCGGCTTGGGATAGAGCAGCTTCCACAGTCATCGAAGCTCACTGACCATTTGCGGTTCAACCTGCAAAAGCTGTCTGAGGCTCGTGCTGCGGCGATCGAAAATTCCGCTTCCCGCCAGCGGGCAAATTCGAGGTTGCAGGCCCCTCGCACGTCCGTGCATCGGTGGGCTCCAGGTGATATGGCGTGGCTTCATTGCCCCCAGGTGCCGGTGTCCACATCGGCTAAACTCCTAAAACCATGGCGAGGTCCGGTTGAGGTGGTCCAGGTAATGCGCCCACAGTGTGTTAAGATACGTTGGGGACGACGGCGCTGGTTCGTGCACCCCTCTCGTCTGAAGCCATTTGTTGCTCCGCGCGGCTCTGCGTCACACTCAAAACACGAGGGCCGAGCGTGTGATATGCCCGACGAGCCGGATGTCGCCCCGTTGGTACCTAACCCACAGCGCAGACGTCTCATTCCTCCTGCAGATGATGCGGGACTGAGGGAGCTGTGCGAGCCACGAGTCTCTGCACGAAGGACCCGGGAGCCACCCAACATGTTTGCCAGGATGCCTGACCCGTCTACAACAAGAGTCTCTGCAAAGAGACCTTCTGACCCACCCAACATGTTTGCCAGAATGCCTGACCCGCCCAACATGTTTGCCAGAATGCCTGACCCGCCCAACATGTTTACCAGGATGCCTGACCCGCCCAACATGTTTGCCAGGCTGCCCGACCCGTCTGCTCCAAGGGTCCCCGCAGAGAGGCCTCCTGCCCCTGCTGACATTTTTGCCAGGATTCCTGGTCAGCCTGCAGCCCGGAAAGGGGCACCCATCCCCTACGACGGGCCCGCGAAATACACACGGGCTAGATCGCGTCGCTTTTCTTGATTGCCCATCATTTTTTTTGCGCCAGCTGGATGCTGCATGCGTTGTGCGACGCGAATGTCGTTATTTGTGGTTGGTTCTGACCATGTACATATGTTGCGTTGTTGATGGGGGGGTATTTGTAGTGGGTGTTCCTGTTCTTGTTGGATGTACCTGTTCTTGTTGGTTGTGGCACACACACACACTTTGATTCATTGATGGGGATTTTCTGCTTGTAACAGCCGGGACGGCTGAGGCTTCCGAAGGGGAGGGTGATGTAGTAGAGTTACCCACTCGATATTCACAAACAGGGAGAGCTAATCGTTGACAAGGGTTTCCCGCTCAAACTAACGGTCAGGGTCTCACAAGTTGTGAGAGCTGACCGTTAACAAGGTTTTCCCGCGCGACCTAACGGTCAGGGTCAGATAGGGTAAATTGGGATCGAAAAGCAGATTGGGAACGACCAATCACAGGGTTCCACAAGGTGGCCGGGGATTGGACAACCCGGCCACGAACGAGTATAAAGCCAGAACGCTCAGAGCTCTCGGGGAGTCCGACGACACGAAGACCCAAGACGGCGGAAGAAGCATAGGACCCTGGACCAAGCCCTCCAGCCCTTATAAGGGCTAGGGTTCAGAGTAACCAGTGGTCAGGGAGACATCTCCCTAGGTCCAGTCAGAGGACACTGAAGGAGCGGGGTATGAGTAGCCTGTAGGCTTGTACGTTCGGAGTGTAACGGGTGAGGGGACCGTATACCCCTCGGTGCATAGGGACTGTATTCACAAATAAAGTGTGTGCTACTAAAAGACGTACAAGAGTCTGTCTGTACAATACTACATAAGCACTGTGCTACCCTGCCACCCAATGGGAGGCAGGGTGAAGGACTGCAGAAGTACCGTTTTAAGTTGTTGTGAATGTTACATAACGACAGACATGTATTGATGGAATATATAATTTTTGCTTTTATGATCACAGACAGTGACAGACGCTGCAACGTCGTCATCTGTACCAGCAGATGGAGAAGAGCAAAACTCCACGGGGGATGCGGGTGCAGGTGGGGATACCGAGGCAGCAAAAGACAAGACAAACATTGTTTTACGCGATGCCCCCGATAGTGCGGGAATCGTACCTCTGTCACCTGTGACAGAATTGGGGATTCCTGCGACGTTAGATATGCCAAGGACGGCCGAGGAAGCCGAGTTTCACGGCACAAGCCCCGATCACAACTACGCTCTGGGCGGAGCTCAGGTCAACAAAGGTGATGGTGTGGCAGTGAGCGATGTCGACAGGACACTTTATTCCACAGAGCGGGCTGCCAACCAGGAGAGGGAGGCACCACCTGCCATGAGGTCAGGTGGTGGTACCGAGATGGGCGTTCATGCGGAGATGGAGCCAAGGAAGCCCGTGCCCATCTTCCCCTTCAACACGAAGGACTACCGGTGAGTAGTGGGGTCTTGCATGCCACATTCTTCCTGGATTAGTGCTGCTCGGAGGGTTAATCATTTAGTTTCAGCTGCAGTGCAATTTAGCCTAATCTGATCTCGTCACAGCTAACCAGGTTTGAGCCTGAATAGTGCTGGAATGGGCAACGACCAATAGCAAACTAGTTGTAGGCTGCTGTGGGGCCACGTGATGGGCAGGCGAGCACTTAAGAACAGCATAATTTTTTTGTTAATTTGTGTACGGCGAATTTTTGTGCTCTCCTTGCTCCCATCGATTTTGTACTTTCTTCCCTCCCACATCTCTACTCCCCACCTTCAACCCTCACTGACCATCATGGTCAAGTATGGTAAAATAACCCCCATGACCTGCACAGTGTGGGGAGGCCCTCCCTGTATATGTACATGTAGTTTGTCTCGCTTTAGCAGTAAAGCTAGAGTCGTGCCGTATCCTATTTATATGTAAATCCAGCACAATTGCTCTTCAAGGCGAGTATATTTCTGTCAGGGTAAAATGAAATTTCTGAATCATTTTTAAGGATATAGACTTGTTTTAAGAATTGCACTTTATATGTATTGCCTTCTCTTGGCCACTATCATTGTTCCACACATCACGTTGATGGGCAGCTTGTCGAAAGCCAACGTTTCAAACGATGAGATTGTTTGGCTTTCACCATCTGGATATTTCCTGATTTATTTGTATAGAAAGGAGGGTGAAATTAAAGGGCAATATGTATTGTACTGTAAATTAACTATTAAACATTTAATTATTTAAGCATGAGGGCTTCGGTCTCGCCTTGTTAAAATGTGCAATTATCTTGCATCAGTAGAACTTGCTAAATGTCACCCTCTGCTAATTTCTGCCGGTCAAACGTTTGAACAATGATTAGTTGGGAATGGTGAGCTGCAGTATGAACTTGGTGGCCTTATCTTGAATACCACCCATGGCTATCTAATGGATCAGTTGCAACTGATGCCCTAACTAGTCCTGGACCACCCTCCCCCACCCCCACCCCACCACCACCCCCCCCAACATCATCAAACGTCACCGACCAGGGTGATAAAGTATGGTTGAATAACTCTCATGACTGACACATCCTAATGAGGCCTTCATCTAGCAGTGAATTGACAGAGGGCATTAAGTTAGAATTCTACTAATTTCTGCAAGCAAATCGCACAGCCTTATGTCCACACGTTTGCCGACGTCGTTAAATATAATGTATCAGCTGTGTGAGAACTGCAATTGTTTGGACATGAGACAAAAAAGGCGCGACTATCCAACATCATCTTACAGGGCATGGGAAAAGGATAAAGAAGGGAAAAGATGACCAAAGATCAACTGGATGACATGTGATAACATTGACGGATAAGCCGGCACAATACCTGGGGATGACTGTGATGGAGGGTCAACCGTGCAGATCGTTGACAGCCGAGGAGACATCGGTGGCAGTTCAGTGGTAGGTAATGATAACGATGATTATTGGGACTCCTTCCAGTGTGACCCTGGGTTTTGCATGTGGGTGACACCCGTAGGTTCGAGTGCGTGTGCGGCGAGCTGGGCTTGAGCGACTTCAAGCCGCGCGTGCAGTGCATGAGCTGCGGGCTGTGGCAGCACGCCGCCTGTGTCAACTACAGCACGGCACTGCTGCAGGCGCAGGAAGGCACCGGCGCAATTGGCGGGCGACAGCAACAGCAGCAGCAAGAGGAACAGAAGGAGGATGAAGAGGAGGCGGAGGGCGGTAGCAGTGGCGAGCGTCATCTGCCATTCCACTGCGCTCACTGCCTGGTGGCGATGGAGCCGACCCTTTCGGGGGCCACTTTGATTGTGTCTCCCAGCTCGATTAGTCACCAGTGGGTGGACGAAATCAACCGGCACGTCCGCTCCTGCACCCTGCGCGTGTTGGTGCGTGCATCCGCGCCCGATGCGTAAACCGCACTGGTTTTCACCGCTCATGTTGGACTTTGATTTTGGACTAAACTCGGAAAGATGTGGAATAACTCGGCTAATTCAAATCACATTTGACCTGTGTTACTCGAGTGAGTTGAGTCCCTTGTGATTTTCTCAAAGGGAATTGTTTCTGTTTAATAGACAGCACTGCATCATATACTGTGAGCAATGCGTTGTGTTTACAATCACGTCCTCATTGGAGCCGTCTTATCCTGTTCGCTTGTATTTAAAGGGTGTCACACTGCATCATAAATGTATTTACTTGATAAACAAATAGGAAGGACGTGTACATGTTTGTCTTGTTTGTGAATACCATGGTTTTTTTTGGAAGAACATAAACATTTATCCATTCTATCAAATTTTCACTTAACTTTTAATGAAATCAAAGTGAAACGTTTGAATAAAAAAGACAGGACATGGATTACGTAACACCTTCCAACAGGTGTTTGTCTTCAGCAGTATCAGCAGCGTGAAAATCGACTTGTCGCTGTGAGGGCAAACTGAGTTTTCATATTTGCAAATAGTAATTTTTGCTCTGGTTTGTGTCTTCAGGTTTTGCTAAATTTAGCTTAATTTTCAACACACAACTTTGACACTGATGGTTCTTTCATATGGGATCATGTTTACGAGAGTTAGTGTTCCCCCTGTTATGGACGGATGAAAGCATCAATAAGCGAATTGTAAATGCACTGAATGGCACTAGAGAGTCCAGCGGTTGATTGTGTAACCTTTGTTACATGCGTGACCCCTCCCTCGCAGGTGTACAACGGGGTAAAACGTGACGGCTTTGTGCAGCCGCGCAAGCTGGCGCAGCAGGACGTGGTCATCACCACGTACGACGTGCTGCGCACGGAGCTCAGCTATGTGGACCTGCCCTACTGCAACAGAGGGTAGGGCGCAGTGAGTTACATCGTGAACAGGGGAACGTTTGCGCTTTCGAAAGATGAGGTCATTGGCAACTCTGGATGGTTTATTTCCCTCCGCTATGCCAAATCCCCTACGGATTGGCAAAAAAAAAAGTGAAAATTATTTATTGCTCAAATGAGCTCTGAGGCAGTGCTTATTTTCAGCTTACAGCCCCGGGCCAAGTGGTGGAAATTATATTCGGTCTGGCAGAACTATCTTTAATTCACAGAGCTCATTGGAAATTAAAAATGCCGTGGATTGACTGATCCAATATAATTTCTCGCTGAGTTTGCTGAGCTCTCTGAGAATTTTCATGCATTCTCAGTCCCATGACACAACACCGATCACCCGTTCGGGATCAAATTCGTTAAAATATATATTTTTTTAATGTATTAAAATGTTACTGCGTCATCCTGGTGCGTGTCTCTTCGTCAAGAGTGGGGTCTGCAGGTGGTGCAGACAGCCTCTTGCCGTCTGAGGGCGGCCGCCGGTTCCGGCAGGGCAAGCGCTATATGGCGCTGCCGAGCCCGCTGGTGGCCGTGCACTGGTGGAGGGTTTGCCTGGACGAGGCCCAAATGGTGGAGCGCACAACCGCAAAGGTGAACGCGCGCGCAATTACGCAGCGTCCTTCAGCGGCGTGGTGACAAAGTCTTCTTCCACCTGTTTGTGCCACTCATGTAGGGTCCATTGTCCTCGCCAACTTTCTTCACGCTGCCCTGTCCTGCACCATCTCTCTTTCCGCTCTTCGGGCCACCGTGTCCGATTGCACCACATTGACCCACCGCTTCTTTTGCCTTCCTCTTGATCTCTTTCCTTCCACTTGCATCACTTGCACCTTCTGACCCACATAATTTTCCTGTTGTCTATCAACATGACAAAACCACACCCGCAGCCTTTTCTCTCTCTTATCTACTCTGTGATTTCTACCACATTGAGTCTTTCTCTCACTTCTTAATTTTTGACCCTGTCCTTCCTTGTCAAACCCAACATCCACCGCAACATCCTCATCTCTGTGACTGCCATAGGTCCCTCCGTCTTTCTTGTGTCCCGGCACTCTGCCCCATACAACAGCACCGGCCTCACCACTGTCTTGTACTATAGACTGCACTATACACTACATTATACACTGCACTATACACTACAAACTTTTCCCTTCAACCAAACTGGGACCCTCTTATCGCACACCACACCAGTCATCTCTCGCCATTTCAGCCATCCAGCCCTTGTTCTCATCTCTCCTTTTTGTGATCCATCAGCACACATCGTTGTACCCAGGTACATACACGAGAACAAACTCACAACAACCAGTCACAATTACTCATTCGACCACCAAGCAAGCAAAAATGCCATAAAACACAAATAACACAATCAGGATTCAACAGGCTTCCCCACAGCACTACATCTACAAATCTCAACATCACGAAAGAAATTTTAAATTAATCTTAGATGATGCTACATTACATGCTAGCTATTTTTACTTCAGTTAGCTAACTGGCCCTCCGATCACGCCGAACGAAAAATGCTAACGTAGGCGGCTAGGCCAGCTAGAAGGCTCCGGCATGTCAAAGAATACACCCAACATGGCAAATTTGATTGGTTAAAGAATATGACAATCAACAATATCGTCCCCATTTGCTTCAACAGCAGAGGGGATTCACTCTACATTCTGAAGGCCTCAGGGTAGATTTTTCACCCGGAGAGGCGGAGACAGCACAGGTGGAAAATCTCATTGGATAAATGCTCTAATTTATGAGCTGCACTGGAAGCAGCACAACTGAGGGAGAGAGTAGCAATAAAATTACGCTAATAGACTGGTGGAAATGAACTTTGTAAAATACATATAGCATTGATGAAAATATATTTGTTAAATTATAAAAAATCAAATTTTCTGATTCTGACAATCTCTAGGCCAGCTGAGAAGGCCTTGCTGGCCCTGATGGGCCGCCTCTGGTCTTACCACAATAGACTAGCTGCTAGTTATGCAACCAATGTCCTTATTAATACTGAAAATGTTGATGGCAAAGAGTATAATTCTTTGGGGAGCTTGTACATACAGTCATATTTCGATTTACGTCTCCCCCTTTGACGTCGTTTTGCTAATGCATCCTCACTTTATTAACACTGCCACTTGATTTACATCGCCTCAACCCACACTCACGTCACTGACATCATCGTCCGTTCTTTCTCGTATCTGTCGCCTTGGCCTTCGCCCACACCTACCCTGTAAATTGCTTTGATTTACGTCGTTTCGATACTTGTCGTCACACATTTCAGGAACGCATCCCCACATTTATTTATTTTGATATAACAACATTTAATTACCGGTGGAACATCAAATTACATTCTAGATTTTAAGCTTTCGTAATTTTAGCTGTGACGGTCTCACCTGATGACGGAGACTTGTGTTGCCTCCGAAACGTCGTATTTTTTACCTACGTGACTTTACCGGAAAAAAAACCTAAGAGTATAAAATTACATACTTAAAACTGCAACTGCTGATTTTCAGTGCATTGGCTGAGTAGTAATGCTCAAACACGTTTCCCGTGCATACTCTTGCATCAGTTGTTGGGGCACGTTGAGTGTGTTGCATGCGTGTGTTGATTTGTCTCGCACCACAGGCTGCCGAGATGGCTCTGCGTCTCAGCTCGGTGAATCGCTGGTGTGTGACTGGGACACCTGTCCAGCGCGGACTGGAGGGTAAGTGCAGCCACGGGTGGGCCGGTAAACGAATGAGCGGCCTACGTTTCGTGGTGTGAACTGATTCAATTTCAAATTGAAATGATGGAATTTTTTTAGTGAAGAAATGCATCGTGAGAAAAACAAGGTGTTGGTGCAGTGATCATTGATTTTTTTTGTGAAGATACCCGTAGGCTGAAATGTCACGTATTAGGGGTGAGATTCGGATTACATTTTCATAGATATTGGATTTTTAGATTTATAGATTCGTTTTTAATTAAAATGGTCATATTTTTGGATTTGAATAGATTTGAATGGATTACATTTAAATCACATGCTCATGTCTCAATCCTGGCACCTGAATTGTCCGTATGCCTGTTTTCTCCAACATGTGTTTTCTTGATAAAGAAAAAGAAATCAGAAACCGTTGTACCGATGTGTAAACACAATTAGGAAACCTCACCACATGCATCATTAATTAACACTGCATAATATACATAAAAAACTATCATGGGGGTTGACATTACGGGCTGCGGACTTCTTTAGGATATTAATGGACACTGCATTGCTACATTTTTTCTTTCCCAACATTAATTTATCCACGTACAAATTTTATCACGTAACTTTTATTTGAAAGGCGTTTATGCATATATTACTTACAACCGAATGTCAAATAGTTGTTCTTCATTGGCCTTACGAAATAATCATCACCATGCATTTAGTGACTTAGTAAGGGTTTGTTTGCTTCTCGATGTTTACGGATTTAAAAAATGCCTCATCAACTCAAAACTGTTCATTTGCATCGTCTTTTTTTGTAAGCAAATTAGCAACTTATAATGTATTGTACCTGTTTGCAACCTGATTGAGTTATCACTTCTAAAATATTCACCCACATAAACTATACTGCTTCATAAGAGATTTTATAGCAGTCTTCTGCTACTATAATTCACGATAAATATTCAAAGGTTATAAATATATGCACTGACCTGATAATAAACCCAAGACAGGGGAATTTATAATTAGAGTTTTCATTTTCCTATGTAGGCTATCCTCCTGGGCTAAAAGACCAACCTGTCCACAGTGGTTAGTGAACTCCGTTATGAACCCAACGAGCTGAGTTCAAATGTACAAAGGAATTTACACATTTTCTCGCCAACGACAATCTACCCATAGTTTACAGATAATTTTTCAGGAATCGAGTGTTTTGACCAATAGCAGTGATATTGTGTATTTTTTTTGGTATCTATGGGAGGAAAGTGGAGAAAACCCAGAGGAAAATCCATGCATCATGCAAACTCCACACAGAAAGGTGCCAGAGTCGGGAATCGAACTCGGGCACTTCTTGCCATTAGGCACCAGCGTTCCCGCCGCGCTGCCCCCCGCAGCCTGCCGATGACGAGTAAACATTTGCCTCCCTGCCTAACGGGTGACGTCGGCTGTGCCTCTGCGCCATCAGACCTGTACGGCCTGGTGCTGTTCCTGGGCGTGGAGCCGTTCTGGGTGCGCCACTGGTGGGAGCGGCTGCTCTACCGCCCGTACGTGCGTGGCGACCCCACGCCGCTCTACCTCCTCGTCTCCGCAATCATGTGGCGCTCGTCCAAGAAGCACGTCATCGACCAGGTTGCGTGAGCTACGCGGCAAAAGACAAGCAATCCCCGTGTGACCACGAACGGACTGTTGCGGCAAAACTGCCGTTAAAGACTAGCATCAATGAGGCTTGACGTGGCACACGAGGGGGTGGTTGGCCAACACCACACCCAGCCGCCCTTTGCTTTTCCAATGCTGATATTTACACGCCACAACCAGATACTCGCTTAAGGCTGATTTGACCTCGGGAAAGCCCAGGACCGGTTTAAATATTCGCCACTGATATTGTTTGTGAGTCAGAATCGAACTCAGGTCCCTGGGGTTTGTAGTGCAGTGAGCTGCACACGTTAGACCACAGTAATTTTAACATGTAAAAAAATAATAGTTTAGTGCATTTGGTAGCCATGCGATTCTTATAATAATAAAACTATTTCGAACATAGCCAGCAGTACTTTCACAGTAGGGGGGACTATGTTGCCGTGTATACTCCCAATTGGGTAATTTGCAGGTAATTGTAGAGCAGTGTTATTATTTTCACCCGGATATATAATTTGTTTAAGTTATGGGAAGGAAACCGAAGTACAACATTTGCATATTGTGCCCATTGCTGCGTCGCTGCCGGTCTACGCATGCTTGAATCAGCACGAGTGGCTGGCAGCCGGATGTGTCCTCGGAGCGAGTGCGAGTCCGTTAAATGCACGCGGGCACTCTGCCACCAATTGCCCTCTTCCAGATTGAGCTGCCCCCGCAGACAGAGGACATGCACTGGCTAAGGTTCTCCCCCGTCGAGCAGCACTTCTACCAACGTCAACACGAGCTCTGCTCCCAGGTGACCGGCACGACACCTTCGTTTGGAAACGTTTCAAAATCTTCTTCTTCCGTACGGCTGATGTAGATGCAGAGCTACGACTACAATTTCACATTTCGGGTGATCAAGCCAGACACCGCGTCAGGAGCCAGCAGAGTATATCACTGTGATGTCTCCTTCGTATTTGTGGATTGGGAATTGCGTTGTTATATGTTGTACGGTCTGTTCTGGATAATCATAGTCGAACATCGGAGAGTTTTTTTTTCATTTGTGCATCAGGTATCTACATCTGTCATGGTTTGCAACCAGTGAAGTTATGCAAGAACAGGGGTAATTTGTTCTAAATGAATAATCGGGTTGGGACCCTAGCAGCTGCATTCTTAGTCTGGCTCTTTGAACCTTGTTAATAATTGCAATAATGCCAGCTGTAAGTGTTGACATCACTGCACCCCCACGTGATCGTGAACTTTCTTTCCCAGGATGCTCTGGTCAAGCTGCGCAAGTTGCCGGACTGGTCGGTGCGGCTGAGCGCCCTAGAGCGGCGCACCGTGTCCAGCTTGCTGGCCCCGCTGCTGCGGCTACGCCAGGCGTGCTGCCACCCCCAGGTGGTGCGTGGAGAGTTCCTGCCGCTGCAGAAGAGGTCAGCACATCGGTGTGAAAGGAGCGAATAGGGTGCTTGGCAGAGGTCGCAAACGGGTTTTGATTCCTTACCCGTACCCAGCCGCAGCAGGGTCGCAAATGGGTACCCGTACCCGTACCCGGTCGGACCAGGGTCGCAAACGGCTACCCGTACCCGTACCCGGTCGGGTACGAGTAGCCGGGTATCGGGTAGGGTACGGGTATCGGGTACCCGGTTGCGACCTCTGGGGCTTGGCATCCTATGTTTATAGTATCTCTTATTTTGTTGTAGCTATGGGATAAAACTGAGTTCTCCGGTTTCCTCCCATAGCCACAAAAAAAAACATACAATGTAACTGGAATTTGCCAAACATCGCAATGCTGAACAGTGATCCGCAAATTACTTTATTGGGATCACACACAGCAGCAACTTGACCACCCTACTGAGAAAGTCCTGGCAGGACCCTTCTGAAAATTATTGAGGCTTTGCTGGGTAAACAAGTGCAACGATAACACCAACATAGGCTCTTAACCATAATGTTCTACAGCAAAGTATAATGAGTTTGTATACACAATTTTAGTTTGTGTTGAACAGGGCCCCAGAGTTTAGACTGAGTGCGCTTGCTAATGAAATCTGATAACCCAGTAGAATGTGTTAACAAGCATTACTATAAACTGATCCAGAGTTTCCTTTAACAAGTGCTGATGGATTATTTTGGTTTGGAAAGCCAAGAGGCCAGGGGCCTAAAACATGTATTCACATATGTGTGGAGATACAGCAATGAGTTCTCATTATGTGGATTTGATGCTAATAGCAGCTGCACCTCTGCCAGGGTGAAATGGATACGTTTTGCCAGTGTTGTAATATAAAACCTTACAGCATACACTGATGAAATGTTTCATGTAACAATATTATCTGTGCTCATCTTAATAATATTTTCTATCATTGTTAGCCTTGGCCTATCCACTGCTGGATGAAGGCCTACGACATTATTGGCATCATAGGGCAATTCAGCGAAATCCATTGTTGTACTGTACATCCTTGGACCCACATCTGCAGCACCCCATCTTTACCAATGCACACTGACCAGTGTGGTAAAGTATGGTCAAAGAGCCCCTATGACCTGCACAGCGTGTTGAGGCCCATATCGGGTAGATGTTTACACATCCACTAACGTTGATGGTCATCGTGCTGAGTTTGTGTAACATCTTCACTGTTGTGTTTGACGTGCCTCCATAGTTTAAATGGAGTGAGTGCTCCTGCCAATATAATGCCGTATTCGAGGACATGTATACGTTCACTGCTGTAAATATGACCATGCACGTGAATTACTCTACATAAGTAATTCCACGTCCTGAAGCGATGCGATGTCCCTGAAATAACGCAACGGTAGCGAATGTTTGATCACTCGCTAGCGAAAGTTTGATCACTCGGTAGCACGCTGTGGAAGCGAGTTTGGTGGGTGGGGGTGAGGGCACGTGGGACAGCACAGGGTGAGGAGCGCACACGTTGGCTCGCATGCAAGGTAATCGCCGCGGTGATTAATTTGCGCGAATGCCAACAGCCCCTGGGGTTGTGCAGTAGATTGACAAAAGGGCTGTGTGTGCACTATTCATATTTCCGTTCATGTGAGCCACTTCGGGAAAGAGATGCCGCGTGACGGAGTGGTGTCTTGTCCATGAATTCAAGCAGCGGGAGCAAATGTCCGATCATTGGGGCAGCACGCCCTCTGGGAAGAGAGCAAGTGGTCGGCTGGGCAAGGGTGTACAGCACACACACACGTACACAGAACTGACAAGAAAGACAAAGACTCCACCGTATAGCCTTTAACAGACTGTTGGGGCAAGTTTTGTGTGCGAGCACCTATTAAGGCCAGTACGGCACACAAGGTTCGTGGGCAACACCACGCCCAGCCGCCTTTGTCTCCTGTGTGCTGATGTTTACACGCTGCAACAAATTCTTAATTTAATGCTTAGTCAACCTCGGGGAGGCCACCGTTTATTGTTCAGGAGCGGCAGTCGAACTAATGCTACCGCTCCCCAGCACACACACACGCATGCATGCTCACACTCACTCAAGCACGCACACAGTTGTGGCGCAACCCATGCACGCGTGTGCGCGCGCAACCCAAGGGTTAACTGCGAGGGTGATTGTGAGCGGATACCAAGGGCTCCCTGGGCCGTGATTGTGCGCGCTCGCAGCACGATGACCATGGAGGAGCTGCTGTGCTCGCTGCAGAGGAAGTGCAAGACGGAGTGCGAGGAAGCACACCGCCAGTTGGTGTGCGCGCTCAACGGCCTGGCCGGTGTCCACATCATTAACGGTGCGATGGCGCCGTTCGTGCTGCTCCAGCTTTAATTTTCACCTCCCCCCGTCACACCCCCCCCCCCCACCCCCGCTGTTTGAATCGTCAAGGGGCCGCTGACGCGCGTGACGAGAGCGTGCGTCTTGGTAATGCGCCCGTCGTCACTGTCGTTTGAACGCATAGGATTTCGCGACCAATATTATTCACAATACAGTGGTTTTTTTTTTACGAGACTTCTTCACAATTCGGGCACATCGCCTGATGAAGCAGGTTGTAATCACCAGCGCAACATCGTACTCAAATTGTAAATGTGGGTTTACTCTCCAGCACACCGGTGTGCTGAAGTAGTAACTAATTGGCACATTATGTTCACGTGACCAATCTCAACATTAGACTGTCGGGTGGTGGTGTGTTAATGACACATTTATATTTACACGCTCTAACAAAAACTAAAAGAAACCTTTATTATGTCACTTTCATTGGCCATGATCGATCTACTGGTGGATGAAGGCCATATCCAGGCCACCCAGCACTGGTCCACGAGTTGATTTTATCGCTCCATCTCCCACGGTGGGCATCCACGTGGACGTGTTCCATTCCTTGGCTGCTGCTCTGTCAATACTTTTGACCATTGGACATTATTCTTGCCTTGAAGTGTCCTGCCCATGCCCTCTTTTCTTTACAGTTTGAATCGTGTACTTAACCTGTGTGTGTGTTCTATTCTTCCTGGTCTCCCTGCCCTCGCTCTCACTCCCCTCAGACAAATAAAAAATGCTTCTCCGCATGTTTTTTCACTCTCCCATATAATTTTTATATTTCGCCTTTCATCAAATTCTGGTTACTACACCGCTGTCTTTTCACACACGTCACACTGGTTTTTAAATCTCTCCATGGCCTTCCCCGCCCTTATCTTGCCTTTCTCCTCTCCTATATCCCCTCTCGTCCTCTTTGATCCCTATCTTCTCTCTCTCTCTCTCTCGGTCCTTCTCCCTGTGTCCAATCTCGTTTTCAGTTCTTCCCCCACCTTGCACCCCTCCACAGGAATAAACTTCCCCTTTACATTAATCAGTCCCGCTCCTAAACCTCCTAGTGTTCCTCCCTCAAAGCCTCACCCCCTTCCCACCCCTCGCCCCTCAACTCCTTCCCGTCCTTCCTTTGCCTTTCCGTGACCCCCCTCGTGCCGTCTGTCACATTCACACATTGCTCGGGCCCTGCATCACCCCTGCTATTTAAATCACTCGATTTGTTTACCGCCTCTGTAAAGATATGTAAAGCGCCCTTGAGCTAAGGCGCTCTATAAATATGATGTAGAATAAGATAATAAATATAGGCAGTCGTGCCGGATACACAATTCAATGCGGTTTGGTTTGATATACAGAATCTAAATGCGATCACAGCAAGTGATGAATCCCCTTCTGTAAAATGTGACTCTAAAGCTGATCGAAATCTGGCTAAACCCAAGTGTGTGTGTGTACATCGTTAAACACATGTATATGTGACCGTTTAAATACAAATGTTGTGCATAACCCACGTAGACTGTTGGGGCAAGTGTTGGTATTAAGCACTTAAGGCTATATTGGCCCAGATATGGTGTGGTGTGGTCAGCACCTTTCCCCAACCTAATTTCTTTCCCCAGTGCTCACCCCACCAGGTACTCATTTCAACCCAGGGCAGGCCATAAGCAGTTCTGATATCACTCGCCGTCGATGATAGCTGTGGCTGGGAATCGAACTCGGGGTTCCAATGATACAGGAATACACTGGCACCTGCAGTCATTTCTGGACTTGTAGCCAGGTTAGAGTTAATACTGGTAGGAACCACCTGGTTCCACCAGCTCACAGGGGATTATTGTGTCCGTCCGTCCGTCGTGCATCCAAGAATTGGAGGGGTGGGGCTGGGTGGAGAGGGGAGGGTGGGGAATGGCTGGGTGGGGAGGGGAGGGTGGGGAGGGGCTGGGTGGGGAGGTGCTGGGTGGGGAGGGGAGGGTGGGGAGGGGCTGGGTGGGGAGGGTGGGGCTGGGTGGGGGGTGAGAGAGGTGGTGCTGGGTGGGGAGAGGCTGGTCATCCCGTGGTGCCCTTATAAAACTCAACGTTTAACCTACTCACGCCGGCTTGTGCCCGCCCTCACAGTCGGCCATATTTGCGGAATACACCACGCCGCCGTTGACCCTGGCCATTGACCGAGTAACCCGACGTTCCTACCAGCTCTACAGGAATGTGTTTTAGACGGCAGTACTACATTGGTAGACCTTTGGTAAATGTAAAGATAGGTATGAATAAGTTTGACCCTTTCTGAACATAAAACAGGAGGTGTTAAGATGTTCAAACACCAAACAGATACCTTTTGCAAGGCATCAAGTCTGCACTAGCCACACATACTTGTGGCAAAACATGCGAACATGTTGGCATGTGTTTGCATGTTTAACACCTGTTTTATTGGCAAAAAGGGTAAAACCTATTCATATATTTTTTTTTATCATTTTCGATACTGGCAAAAAAGGTCCCGTAGCTTTGAAGATAGGTCTGTTGAACTTCTTTCGCGCCGTATGTAGCCAACCGTGCTGTTACAAATTACATGCTCGTAGATAAGTAATGTGTGGTAAAGTTCGTGATATACTCCTTCTTTGGTAGAATAGCCCTCGGGAGGGTGGGGGGGGGTTGTAACGGTTGCACGTGGGATGACGGGGGGTGATGCGCCTTGTGGAGTGGCCGTGTCCAGGTTGACACGTGACCTGGAAAAGTCTTTTTTAGCGACGCTGTGTGCCGTGCGCCATTGTTCACTCACTAGGGGAGGTTGTGGATGCCGTCCACAAGTACAGAGAGGTGCTCCAGTCCTCCGAGGAACACAAAGAAAAACTCAAGACGGACTCTCTGCAGGCAAGTCACCTCCTGATGTTTAGATTCACTTGCCATGACCGCACACACTTCACTGGCCCCGAGCGTTCCGAGTAATGTGTGCACTTCATGTGTTCTACCTGGATTAATATCATCAACCACAAAGTTACACTTTGTGTTCCTGGATTATTGACAAATAGGTTTTTCAGCGAGCAGTTAACACAAAAGTAATTTCATTTTTTTCCTTCCCACATGGGAACAGTAAAAAAAAAAAAAATGCTTAATCAAAAAAAGTTTGAATGGCATTGGGAGAGCGTGCATTGCTTTGACCGCTTGTTATGTTTAATCGAGCAAGGCCGGTGGTGCTGATGCAGTCTTGCTGCTTGCTGACGTTGCAGTTGTTGCTGTTGTTTGTGGATAACAGAGGCTGCACGCCACACACAACCTCATCGAGCTCCTGGGCCGGCATCGCGTTGGCATCGCGCCCACGCTGCGGGACGATCGGCTGCAGGAAGAGGTTTGTGCAAGCCACGGTGTCGCCATCAATCCCCCCCCCCATCGCTCTTTTAGAGGCGAAGAAGCTGAAGGTGCAGCCCTGCAATTACCTGCTCGGGCCACTTCCGGAATCAGAATCCATATTTGGACGGATCGAATCTGATGAGCTGCAAAGCTCTTTTTCACAGATGTCCAGTATGGGCACGTGGTCAGAAAGTTACAACAGCAAACAATACACAAAAACGATAAGGGTGCAAAATATATATCAAGGTAAACATGTCACTAAATATCAATTAACAAAAATATAAGTTTGTCTTCTTGGTTCTTTCGGTAAAGTCACGTTGAATGGAAATAATAAAATAATAAAAATTTAATATAATAAAATAATTCTCACGACGTTTCTTTTTATTATGTTTTATTTTTATTATTTTATTATTTCCATTCTACGTGACTTTACCGAAAGAACCAAGAAGATGAATCCCTTGCAGTCACGAAAGCTTTAAATCGAAATATAAGTTTGATTCATCAAGCTTGGAAAAGGCAGCAAAAACAACAAAACAGTCCCAGACTACACACAGAAAACACAGCACAGTAGTAGTTCCTCAACAAAATGGCACATTGACCATTGCACTATGATCTTGCTGGCAGAACGGGGTTCACAATAGCCGTAGCTATAGAGAAGCCGCCATGGAAGGTTATTTCGGCGTACTTTTCCATTTCTCCGTTGAGGTTGGAGTATCCACACTTCACCCCACCACGTTATACCTGCGGTTCGGGTGACCAGTGTATCCATTTACACTGCCGGGCGCAGAGGATTTTAAGGAATGTGCAGCCATCGTTTCAACCTGATGCGCTGAGCGTACCAACCGGCGACTCCTGGATCGCATCCCCAGTGCGCTCACCGTTAAACCACTGTGGTTGCAATCCCGAAATAATGAGTAACACCAATAGTCATAATCTGTGAGTAACAGTCATAATAGTCGTCAGTCGGTCACTTGCTAGATAAAGGCCTCTCCCGCCATGCAAGTCATGGGGATTGTTTGACAATTCAGATCATAACCCAGTGATAGTGAATGATCAAGCGATAGCTTTGTAACTATTTGTAACTTTGTAGAAATAAAAATAAATATTTCGTATTATTTTACCCTTATAGTATTATAGACCATTAGACTAGTATTATAATAATATCACATTATTGGTTCTTTATTGTTTTATATAAATATTATTTTATTATTTCCCTTCTACGTGACTTTACCGAAAGAACCAAGAATATGAATCCCTGCAGTCACGAAAGCTTTAAATTAAAATTTTATATTATCACACTTAATTCTAGATTTGAAGTTTTCGTGACTGCAATGATTCAAACTCTTTGGTTTTTTCGGAAAAAAAGCAAAGATATTTATTTATTTTTATAACTACGTGACTTTATCACACTTAATCGTATTATGTAATGATTTTGGCCACTTTAGCATTAACACTCGATAGCATTGCCGTTGCGTTTGTAATGGCAGGTTTTTTTCTTTAGAGTGTTTCAATCTGCGAGCATTGCCGCACCCCTCTCGATCCCCACAGACGTTGGGGGGCGAGGGGGCGGCTGTGGGAATTGTTGCACACCGAACCAACCGGTTCGGGTGCCGTGCTGGCCCGGTGAGAACGAGGCCTCCTGTGATAGTGATGGCGGTTGATGGCGGTGATGGTAAAGATGTTGGTAATGATGGTATTGATAGTGATGACGTTGGTGATGGTGATGACGGTATTAATGGTGATGATGAGGATGGCTCACACGCTGCGCTTTGAGGCCTAACCCTATTTCTACTATGAATTTCAACAGTAACAACAACAGCGGCAGCAACAAACACTTAATGACACCAGTGCATTGTGAGCTCTTGACTTTTATCGGCCCGCACTCCTGGTGGTGGTGGTGGTGGTGGCGGTGGGTAACGACCCACAACTCCTTGGTCCTAGCCATTCTGAGACACGTTGTGGAGGCTGCGACACTCTGGCGTGGTACCACGGCTCTGATGTTCTGCACAGGCGAAACCGTCATCAGACCTGCGGCCGCAATTAATTAATTTGAGATGTGTTTCTCTCCCATGAACACGGGGAAACATTGTGCTGGCGACGTTGGCACAAAAGCACAGAGCAACCCGGACCTCGTTGTAGGTTTTCCAGTCAATTACGTTACTTCCTAGAGCAGACAATAGCTACAGAGCACGTGGTCAGAGCAAAGAGATTAAGGGAATTGGTCTCACACATCAATTTTAAAGACTTATCCCGTGAGCCGCTGGGTCCAGCACAAGGTAGTTACAGTGTGACCCTTTACAGACTTTCAAGAAGCTGGCCTCATCCCTGTGGACCCTGCAGGGAAAGTTGTGTTTATGATCCTCATGACTTGGGTAATGTCAAGCGTATAGACTGCCTTTCAAAACAAGTTTTCCCTGAGGCGTTTTGCACTATATATCATAAACATATAAACTACAAAAACCCATCAGACAAAACTGTTCATAACAAAAATAAACATTACAAAGATAGGAGAAATATGGTGCAAGTTTAATACTATGAATTGATTTAAAAAGCATACTCTATATCGATTAGATTTAGGAATAATTCACAGCCCTTTGCCAGTACACTGCTGGATGAAGGCCTCCCCCAATGCTTTAGTGGTCGTGGGCATGGTTTGACCACCCTTCACGCTGGTCTGTGCGGGTTATAGTGAAGTGGCAGACGCTGCCCCTCCGGTTCGGTCGTCACTCATCACGTTAGCCGTGGCCACCAGTTTAACTGGCGTCGTTAGCTTCACGGCAGTTTACGCTAACCGCTACACCTCCAACTCCTCCTAAACCTACGGTAGAACGGCCCCTTATCTGCGGTGATGTGGGCAGTGTCGTATGAAGACACGGGATTTAGGGGGTGCAGCCCAGGGGCTTCCGCCAGCTGAAGGGCCTCCAGAGATTAGGTGAAAGTGATTTCATTCGTGAATGCTGAATTTTTCTTCTTGGTTCTTTCGGTAAAGTCACGTAGAAGGGAAGTAATAAAATAATAAAAAGATCATTTTATTTCTTCCCTTCTACGTGACTTTACCGAAAGAACCAAGAAGATGAATCCCTGCAGTCACGAAAGCTTTAAATCGAAATTTAATGCTGAATTTTATTAGTTGTTAGCCTTGTAAAAAAAAAAATCTTGAACTTTGTTTACCTTTCGAAAATATTACTGGGGGCCTCACAGTACTTGTAGCTCAGGAGCTTACTAAATCTTAATCCGGCCCTGGATGTGGGTTGGACAATGATCGCAGAACCGCGTATCTGCCATGTCTGCTGTGAATTTACTTGACTTATTCGCAAAATAATGCAGATTACCACAGATCATAGGAAGCAGAGAGAAAATAATATAATTACTACTATAATAGTTTTTGCGGACCCTATAGGCCCCATGGATAACGTCAGGTAATGTCACGGATTAGAAGAGTTTGACTGTATACATTCGGAAAGCGTGAAATTATATGTTAAACATAAAAATTGTCTTTAGATGTGATTTAGATGGAGAAACGCAGATGAAATTACACCATGGAATAGCCCCACACATCTTGCTGCTGCTGCTGCAGTGAAGCTGCGTGTGCTGCTCTTTGGGCTATGAGCCGAAGTCACTTTGCATTCCACATGGGGAACAGTGATGGATTTAACTTGGGGGTGGTCCGGCGTCTAACCTCGTTAAAACTTTAACAGCGTCGAAATGAAATGTAACGGATGGCAGTCTGGCTGGCGTTAAAGGCGTGCTGTTAAAAGTATTTCAGGAATGACTCTGATCACACTGGCCCTGCTTAATATTTCATAGACCACCGAGAGAGAGGCTCGGGTTTTGGTCCTGAATGTGTGCAGTGTCGTGCAGAGGAATAGGACCGCTTAGATGTTTTTTGTGTTGGTGTGAATACAGATCGGTTTAATAATGCCTTCTCTTTCTCGAGGCCTCGCTGTGGGTAAAAGCTGGGCAAAGAGTAAAACCAGTGCAACTCACATTCTCGCTTCTCAATAGTTAATACATAATTTATGCCCACTAAATATTAAGCATTCTCGTACGCTGACAATTTTGAGCATTTGCGAAGATCGCTTGATTATTGTTGCACACTTTCGTGTGTAAATTATTGAAAGCAAAACCAATTTTGTTATTTGTTTTTATGTAATTTTAGGAATTACACCCCCCCCCCCCCACCTCAATAGATGTGATAGATTTATCGTATCATTTCATAGCACTCATATATATTAGGAGCCCACCACCATGGAAATAATTAATGAAAGGGTTAAGAACTTGGCTCTTATCAACTTTTCTTCAAAAACGTCCAGACAAATGCTCAGCCAGCCGTGAAATGTTCTTCAAAATTGCGTCATCCGTTACGGAGCTCATGACTGCCTATCTCTCCCTACCTCTGAGCAGCCAAAGTTGGGCCTGTATTGATCAAAATATTATTCATAAAAGCGAACATATAAGTATAGGTATGTGTGCTCATAGCATCCTTGATAAATATTTTGGCTGCCTCTTAACTTTCATATTAGTTCTGTTCAATGTTCACGTTGGGAAAACATTAAATGAAATTACATCATCGTCCTCACCATCCTTGGTAAATCCACCATCTTCTACGATCCTGCAATACAATTAATAATCCACCTTGCGCCTACACACGAGCTGATATCGTCGCTGTGATTTTCATATTTCTTGCAATATTAGATTTTTAGGTGTGCAAGTCAATCAATGATCAAATCGGAATGTCAACAACCCTTCATCAGTGAACTAAGTCATTCATCTCCTGTGGAGTGCAACATGGGCGCGAGCCGAAAGCTAACTACGAGAGACTTGCATCAAGAGCCGGGCTCTCCCATTTTTAAAGTAATTACTTAAGTCCTTAACTAATCTCTCACTCGAACATGCCTAAGTAATTTACCGCAAAAAAGTAGTGGATTACAATTTTTAGTCGATGAACTAATCATGTCAGCTCAACTAGTACCTTGTGTTCCTCTGAAATCTAATCAAATCATGAGTACATTTGCCATGTGTGTCATTCTTAGAGTGCAAGGCAGTAACAGAATCGCCATGTATGCTATTCTGCAGTAGTTTCCCAGTAAGAAGTGAGAGTGTTGTGAGGCTTTACCCAGTGAGGTAACTTGCGCGCAATTTTTCTAAAATTGCCGAATTTGCATCGTGACGCCGGCACACGTGGCCTACCGTTCTTCAAGTGACGCCGCGGGATTTTTGTTGGCGTTCAACGTGAAGCAGACGGCGCTCTCGTTTTTGTTTTTCAGTTCACACTTCCGTAGTGTTTACCGGGGCGACCACTCGGTTCGAACCGCAAACCTCTGAAACAAGAATACTATTATAATTGTTTTTTTACCCTTTTATCTGCAACAAAACTGACACCTTTTTTTACGAGGAGTTATGTTTGCATAGACCACAATACCTGCAGTCATAATGCAAACAAAAAACATAACTCTGATAATGTATGCACTGTCCTTGAAGTTGATTGGTCCACACCCGAGACAGCTTTCCTTAGAGCCTAGTCTCACATGGGTTGGACCAGATGACGCCAAAAGGCGCACAACTCAAAGACAATGCACCATCCTATTTTCAAGGTCCTCTTTCCATTTGGGTTGGGCGGTTGTGGATCGATTTTCTTGGAGGGAAAGCCACTTAGTATTTTTGGCAGGGGGTTTGATATTTTTATCATGAGTCCATACATCTCTGTGCAGAGCTTTGGGGATTCACTGGCTCTGGCATCGCCCGGGGAGTGAGAGCAAATGTGGCGTAGTCTGACGATGACCGGTGTGTGTGTCTACGCACACGCACACGGACTGCATCCAATTCGCACGGTTATGTGTAGACGGGCAGCACAGAGTTGGACCGTGCGTACGCGTGCCACCGCCGTGTACGCGGCAGTGTGGCGGCCGCTTGGGCTTGGCCAAGTACAGCGTCATAGGCTTTCTGTGAATACTGACCGATAGGCAGGGTCGAGTAGTTTGCTTGCGGGTTACTTTGCTAATGACGTTCTTTCCTCTTTACCCGGACGCTTCCATCATAAGCGTCACGCCTCCCGCGGCTCAGTGTGCCAAACTCGTGTACTTTAATTTTTTTTGGCACGCCATTTACGCTAATATGGTTACCCGATACAACGTCTGGATATGCTTTTAGTTTTTAGATTTTAAATGGAAATGACTCTTGTCATGAATCTATTATTATTTTTGTATCACTGCTCCGCCAGACTTCCTGGATGGATTATTGGCTTTGTGACGCAATGTCATTAGGAATAACATTTGGGGAAAAAGTTAAATAAAAGTGTTTAGCACTGGAAAAAACACGCGTGCTAACTGTGGGGCGCTCGTGTGTCATCATCGGACCTGCCTGTGATCAGCGACACCGTGCGTGCGTGTATGCGTGTGTGCGTGCGCGTGTGCGTGTGTGTGTGCGCGTGTGCGTGCGGATGCAGGCGGAACAGCTGAGGCACCGCTACATGAGCAAGTACGAAGCGGAGGTGCGGGAAGCTCACGCCGCCCTGCAGCCCGTCGCCGTCACTATCCGGGACGCCGCACACAAGGTGAGCTTTCCTCGTCCCCCCCACACAGGGATATCAGACAGGGTGGTTATCGAGTGTGCAGGCGATGCAACTGCACCCCCTGCGAGCCGGCGGGACCCAGGCCCCGGCTACAAATGGATGGGGGGGGAGAATTTTGTACATGGGAAGGGGGCCCCTGTTTCGTTCCTTGCACCAGGGCCCGTGCCAACCCACACTACGACGCTGCCCACCGCTGCACACAAACGTGGCACCGCAGCAGCCTATATAGGAAAGGTAAGCAAAGCACTAGAGATGTAAAACCCACTGAGCTATTAGCTTGTTTTTCAGAAACGACCTCGCCACAAATGATAGCTCAACGAAGTGGCTCATCGTGTGGAAATGTATAGCAGCGAAATAAATAATCTAAATGCACATTTTATGCATGGTGGTCACCCATCCAAGGGCTATCCAGTTTCTACCTGCTTAGCTTCCGAGATTTGTCGAGATCTTTTGGGATCGGACACAGGCACTTGGAAGTAACGACCGTGAATTTTTTTACAGTGAAACGCTTGTCTTACTTTTTGTACACCGAGAGCACGTGGGTCAGAGCACATCTAAAGTGCGACTGCCTGCTTATAATACACGTCGATCACACGAATTCAGCTTTTTTTTTCTTCCTCCATATTTCAGCTCATGTGTACGGACAGAACGTGTCTATAAAACCGGCCTAATTCATGGGCTGCCAGTCGGTTGTTATATACAGGGATTTGCCACGTTACATTTCGTTTTGAGTGCGAAGCTAAGTGCTTTGCATGGCTTACCGCACAGACTTCACAGGAGCGTGGCAGTAAATGCCTATTTAATTCACGTCTCGGGTCTGTATATCATACTCGTTTTTATTTTCGTAACGGAGAAGAGTCGGGGCTGTTATTGCAACTATTACTCGAACTACATGGCGCGCTTGTTGGCGAGCGTGTAGTTGTGTGTGTGTCTGTGTACGTGGGGGGTAGTGCAGCGGTTAGCGCGCTGCGCTACAAACCTGGCAACCCGAGTTCGATTGCCGCTCACGGCCAACACCAGTGACTATTTTCTAAATCGGTCCTGTGCCTCCACTCAGCTGACTCAGCCTCAAATGAGTACCTGTTGTGGTGTGTAAACATCACGGCTGGGAGACAAAGGCGGCCAGGCGTGGTGTTGGCCACCCACCGCCTCGTGTGCCTTTGCCGACCTTTATGGGTGCTCAATAACAGCACTTGCCCCAACAGTCTGTGAAGGCTATACGGGGGGTCTTTGTGGGGGGTGGTAGCAATAATGGTTAGTGCTATGTGCTCCGAATCCTGTCAACCTGAGTTTGATTCCTGCTCACCGTCAACATCAGGGGTGCAATATCTGATCCAGTCTTGGGCCCACCCCTAGATTGACTCAGCATTAAACGAGTACCTGGTGCAGTGTGTAAACATCAGCACTCGGGAGACAAAGGTGGCTGTTGAAGCTCAACCGTGCTCATCGCAGGTGCGGGATGTGTTGGCCTTCATAGGTTTCTATGACAGCTCTTTTCCCAACAGTTTGCTAAGGGGGATTATTTGTGCACATCTGGGGGGCAGTAGCAAAATGATTAGCACACAGCACTACTATCCTGCTCAACCTGCGTTCAAGTCCTGCTCGCCATCAACATCACCGACCAATATATGAACCGGTCCCCGGGCCTTTTCCCTGGGTTGAGCACAGTTGGCTACATCCGGTGCGAAAGAAGCTCAACATGCATGCAACATATATATACACATACGAAAACGTACCTGTTGCGGTGCGTAATCGCTGATGCAGTCAACCGCCTACGATACTATCCCGGCTTCGCGGCACGTCGCGGTTTGGCCCGTGTGCGCGCAGGTGAAGGGCGGCGCGGCGGGAGGGGTGTGGTGGCTGGACGTGATAGCGCACGCGCTGCGCTCGGGACAGGAGGAGGAGCTGCTGTCGCGCGTGCAGAACGAGCTGTGCTCCAACACCAAGCACATGCCGCACGCCTACTCCATGGCGGACAAGTGAGGAGAAACACATGAGCCTAGGATCTCACCATTGCCACATCTGAGCCACCTGGCTGGATACGTGGCTCGACACTTGTTAAGCACACACAGCAGTAGCAGCAACATCTTGCCATTCACTACTAAGTGGCCATTGCGTTTACAACAGCACTTATCATATTCTTGGTTCTTTCGGAAAAGTCACGTAGAAGGGAAATAATAAAATAATAAAAATATATAACAATATAATTCTCACGACGTTTCGACTGCAACACAAGCAATCGTCATCAGGTGATGATGATTGCTGGTGTTGCACAAGCAATCTTTTGTTGCAGTCGAAACGTCGTGATCATTTTATTGTTTAATATTTTATTATTTTATTATTTCCCTTCTACGTGACTTTACCGAAAGAACCAAGACTATTAATCCCTGCAGTCACGAAAGCTTTACAACAGCACTTATGTTCTTGTATTGTTTGTTGTAACGTTCTTACCCGCCTCTACTAGACATCTGTGAAAAAGAGCTTTACAGCTCATCAGATTCCTCCAGTATAAATAAGTATTCTGATTCTGGTTCAGGCTAGGTGCGCTATGAGGTTTTAATTTAAAGTGTCCTAGGCTGCTGGCAGGAGATCACAAAACAGACTCAAGTTTTCACGGGATGACTGACTGACAGACGACTGGCAGATGACCGACCTGTGTTCCCCAACTTGCTGCGTTTTGGCCGCTCGACGCTCTTCTTGTCGTTGTTGTGAGCGTCGCTCCTCCCAAACCCCGTTCAGCGCACGCACGATCCGGTCGACCCCTTGACAGGAAGAGCGCCGGCAAGAGAATGCATCCTTGACGTCCTCCACCATCACACAAACTCTGGTCATCGCTCGCAGCAGCGGGTTTTTGGCTGGCCATCGAACAAAGACGGTCCACCGCTTTTCGCGCTTTCAGATGCTCTTCTGCGGCCGTCTGGAACGCTCTTCCGATATTAGGAAGCCACTTTAGCTATGCAGTTATAAATCTCCAAAGAAAGCGAATTTCTTTAGAACGAATTTTTGCATTTAGTTTGTTGTCCTTCCCCCTCACCTCCCGATTTGCATGGTTGGCTACGTCCAGTGTGAAAGAAGTTCAACATTCCATCACCAGCTCATCATCATCATTACCACCTCATCATCAAGCCACTGAAGCTATGCACTTTTAAATCTAGATTGAAAACTTGATTTCTTCACACTCTCGACGAGCACGGTTTGCTAACGTGAAAAGAAGTTCAGCGTGCACGCGCCCAACGTGACGATTGCGTGCGTGCGCGCGTACATTGCGCCAGGTTCCGGAATGCACGGGGTCTGCAGCTGCTGCTGTCAGGGCAGCTGGACGCGCTGCGCTCGGCACGGGAGGCGGTGCGCTCCGCCGTGCGCGGGCTGGAAGCCACCCCCTCGCCGCGACTCGTGCTGCTCCGCCACCGTCTGCCACCTCCGTGCTCAGCGCCTGCCCCGCAACTCGTGAGTGCCGGTTGCCCATCCTACACGTGTGTCCAAACAGTGCCAGTTTCTTTCTCATCACTGCCTGCATAATCAGGTCTTCTATGTGCAACCTTCTACGTTGTATGTATACACATATGTTGAAGTTCTTTCGCACCTTACTTAGCCAACTGCATAAATCGGAGGGGCATTGCCCCATCTCTCCTGTGTGCATCCTCAATCCTGCACCTGTGGCCCCTGTCACGGAGTGCAGGCAGTTGCCTTGTTAGTGGTTTGAACTTATATACTTTATTTAGAGCTTTTTTATTTAAGGGGCACCTTGGTGGCGTGGTGTTATATTCCTCGCTTGGTATACAGGAGGTCGGGGGTTCGATCCTGACCATGACGCCTGTATATTTTGAGTCTCCCCGTGGTCACGTGGATTTTTTCTCCGGGTCCTCCGGTTTTTCCCTCCACATTTAGAATCAACATGCATTTAGATTATTTTTTTATTCATTAGTTGTTATGAATGTCCACGTGATCAGCCACTTAGTTGAGCTATCAGTTGTGGCCAGGTCGCTTCTGGAAATGAAGCTATTAGCTCAGCTTCGTGTATAAACATTTTTGTGATTAGTTTACCTTTCCTATACTTTGCACACCTATCGTATCTTTTTTTATTGTTTGTTGTTGTAACATTCTAACCCACCCCTACTGGACATCTGTAAAAAAGAGCTTCATGTCTCCTCGGATTCCTCTTGCAGGCTAAATAAAGATTCTGATTCTGAGCAGGTGCGGAAACTCGAGCGTGTGAAACTGCTGCACTGCCACGTGCGCAGTAATGAGCATCTTCTGAAAGCACCTGCTCACATTCTTGGAGATATCTCATTATCACTGCCTGCTTCCTTTAAAAAAATGACATTATAATTAGGTATAGGCAAAAACTGAAAAAAAAATCAAACATTACTGCTCTCTTTTTTAAATCTTGCTAATTAAGGCGCTCGTTATGATGGAATTGACTGCATGGTTAAGGTAGGTATTGTTTGCAACGTCCAGGGCTATCACAGGCAGACTTGACGTTTCTGAAATTAAAATTGCCTCGGGGAGCGGGGGTGAAGTATTATGGCTGAGAAGTGATCCGTGCTCTTTATATATTTATTTACTTCTAACAAAAATGCTTTTTGTCAAATTGCGCGCGCGAGCGGCAGCCCGGGAGGCAGCGCACACGACGCCGCTTTCGTGCCAGAGAAGTGAGACGCGTCTTCGCGCGCGTGGCATTTTGCGTGACGCCCTTTATCTCAAGGACACAGCCTTTTTCGGACACATTCGTCCCTCTTCCCCCCCCCTTCCCCCATGCCTCGGCCCATCAAACCCACATGACTGTCTACACCCCCCCCCCTCAACCCGCCTGCACACTCCCCCCCCCCTCCAACCCCCCACATCTCTCTATCTTGGGTTGTAATTTCCACACGTCGTCACGAGGGCCCAATGAAGATGACAAATGCCTGAGCCTGCGATATTGGATTCAAAGGAGACGGAACGAGATGTGTTGTCATTTTCTGCTCCTGATTTATATAAATTAGAAAAAGCGTATCTCTTGCGTGGGAAGGGGAAAAGAAAGGGGTGAGGGGTGGATGGTGTCCGCTTGCACCTCACTTGACGTTTAGCATTCGTTAGTCGTCGGATAGGAGGCCACGAAGCAAAGTACACGGTGTCTAACTGCCGCTCGCGGTCGGTGGCTTATCTCTTCACTCCATTGGATGTGTCAACGTAGACCGGTTCATTCGTATTGTGGTCCGCGTGATTGAAATCTGATTTTGATCAATTTGCCGCCTCCGCGCAGCCGTGTCAATTTCACTACGAAGCTCACCCCGTGTGCGCGCATGCGCGTGTTTCTGCCCTTTTAAAAGTGCGGCTGAAATATCACTTCCACGGGCACGCGCTCATGAAACTTGCGAAGAATGTTATTCCAAGCTGCTGGCTCATAACCACGTTTTTTGGTGTCTTTGTGGGTTTTTCATTTTTTCTAAAGGTGCCCTTTCTGCAAGGCAGGATGAGCTGTTCACAGAATACGAATCCAAGCTGTTCCTGCAGAAGTAAGTTGTTATTCCGTCGCCAACAGGCTTTCCCCAATGCAGACCAGTCAAGCTCAGATGAATGTTACAATGAGAAAAGATCTGGCTCCTCGCCTTGTGCGCATATTACTTTCCCTTAAAATATAAAAAAAAAACAAGCTCTTCCTCTAGGGGCGAGGCAAACGACACTAACCTTCACCAAAAAAGCCCCGGCAGAGTCACATTTTAACAAATACCCATGTCTATGTGTGGATTTCTTAAGAGCTAGGTTGCCTGATTAATTATTTACGTAATCCACTACCGATTATCATTGCGATGACTGGACGAATCTTTATAATAGCGTCAAAATAATTGGTAAAAACCTACCACCTCTGTGCTTGATGACATCATCGATATCATCAGTGTCATCACTTGTAAGGGTGTAGGTCTTCATTTTTAAAGAGACCCAAGTAATCGACCATAAAAAAAAAATGTATTGTAATTTTGAGTTTAATCTTGATTTGAAGCTTTCGTGACTGCAGGAATCCATACTCTTTGGGTCTTTCGGTAAAGTCACGTAGGCTAAAATAAAATAAAATAACCAACCTGATGAAAAGATCGTTCCAGCTGTAGATTGCAAACTATGCCTTCAATGGTGTGCTGTATTATCATTGGCTGGCGTGCACCACGTGAACACTAAACTAAAACTAAACTTATTGTTTATTTTGTCAGGTAAGGCCCACTGAGCTATCCAGCTCTTTTTCAGAAGGGACTTGGCCACAAATGATAGTTCAACGAAGTGGCTTATCACGTGGAAATTGGCTCATCACGTGAAATAAAGCACACATGGGCATCGAGCCTTTTGACATTGTGTAATACAATGCAATGCAATATCGACAGATCGAATGATATTGATTCCGAAGCTAATGGTACATCCATAATATAGTTTTTTTTGCTTTTGAATCATTGTTTTTTTACTCGTATGCATCATATATAGACAGATTCTCCTTGTCATTCAACCACTCGAGGCCACTAGGTTCACCACAATGTTCACTAAATAATTGATGATTGAATCAAGCTGTGTCCCTGAATAAAAAAAAAATCTATTGGATAGCCAATGGGCCAAAATTGCTCATCCTCATTTTTCTTTATCCTTGACCTACTACATCCAGACGCGATCTCAGTGGCCAACGGACAAAAAGTTGATAAAATCAAAGCCACCTCTGTTTCCCTAAAGAGCATCACCTAACAGCGGTGGGGAAGTGCCCTTGTGTTTGTCTTAAAAGGAGAGCAGTGAAATAAGCATGCTGATGCAGTAGGCACCATGTTCCCGGGCGCACTTGTACAAACACAAACTCCACACTTAAAATGTGCGGCATCGCCTCCTGCCTCCAGTCGGCACGCCCACAATGCACCGACAACTTTCATTTGACCCTTTCTACTTCATGCCTTGAACTCGGTGAAAACTAAAATAATTCTGCCCATTTTTACTCATTTATCTCTTTTCGTGGTATTTATAAGATTGATTTAACTGTTTTAATTTAACCCAGGCTAATGCCCACTGAGCTATATAGCTCATTTTTATAAGCGACCTGGCCCGCAAGTGATAGCTAATCGATATTCTAACATGAACGAAACTCTCGCGTATATTAGCGTTGTTTTTCGGTACTTTACCTGTAGAAATCTGACCAAACCGATCAAGAGATCCCCCAATACTAGCCGATAATAAACAAACGATAATTTATACAACTTTTTGGCCAGGGCGGTAATGTCCCGCCCCTCCCCATGATGTCGTTACGCACGACCCATCGTGTGTCTCATCGTCGCCTCCAAAGTGATCGTGATCGTCACTAAACCATTACCGCCAACGTTAAAACACACATTTTTTAATGCATCGCGTGATCCCAAGCATACGCGTGATCGTTCCCTGACCTCGCGTTCTCCCCTCTCTTCCTATTTCCGTCTGCCATCTTTGATGGGCGGCAGCGCCAAGGGTCAGGCGGCCGTGTGGGAGGAGCTGATCAGCGAGGAGGGCGGCTCCGTGGAGAACCTCCGCCCGGCGACGGGCCGCGGCCTGTGGGCTCTCAGCGAGACGGAGCGCGTCCTGCGGGCCCTCCTGGCCTTCGCTCGCGCCACCCGCCACCCCGCGGCCGTGCTAGAGGAGGGCGGCTACGCTATGGAGCTCTTCGACGCCTGGAAGAAGGAGTACAAGGTGCGACAGGGGGGTCTCCCACAGGGGTAGGGTCACCAAGCCACACGGAGTAATGTAATGTAAGAGGGTGGGTTAAGATGCAGCCCAGTAATTGGCTGCTCACATCACTGCTGGTGGAAGGGCCTCCGTTATTCGCTCTGGAAAGCCCCTTCCAGAAGGTATTTTGGCTAATTCTAGATTTGAAATTTTCGTGACGGCAAGGATTCATACTCTTTGGTTTTTTCGGTAAACTCACGTAGGTAAAAAATAGATAAATGAAAAACAACTGAATTAAATCACGATATTTTGATCGCTCACATCACTGCTGGAGGAAGGGCCTCCGTTTTTCGCTCTGGAAAGCCCCTTCCAGAAGGTATTTTGGATAATTCTAGATTTGAAATTTTCGTGACGGCAAGGATTCATACTCTTTGGTTTTTTCGGTAAAGTCACGTAGGTAAAAAATAGATAAATGAAAAACAACTGAATTAAATCACGACGTTTCGATCGCAACACAAGCGATCTTCATCAGACGAATGCATACCAGGCGAGGTAGTTAACATCTCATCAGGCATCGCCTGATGAAGTCCGCTTGTGTTGCGATCGAAACGTCGTGATTTAATTTAGTTGTTTTTCATTTATTAATTTTTTACCTACGTGACTTTACCGAAAAAACCAAAGAGTATTTTGGCTAGCTCATCTTGGGTGCTGGCTGTACATCTTGGAAGAAGAGGTGGAAGTAGCCACATGCTAGCCCACCACACGCAACCTGACGATCAACTAACTGAAGGTGTACCCGTTTATGGGTAGACAAAGGTCGGCGGGCATTTTCATTTTAATCCATGCATCATTGCTTAACTACTCGTGATGCAATGTTCTTAATTTGACGCAAGCAATTCGTTCAAACCTTGTTGTCTTGTAAACGTACTTTCTGTTCTCCACGAAGTCACTTCGAACCCCTACAGCTTGCCTGGTTCCTTGTCGTGATCAAAGGGCCTGTAACATCGCACTTAACTAGTGGTCAATTAACCTGGGTCCAGGTTTGTCGCGGCACGAGAGAGTGCAGTGTTTAACCCGTCCACCAGAGGGTGTCTCCGATCCTCCTCTGAGACGGGGCGTTTAGATTAAACGTGCGTTTGGATTATTTGGCTGCTTTAAATTTCTACATGATGAGCCACTTTATTGAGCTATTATTTGACGCCTGGTCGCTTATGAAAAAGAACTATATAGCTCAGTGGGCCTTACCTGGTAAAATAAAATATAGTTAATTTATTTCGTTTGAGTGATTTTCTTTCCTTTCCTATACTTTGCACTCCTATCTTGGTTTTTTTATTGTAGTTGTAACGTTCTGACCCGCCCCCTGCTGGACATCTGTAAAAAAAAGAGCTTCATAGCTCATCGGATTTCTCCAGGATAAATAAATAGACTGATCGTATGTATCTTAGTGCAGCTATCTCCCAGATGCAGTCCTGGCACGGTCCCAAGGTCTAGGTTTTCATTCGTAGCCTATCGTCAGGTGGCGTGGCTTGTTTAATGACCTACAATGAGAGTGGTCTCGAGCACGGTTAAATATTTTTCACTTTATTTATTCTCACTTGTCCGCTTGTGTTGTCTCTCCCGTATTGTTTTTGCACGTTGTGTTTGGTCTGTAATCACTTCCTTACCCGGAGTAAAATCCTCTCAAAAACCCCGCTTTGTTCCGGCACCCTGAGATCTACTGCATGGGAGGCGCTTGCTAAATAATCAATGATGATGATGAATTGCGTTTGGGTGGTAAAGGTACAGACCCCCATCCTGGCGAGGAGGGGGGCTTTGAGGAATCGCAGTTGGGGAAGCAGGTGCAGTGCTGCTCGCCTCTACAAATAAGCATAATAAGGTAGTAATTTATTCTCTGCATAGTGGGGGGGGGGGGGGTACGTGGGAAATCAATGGTCTCTCACATTGTTAAAATAAATTGTTAAAATATTGTATTGTTGAAGCCATCATTATTGCTGCTGCGGTAGTGACTAGTGTAGCGTCACGTTTGATTAAGGAAGCAATTAAAATTTTAATCGGACTGTTACACAAAGTAACGAGTTAACCCTCGAGTCGCTGTTCACAAGCGTTTAGCTTGATGGTCTTACGCGATCTGGTGTCGAGATTTGATTCAGTAATCGATTTTTTTTATTTCATTTCCCTTCTCACATATTTTTTCCCGTCTAATTATTTTTTTCACATTTGTATTGTTTGCTTATTGCTTTGTTAACACATACATGTGACATCGGCATAGCACATGTGTGTGATTTGCATGCATTTACGCACGATCGACACTCGCACTTACGATTCTATGCTTGTAATAATTAATCCATTTGAATGTACCGATCAATGATGGATGGATGATTACCAGCGCCAGTCATTCAGTCGCACTTTGCGCAACCATGCTGACTGGTATGTGTCAGCCATCCCTGCTCTCCGTGTCTGACTGAGGCTTGACCTTCAAGGTCAGCCTTGTCTTGTGCATGGAAATGTCAATTCTCTCGGCAAACCATCACTTTGTTTCGAGGATCGCCCTGCGTCACCGGAGCACAGGGCAGTAAAATATCTGCTGCCACGACGGGGATGGGGGGGGGTTAATAGTCAGCCATCCGAAGATACGTCAGAGCGTGGAATTGTTATTTTCCCCTCCGATTGGCGGATAAGGGGAAAATGCAACCGGGATTATCTTTGCCGACAACCATTTGTCATTGCCTTCTTGCGGCTCTTTCCATTTCATTCTAACATACACGAGTGTGCAAATGTTATGCACATCTGCCGATGAAGTGTACAAAATTCACGGGTGTAAATGTTTTACGTACGTACATTGACTTGAATACGTGTACTCTGCGCATACTAATGCGGTGTAGTTACTGCAGACTGCATGAATATTTTGTGTGCCAGTAAAACCAGAGGCTCTGTTCAACATTGACTCAATAGAGCCAAGTGCTCAGGGTATGTATGTATGTATGTTGAACATCTTTCGCACTGTACGTAGCCAACAGTGCTCAGCGGAGGTGCAAAAAATTAGAAGTGCGGGAAATTGGAGGTATCCGGAGTTGTCCGTGTTTTGGTTGAGTCACTGCCGCCACCGCTTGCCGCTCGCTCCTCTGTTTGCGCAGCAGCGCGAGCGGTCGTTCATCTGTTTGTTTCTTTATCTCAGGCGCGAGAGGCAGCTCTCCGGGTCTTCAAGAATAAATTCTGCTCCGACTACAGCAGCAGGCTAATGAAAATCGCATCTTCGCCCGGGCGTTCGCGTCCGCGCGAATCTGTATTGGTATCGAACAAATGACTTGTTTGAGCAGCCGCACATTAAATTATCTGCACCTCCGTAGCCGCGCAACAATCTGCGCTTGGCAATTGGCCGAGTGGGAGCACTAAAGTGCACAGCCAAGGGCTCTGTGCCCTTAGAATAGTGAACCTGGGCAGGCTGCTGCTGTTGCTGAAGCCCAAGCATCCAATGCTTTCAAGCATCGCATAAAAATAGTTTTTCCATTTCCTTTCGAGACTAGTGCCCTCTACTTTGAATGGCGGTGAGAGTGAGAAATTATATTTACGAACGGAAACAGATAAATAAGGCCACAAAATTCATTTGAAAAGAGGAGGTACTCTGCTTTTCAGTCTTCCAATCTCATTGTAATTTTTTTTGGTATTCGGTCTCGGAAGTTACTCAGGCCCGAGCCTGGATAGCGCTTGGATGGGTGGTGGCCATGCATGCCAAGGTTGTCATTGGCAACCTCAGGGCTGTGTTACATTATTTGCAACAAGAGGGGAATGCAGCGTAACCCACTGTTCTACTGTGCTTCTACGCTCCTCCGTCTTTGCTCGCCAATATTCAGGATCCCGCAGTGGCCAGCTTGGTGAAGCATGGTCCAGTGACCCCCGTGACTCACATGGTGTGAGAATTTCTCATAGGGTAGTGGATTGACAAAGCGGCCATACATGTGCACATTATTCAATTTAAAATATATAGTTTCTATTAAGTTGTAGTGAAGTGCTCTGTAATAAATTGCACGTTTAAATTGTTCTGCAGTGGCCCAGGAGAGACTCGCCAAGTCCCATAACTCTTATTCATGAGAATCCTCTAAATTGAAAACTCATTTCTTCAGAACTGCTTTTCGTGTTCAGTTTGTTGTCCTTTCCCCGCACCTCCGATTAGCACGCTTGGCTGCGTTTCGGTGCGAAATGAAATCCAACGTACATCCATCCTGCTCTCTATTGGTTTTCCTGTTATACTTATTTTGAGTATTTCCAGCATGCGGTAAAGAAACCAGAATGCCTGTATAAAATGAATGCTTCCCAAGGAAATAACACCCCAACTTTGCGGCACAGTTATGCCAATTCTGAAACCTACTTGCTGTACTGTATCATGTGGGAGCTTCGCAAACCCTGTTAGCAATCAGGAGACCTGCAAGCTCAGTGTTGGGATACTGTTAGGGGGGGAGGTGTGGTGGTGGTGGTGTTGCCAGCGGCATCGGGTGTGATAACCTCTTGACATCATGTGCCTGCTGGGAGGAGATGTTTGCACTGGAGGTGACTAGTGGATGAGTGTGTGTGAATGAGAGTGAGTGGGATGTACGTGTGTGTGGGATGTGGGGAGCGGTAGTGCAGTGGTTTGCTGACGAATATTTGAACCGGTCCTGGGCCTCCCCTAGGTCAACCCAGCCTTAAATGAGCACCTCATGCGTTGTGTAAACATCAAAATTGGGGCGATAAAGCGAGTTGGGCGTGTTGCTGATGGCCACCCGTCCCTTCGTGCACGATGCCGGCCTTCATAAGTACTTTCTTACATCACTTTCTCCAACAGTCTGTTAAAGGCTATGTGGTGGGCGGATAGGAGTGGGGAGGCCGGGGGTCTTTGCATCTTTATATGGGATGCTCATTGTCGGCATGATCGTCGACATCTACATGTAAACCAAGCGAGAGCCCAACTAGAGCAAGAGTTTAATTTTCAAGCAAGCCCCGGGTTTGTCGAACCTGAAGTGAAGCAATGCAATTTGCTGTCCTGCCCTCTGATGCCCGCCATGTGGCCCCGCCCAGCAACCGAGAGCACCTGCTTAATGCATAGAGGTTACCCATCCCACCACTATCCAGGCTCAATTCTGCTTTGCTCGAGATCTGTGCTCACATTGACTTATATTCCATGGCTTTTAAAGATGGAGTCAATAAACTATAGACATACACTGGAGTGGTAACTTCTTGCTAACATCCTCATCGTGTTCTCGTTGGGACAATTATCGTGTACAAGTGATGTGTATATATTTAATACATGTGGGACATGCATTGTGTAAATGTAAGACTTGTATTACGCGCACGTTAGACACATGTTGTATACACGTGGGACATGCATCGTGTGCACGTGAGACGTGTGTACTGTGTGGGCGTGTGAGACACGGACGTTGTCACGTGTGTTGGACGTGTGTAGCTGCTGCATGAATACTGGATGATGCTGCGCAATCGTGTGTCGGCCGTGGATGAGATCGCCATGGCGACAGAAAGGTTCCGGCTGCTGCAGCCGGATGAGGATAGGCCGGAGCCGGCGCTTCCACACGTTATCGAGCCGGGCCAGGCGAGTCTCCGTCCGTTGCCTTGAGATCTGAAAGGCAACACCATCGCAATAATCAACATCACTTAGAAACATCATCACCAAAATCATTATCGTCATCATCATCTTCAACACCAGCAGCACCATAATCCTCATTGCCATAATCCCCAACACCGTCACCGTGATATCATTATATCCATCAGCGTTATCATTACCAAAACCACCATAACAGAATGTCACCATCATCAATCGGCCATCACCATTATCATGACACACCATAATCTGTATAATCATCATCACAACCACTGTAATTATTATCACTGCCACAAGTAGCCCCATAATCATCTTCATTTATTATCAACAACACCTCAAGTACCACCACCGTCAGCATGACCAAAATTATCACCTTTACCACCACAGTAGCCAACGTCATCGGATTGCCATCGAATGCCTGTAATTTGTTGTCCTTATCACGAAGACTTTGTCTGTTGTGTCTTTTCTTCTAAGCCAGGGCTTCCAACACTCTGGTCCTAGTGGCCCACCATGCAACTCAACTCTGGGCCACTTTTACGTGTGTAATCGGATCCATCGTGCTCAATTTAAATAAAGAAAAATATTTACTTCCAATTTTAAGCACACAGCGATAAGAGCGTTTGAAAACACTGTTGCACAGCACGAAATTAAGCCGACTCAAAGGTTAGAATGTCGACGCGGCCGCGACTCAGAATCCCATCCTATTTTGCATAATTCGTTACGGAAGTGTGAATCATCTTCTTGGTTCTTTCGGTAAAGTCACGTAGAAGGGAAGTAATAAAATAATAAAAATAAAACATAATAAAACAATTCTCACGACGTTTCGGCCACAACGCAATGCGCCCAGCTTATATATATGCTCCAAGCTCGTGTGCTGTTTCATTCAGACTCTGTCGCCTCGACGGACCTGGTTTTCACCTGAGGACGGCTGCTTGCGTTGTGGCCGAAACGTCGTGAGAATTGTTTTATTATGTTTTATTATTATTTTATTACTTCCCTTCTACGTGACTTTACCGAAAGAACCAAGAAGATGAATCCCTGCAGTCACGAAAGCTTTAAATCGAAATTTAAGTGTGAATCAATGCAGATAGGACCGTGGCGGGGCAAGAGAGGGAGAAAAAAAAAACACGAGCGAGCCACTTTCATATCGCAAGCTCATGCGCTGTCCATGATCCCCCCCCCCCCCACACACAGGTGGAGCAGCAGAGGATGAAACTTTTGAACGATAAAGCACTCGCCGCTTCCCAGCTCCGCAAAAAACTTGGACAGATGCTCTACCTGAGCAACCTGGAGAAGGTGAGAGAGAAAGAGAGAGGGAGCGAGCCAGTGTCCCATGAAGGGCATGAGGGCGTTCATAACAATCACGTTTGGTATTTTCACCATTCTTAAAAGTGCAAAGCTATCGCAAGGTCACTCTGTTTCGGCAATGAGTATAGTCTGCCAGTACAGGGGGCGATGTTGCCATGTGGTTTTAGCCAATTAGCCCTTTCCCGTTCCAGCGATGTATGTTTACGCAGTAAAATTACTTTATCGGTACCGAGCCTCCCCAGAAGGCCAGACGGGAGGTCCTGTGGCACGGTTTAGGTGCCAGCTATCGTTGAGTGCAATGTCTTTAAAAACAACGGTGCTATGCCTTTAAACAATATTAACTCTGTACCGCTTGCACTTTCCGAGATTCAGCGGTGAACGGGCCACCCACCCTGCCACTTGCAGATGTCTTGGAACAGGGAAAGGGTTCAGTAATTTGCAAGTAATATTTTAACTTTCGTAAATTTGGAATCTTGCCTGCATATTTAACAGGTTCACGGGATCTTTATTGTCCTATGTGAAGAAGGTGGCGCGCATAAATATTGCTAATACACCCACGGTATCAACTAGTATTAATCAGGGCAGCCGCTGGATTGAAACCGTTAACCTCTGCAACAAGCGGAAAATGCTCTAATCGCTCTACGTTGCCAAAATGACATTGACACCGTCGGAGTACCCACGCATTACCCCATCACACACGGCCTGGCCCCCACCCATTTATACATCTGGGTTGGACAGAGGCAGAGGGATTTAATAATCTGCGTCAAATGACGGAATCGAACCGGCGACCTCCCATTTACAAGTCCAGTGTTGCTGACAATTGCACCTCTGCGGCAGCTCTTATATCATACGATACATCATAGTATATTGTAGTATCGTAGTATCGCCGTATCGCGGTGATCCCATGGCAGCGAAACAGTGGGCAGCACGCCCGCCATTGGCATCGGGGATGCGTGTGGCACTGCTGCTTGTGAATGCCCAGTGCTGCGCCGGTGTTTCTTGCTCATCAACGAGCCGTAGGCAATCGATGCACGCTGAGAAGGAACAGCGAGGGTCGATATTTTGTCCAGCGGGTCATCATCAGCACTCCTGATGAGTCCTAAACGAGGGCCTGTCGTTCAAAACATTGACCACTTAATTTCTCTTGTGTTGGTAAGTATTGATTCCTGATTTCCCCCGACCATGCATTGGTGTCATGTGAAAGTAAAGCAATCATGTTTATCTTCATTTGTGAAGATAATCGTACTGTAAAGTGTTTTTGATGTGCGCCATCAAGGGACTATAATTCCTCCTCTCTGCAGAAATGAGATCTCAAAGGAATTGGGGTAGGGTAGGGTTGGAAGGATTACATCCGTGCTGATTTGGTTTTTTTTCTGTGCGGCTGTATTTATGTGTTCATGCTTACATCATTTCTCCGTAATCAATAAGTGTATTAGTCTAGGGCAGGTAAAACAAGCAGAATAAAATGTCCAGCACATGCGATGTCTTGATTTTCAGTGTTGTTATTTACTGCGCTGATATCTACTTAGTCCGGCCAGGTAGCGTATCTGGAGAGCCTGCGGCTCGCTGTTGAAACATTTCGAGTTCAAATCTCGGTTGGGGGTCGGCGCAACCCATCATATCTCCGTGGTAGATAAAATAAGTGCCACTTTGCGCAGAAGTCTACATTGATGGTCCAATGTTAATACTTGTCACCGCCATAGGAATGTGTAATTTCCACCAGTGATTCAGGGTTGTAGAGAAAGGGGGGGTGGGGGGGTGTGCACCATCCAACACACATTTTTATTGAAATTAATATTCTATGTGTTTTTTTGGGGGATTTTGCAAAACAACTATGCACATGGCACCCATGCATTCATCCATAACATCGCGCAATTTGTGGGGGTCTGTGCCTCTCCCCCATCACCCATGCTCATTTCGTTGTTTCCCAGTCCATATGGGAGTGCGTGGGTTCTAACCTGGAGCCTGTGTTTGCTCCCCAGTCGCAGGACAAGTCTGGACAACTGAACCCGGATCCCTGCCCCATCTGTGCCCGGAATTTCGGAAAACAGGTGTGCAGATTGTGTTTCCTGTAGCGTCCTCCGTAACGAACAGGCCGCGTCGTTGAGTTGCGTTAAGGAGAACTTGCCCTGGACACAGACATATGTTGGACATATGTGCTTCGCCTTATTCTCTGCAGCTACGCACGCTCCAGTGACAACGTTTACGGAAAGAGGAACAGATACCTTCTTTTGTGCCGCTCGCTGCGTGAATCAAGTTCGTCTTTGTGCGCGCGTCTGTGTGTTTGCCGGTAATGTAGCGGTTAGTGTGCTGCGCTACGAACCCGGTGGTCCCGGGTTTGATCCCTGCTCATGTCCAACACAAGTGACGATTATCTGAAGCGGTCCTGAGTCTCCTCTAGGTCGACTCAGCCTCAAATGAGTACCTGGTGTGCAAATATCGCCACTAGGGAGACAAAGGCAGCCAGGCGTGGTGCTGGCCACCCACGCCGTCGTGTGCTGTGACGGCCTTCATAGGTGCTTGCTAACAGCACTTGCCCCAAAAGTATTTTCAGGCTATACGGGGGACCTTTGTGTTTGCTGGACCACTCACTGTGCAGAAGTGGAACAATTCATGTAATTTATTAAGATGCACGATACATGCATCTAATCGAGTGTTAAATATATATACTGTACGTAATACTAATAACATTTGTCAGTTTAACACGTAGGCTTTCACAACCAAAATTATACATAATTGAGGTTTTTGGGTTAGATCGCGTAAATAGGATTTTGTAATTAAATCCGCCACCTTCCGACACAGCCAATTAGTAATGTTTGTCACGTAAATAAAACATGCTAATTCGTTACTAGTTGTATTGTTGTGGGATTATTCTCCAACACACCCGTGTGCCGATTCGTTCTGTGCAAGAGGTTCCTGTGGCCACTGGTGGCTTCTATGTTCTCCGCAGTGGAGAAAAAGAGGCCTTAAAAATATCTATATAATCGGTGACCTTTCAGGCATTAACCCTTTTTCATGTACTTTGACGAAGGGCCGTTGCCGAAAATTTCGCCATATACTTTCTTTGAAGACAGTGTTGTTGACGAATGTTCTTGAAATGAGTGGCAACCCTGATTCATCGTGTCGAATAATCGGGTCGCCGTGGTAGGGCGAACCATCATCGCTTCTCGCGTTGAGCCTAATGTTCCAACAGGACACGGTGACGTCATGCGAGTCCCCATTAATTTCATTCGATACCTATGCCAATAATTGCTTTACTTCATATCATAAGTACCAGAGGGCATTTGCATCTGCAGCGTTCGGTACAGCGTTTCATCCAAATTATAGTTTGACCCCTGTATACCCATGTACAGAGCAAAACGTTCTTCCAGTGCAGTCCCGAAGGAAGTTGTGGAATTATTTTTGGGTGCACTCACCTTTACCCCACATTAATAATTGATTTCTGTTCATCGCACATGTGCCACTATGCTTTTATCCAAATCAAAAATAAAGAAAATGGGGTGGGGGGTGGTGGGGGAAGCTTGCCATAATGCTTGATTGGTTCTCGGGGATAATTAATTTCTCGTGGTTGTATGCTGCAGTAATGATTCCACGTCTCAAGGTTGCTTGAAAGGGAGAGAGAGAGATTTTAAAAAATGGCCCAGCAACCAAAATGTTGAGAAATGAGGCCACTCAGTCCTTGCATCTTTTCTATTCGCTGCGCGCTCGCTGATAGAGAGAGAACTCTGACTAATTGCATGTAATGCACCGGGGGTAGCTGTGACGATAGGTTTGGGTGTTAATTTTGCCAGTGGAATGGCCTCCTTACCGCAGATGGAATAGGATTAATCGGCAATTCCTCTTCCAAAGACCTTCGAAACTATTCACTCTTTAGAGCCCACGCAATAGTGCGGCGATAGTTTTGCTTTACTGTGTCCGGTCAATGCACAGCATCTGCAGCTTTATTGCTTTTTTGATTCCACGTGTGTGTTGATGGCTTTGCCTGGCTTTACCACGGTGACTTAGATTTTTTATTGTCTACTACAGCAACATTGTTAATGATGTGAAAGGACAACGAATGAAGACAGCCTTTGTTCCGCAATTTCGCAAGAGATGGAATGTGCATCACATGTGGTACCGCTTGATTTGCAGGGGCTAAGCCGCTGTTATTATACTTATTTTCACTTTCTGTATCGCCCAGTCTGAGCGCAGTGTTTGCCGTTTAGGCAAAGTAAGGATTTACAAGCTGGTTGCGCTCCATTTAAATTTGACAGTGGGCCAGTAATGCAGTGCAGTTTGTAGTGGAATCCGAACAGAAATTCCATTGGTTGTGTAGCTTATCAGCGCATCCTTCAATCAACAATTCCTATGCAGTATCCCCTGAAAGAGAGAGACCCGTTATCTCGAAGGGCCCTCACCTGGTAATAATACACGTTTATGTGCTGTCCGTGTGTACATGCTCATGTGCCAGTAAAAGCTCTTTATGGGCAAGTGCAGTCTCAATCTAAATTATATCGTTGGGTTTGTTTTCTTAATTATGTTGTCTTTGGTTATTTATGGCCTGGACTACTTGAGCTGAGCGCAGTTTATATTCCCGCCGATCACGCATTTAATGCGTGGGGCGCCGCCGGTGGGGAGATGTTATCTATCTCACCTGGTATACAGGAGGTCGTGGGTTCGATCCCGACCCTGACGCCTGCTGTGTATTTTGAGTTTGCATGTTCTTCCTGCGGTCTTGTCGATTTTTCCCCACGACCTCCCGTTTTTCTCTCCACATGAGAAACATGCGTTGAGAGTATTTCGCTGCAATAAACGTCCACATGATAAGCCACTCTGTTGGCCAGGTCGCTTCTGAAAAAGAGCTATAAAGCTCACTGTGTGGCCCTTACCTGGTAAAATAAAAAATAGTTTAAATCGTTTAGTTTTAATGCCTTGCCATTGACTGTAAATAAACGGAGAGGCTCGCAGCCACAAGGATCTCTCCCCGTAGGTTTAACACGGAGATGAGAATCACGACGCGCCCTGCGGGCTGAATCTAGCCCGGCACTTTATTTTGTACGACCTGTGGCCACATGAGACCTACCGCTTCGATACAAACCTCCACAAACCATATATATCCACCACTTCGAGCATCTTAGCGGCACGAATCAAGTACTAGAGAAAAACATTTAAACCTATAAGGTTGTATTTTTTTCGATTTAAAGCTTTCGTGACTGCAGGGATTCATCTTCTTGGTTCTTTCGGTAAAGTCACGTAGAATGGAAATAATAAAATAATAAAAATAAAACTTAATAAAATAATTCTCACGACGTTTCGGCTACAACGCAAGCAGCCGTCCTTAGGTGAAGAATGAAACACCACCAAGCTTGGAGCGTATATTTAACGTCGTGAGAATTATTTTATTATGTTTTATTTCTATTATTTCCCTTCTACGTGACTTTACCGAAAGAACCAAGAAGACTATAAGGTTGTGTTTTCTTTTTTGTCGCTGCAAGGGCCTCTTACAGCGACGGGACGTGTCCGAGGTTGTTTTTCCACTGCAAAGCCGAGCCGTGCTGCTGACGTTAAAGGCAATGAACGAGTCGAGACGCGTGTAGGCGATGCGGTGATGCTTTGTTCGAGTGGTGTTTTCCGACTAGATGGTGTTCGCAATGAACAGATCGTTAACCCCCGCCCGTGGCCTTGCTTGGCCCCAAGCCAGATTAAAATGTCTTATGAGGTCAGCGTTTTACAGTCTTATTACGGCTCGGCAGGACAAATACGCGATGGAAAACCACCCGTAGCATGCGGGCCGTGTGCTGGCTCGACTCAGATGTGCCAGTTTTTTATATATATAAGACGGGTATTTGTTGTGTTAATGTATGGCTTGCTAAACGTATTTGAAAGTCCTATTATTAGGCACGCGGAAACGAAACGGTTTCCCACCTCTGATTATAATATGGGCCCCCACACCCGCGTCAAGCTGCGTCTCCCCCCGCCCCCTCCCCGCGATTGCAGTGGGTGGTGCTGCAGTGCGGACACTGCTTCTGCAACGAATGCACGGCCATCCAGATGGCGCAGTACAGCGTGGGGTCGAAGCGCTCGGCCATCCGCTGCGCCGTGTGCCGGCACACCACGCTCCACCACGAGGTGTCCTACGTGTCCACGGTGGGGGACGGGGACCAGGCGGACGACGTCACCGTCAAGGCAAGAGGCGCTTCTGCTGCCGTCCCACCAACTCCCAATCACAGTAGAGCCACGAGACGAAGGGCGGCGGAGCGTGCACTTGTTTGTGTTCTCGTCGTCCGGGTCATTAAGAATACAATTCTGTCACGGAGGTCACGGCGATCGTGGAAATTGTGAATTTCAATCATTTCTGAAGTGAAATCTTTCGTATTGCCTGTGGAAGCGGATTAGATTATGCCCTTCCTTCAGTTCAATTTATCATTACGCTTGTTTGGGCCATTCCCCCAAATGTCACCTATTATATATTTTTTCTTATTAAGGTCAGCGTGTTATTGACGAACATGTTGGGTTTTTGCGTAAGCCGAGGCAGGGATTCGATCCCACATCGTCATGAAGGCTTTAATCAAGTATCCTCGTGCCCGATCCACTTGGCTACAGCACCTCAATCCAGCCAGTGCTGCTTTTTCTTATGCAACACCGGTCTCACTGCCCCGATGCCCACTCCGCTACCCTCCTTCCCTTACCCTCCTGTCCCGTCATCACAACATCATTTAACATGGGGTAGCGCCACTTGTAAAATGGTAGCACCATCCGAATCCTGACACACCACTGACTCTGTGCCACACTCCCACCCCCCCCCCCATCTGTCCTACTAGATGCAAGAAGTGCTGTGATGTGTATGGGTGGCAGTACTCCCTGATGCGGTCAATTTGAGTCACTGGGAGGGTGCAGGAGTGTGCCCTGACTGCAGTTGTCTCTGCTGCTCATGGCCCCCAGCAGTAGCACGTTTTCCACTCATTGCAGAGGTTGATGGGTCAAGCCCCACGGCCGCCCTGATTAATGCTGCGGGTGTATTAGCCATGCAGTATGCGCCGTCTGCTTGACGGTTAAGGGAAATATCTCGTGAAGTTTATTATATAAAAGAAAGGTAGTTTATGTGTGCTGCTGGCATGCTTAAGATTTGGCACATTTTATGGATTATTTGCAAATGATGTAGAATTTCCACCACTGGCTCAGCGCTGGCAACAGCAATTTAGCACCGGCGCAGTGCTCGTTTGACTCTTGACTTAATTGGGAAAAGCCACTTAGCAACATCATCCCCCTTGCTGGAAAACGAATGCCCAACTCTCAGGCTGGTGCTGCATTCACCTTGTGCCGCACAGGGACAGCTGCTAAAGGGGTTGGGGTCCCCTACCGCAGGGCATCGAGATGTACCGGTGACGCATGGGAGGTGCGTTATATTGATATTAAGCGATGATATTGGGTGCCATGGTGGCGAGATGTTAACTACCTTGCCTGGTATAGAGGAGGTCGTGGGTTCGTTCCAGACCCTGACACGTGTATATTTCGTGTTTGCGTGTCTCTCTCCTCATGGTCGCGGGGATTTTTCTCCGAGTCCACCTATTTTCCCATCCACATTTAGAAAAAACGTGCGTTTAGAATATTTGGCTGCTATACATTTCCACGTGATAAGCCAATTCGTTGAGATATCATTTGTTATGGCCAGGTCACCTCTGAAAAAGAGCTACATAGCTCAGTGGGCCTTACCTGGTAAAATAAAAATAGTAATTTTTTTCATAGTTAGCTTATAATAACGACAATTGACTCTTTAAGTATAGGTCCTATTTCAACCTGGCATGGCTCAATTCCCCCTCTTGGACCCGTTCACATAAGTACACATGTTGCAGCCACATGGGAAAGCCTCGCCAATATGGATTCTGTCTTAGGGACGGCTCCGAAGAAAAATCATGAATTTGAATGTAACAAAAAAATTGATGGAGGCAGGCTGTCATTTGTAAGAGGTTGGCTGCAATGCCCTGAATGCAGAAATAAGGGTTGCGGAAAAAAATATAAATTTGCATGCAAGCCCGACAATATTTTCCACCGTTGAGCTATTTTTGTGCGTGAGCGTGCATGCCCTTGTGAATTACAAAACGGAGCCGACAAACAGCGCGGCGTTTGGGGTGGGATCAATAACACCTGCTTCTAGCCGTTGCCTTGGCTCATTAAGAGGACCCTGATGTTCCATCTCAGCACGGTCATTTTTGCCGCTATAATTGAAGAGAATCGTTCGGCGGACAGCAGTCGGGAGGATGTCTTGTCGCGGGGGGGGGGGGGGGGGGGGACGGGACGCACGTACACCTACGACAGTGACTACTGGCTGCACTGGAGTCTTCCAAATGATATCAAGAGGTGGACGAAAGCGGGTTGGAGATGCTTTTGCAAAACCGAACCTTGATAATGATGCGCAACAAAGCAATGTCTAAAAATGTTGCACCTCCAATTGGCACGGTTGTTCACGTTCGGTGTGAAAGAAGTTCAACATGCATGCATACAAAATACAAATATTACTTGCTATGATGTATGGTTCATGAACAACGGCATTGCCAACGAAAATTTAACAAAAAGCTGGAAACTGTGTGAAAAAAACATGGAGAGGGTCATGCTTGGAATTATACCGAGAGATGGGAAGAGGAAAACATGGATTATAGAACACAAACAAGAAATTAACTGATTTAGAAAATTGGGCGTGTGTAAGACACGTAATTTAAGATAATGATAATAATAGAAATAATATACACACCTAAAATATATTTATTCCAGAGATCACAAGGCGCTCCTCTACAACACACACGCAGGCTCACACGTGGTTGAGATTACGGGGTAGTGGCAGCCAAAGGAGGGATCACACCCAAGAGGGCATCCAATTGGGAGATACTATTTGACTACTACTATTATTATTTAACCAGGTAAGGTCTACTGAGTTTAACACGTAGGCTTTCGCGACGAATTGCCCGATGATGCTGGTTGCAATTACCAGCGAAACGTCGTACTCAAATTGTAAATGTTGTGGCTTCAACACACCGGTGGGCTAAAGCAGTGAACTATTTGTCTTTGTCAACGTGACACATTTTTTACTGATTGGCCGTGTCGGGTGGTGGAGGGTTACGACACATTTATAAATAACGCGATCTAAACCCAAAAACGTTGATTATGAAGGTCTACTGAGCTATGTAGCTCTTTTTCAGAAGCAACCTGGCCACAAATGATAGCCCAACGAAGTAGCGTATCACGTGGGATTTTATAGCAGCGAAATACTCTAAACAACATGTTTCTATATGTGGAGGGAAAAACCGGAGGAACCGGAGAAAAATCCACGCGACCACGGGGAGAGAGAAATACAAACTTCAAATATACAAGCGTCAGGATGAGGATGGAACCCACAACCTCTTGTATACCAGGCAAGCTAGTTGACATCTCACCAATGTGGAGTGACAAAGCCAGCCCGTGGGCAGGTCTTAGATGGATTCTTATGTCACAGGACAAGGATTGAGGGCTACACAATGGGGGGGTCCTTGGTCGTAACTTATGATGAATCAGGTGACCAAGTTAGAGTTGGGTGCAGCATAGGATGCCACACGGCCTTATGCTGTGAACCCATGTGGCTGTATCACAGTGTACTTACAGCTGTGTTCTTGGACTTCGCAACAGGGCAGCCACTCCACGAAGGTTGAGGCGGTCATACGGGAGCTCATGAAGATCCACATATCGGATCCCGAAGCCAAGTCTCTGGTCTTCTCTACGGTAGGCAAATGCTGAGCGGGTTGTTCTTATCACGCTGTGTTGCTGCTGCATTGCTTTGCTCAAGGTTTCAAAGAACAAGTGTGTGGCTGAAAACACAAGTGCAACTTGGGGTCACTGGCATGCAAGTGTCACCTGCACGCTGTGTGGAATCTCTCATGAGCCTCTGTCAGAATAATATTTTGGGGCCTCGCGGAAGCCATCCTGCTTATTGCTGCATCTCCAGTGTTAGTTTCTAGGCATCGTGAGTTTCGACTGTATCCAAGTCGTTGTAATTATGCCGCTGTTTAAGGTTCAGCGCGTTGGACTTGCAATCCAGAGGTCGTCAGTTCGATTAGATCTTCTGGCGCGCGGCTGTTGAAATTAACCAGCAAGTCACTTAATATCTACCTTGTGGCTGTCGTCAGTATTGATACTATTATTGGATTTACTGTGTTTTTATTCGATTTAATCCATACTTGCATAGTTAAAAAAAAAATCATGAAATTAGTTTTTTTTTTCTGTTCAGCACTTAGAGAAATGTTGAAATATTAGGCATTTTATAAGATTATTATTACAATTACATCTGACACCACCGTCTACCCAGCAAAGGCAAAACCCACATTCAATTGACAAGTTGCGTGTGGTGGGGTAAAATGTGGGTACTGCCACCTCTTCAGAGATGTCTACCAGCGTACTCTCTGGAGGAGCTCTGCGTAGCTTTCTCGAGTGGCAGAGGCTCCCTTTTCACCAGCAGTGGCACGAGTGAGAAAGGCAGGGCTGCACCTTTGCCATCACCTTCTAGCCATTGTTCCGAGAGAAAAAAAACCCTGACTTCAACGAAACGACCACCCGTCGGTAAACTACTGCACGTCGGCTTCTTCTTAGGCACAGCGTGTGAATGCAGCACAAGTCCCGTACCCCCCTCCCTCCCTCCACCCCCCTCAATGCTGAGCTGCTGGATTAATTAGGCGGATAGCGATGTTGCTGCGTTTGTTATTGTTTGTTCACGCAACCCTGAAAGCCGTCGTGCGCAGATTAATCTGCCGGCAGCGGGGCCTTGGGTGAATCGCCGGCAGCCTCTGGGCGAATTACGTGGAGCGGTAGTTGTACACGGAGTGTTTATCATTAATGGCGTCTCTCAATTACGGCAGGGCATAAAGCAGTTAAGCGCTTAAGGTACTTTCCGATGGTTGGCCATGCAGCGTCGGTGCCTGCCAGAGCCCCTGACTGCTGGAAGGGTGGTTAATTGTGTGAGAAGAGCTTAACGCCTCCACGGGAGGCTCCGTTAATTGACTTGATCATCGCTTTTATATCTTTCCCCAATGAAAAACCTGCGTTTTTATTATGGAGTTTACCATATGCTGCGAATATGAGTTTTTTTTATTTAATTTATCACACCTCTTCTTTTCAACAAAGGCGCAACATCGGTTTGTTTTTTTGTGGCATAAAAGCAGCGGGCTCCTCAAAGGTTTTTGTTTATTTGCGAGTTTTGTTTTGTTATTTTCTCGAAAGTAAATTTTCTGCTCCAATTAACTGGTGAATAGAAATTCTACCCTGATAAATGCAACAGCAGCGACTCGTTGAGAACACGTTATCTGTGCTTTGGCAATGGTGAAACGGCTTGGCAAAGCACGCACCTTCCATGCTTTGTAATTAGGACAGAAGACAGTGATCTATTGAGGTGAATATTAATCAAACGTGCATTTTCTCATTGCCTGGCACACGCGCGAGCGCCAATCTGGCGCATCTGTGCAAGTTGCAGTGCGCTACCCGCTTCGGCACGACTCCACCACATTGTGTGTGGCAGCACTTTTGGTCAATCCACTTCTGTTTTGTTGTGATTATATTTCCTTCGCAATTGACGGCACGAAACGTTCAACTTGTTTTTGGATTTTTTTACCCACGCAACTGCTTGCAATCGCCTGCCGCGCTCTCTCTTCCCCGCCTTTTCCTCCCTCCACTGTTTATTTAGTGGCAGGACGTGCTGGACATTATCGGCAAGGCCCTCAAAAAGAACGGCATCTACTTTGCACAGATCAATGGGATCCACCGCTTCCAGGTGAGAGACGTGTTTCGCCACATGGGGGGCTGGTTCCGGGGTTCAAGAGCAGCGGAGAGCCTCTGCTTGACCCCCGGCCTCGAGCCAGATCCCATCTGCAGGGACCATTCACGGGCACCGCCAGGGGATAGCAAAGACCCTTAATTGAAAACGAGCGGAGGTTGAACGTTTAGTGCAGCAGCAGCAGCAGCAGCAGCGCTGCAGTGTTTGGCTGACGAGCGTTTTATTTTTAACCGAGTATTTTGGCGCCGACGCAGTACGGCAACGATGTGGATTGTACATATTGTTCGCACTTGCGATTTGCATGGTTGGCTACGTATGGTGCGAAAGAAGTTCGACATACATATACACATATTCTACGACGATAATATCCACGGTAATTGCGTTATACAATCGTGATTGTCGTTGCACATTTTCTTTTTGTTAAATGTCTTTTTATTCTGACAAAATATTTAAGGAATAATGAACTCCAATGATAACCGTTTGTATGTAGCTGTTATCCATTAAATTCGTGATTTTCAAAACATTTGCCTGAATAATTGACGGAGTGCCGCTTGCGTGACGTAATTTTCGTAATTTATTGGATTATTTAATTGGTTTTAGTATAACTGACAGCACATGCATTATAAGCCTCATGGGCTGTAATGATTAGAAATGCCTGTAGCAGCCTTGCGTTGATTGATCTTCAGTTGAAGAACTGTTAATAAAAGGAGGACAGCTTGTAATGCGCGCAATTTTACAAACGGACTAAACTTAAAGCCCGAGTCGTTAAGCTCTATCGATACCGCAAGTCAGCGAAAGCACGCAAACATCGCGTTAACACGCGCGAAGTACAACCCAAAAACAGGCAAGTTATGTAAAACTGACTCCGCGACATTCATCGTTGCGAATTGTAATGTATCGTGTCGCGAAAAAAATGGTATCGCTGCAATCTTCATGAACACGCGTCCGCGGTAGCAGCTGCTGCACCTTGGGGGGGGGGGGGGGGGTAGCGGTGGGGGGGTGGGGTGTTTAGTTTTTCAAGGAAAAGTTAACTTTTGTGGAAACGTTTGCAACGTGATTTGAGCAGCAAGGGGGAAGGCTAAAGTGGCTTGGCGTGGACTCGGCTTAGGATGCAAAGATCTTTCACGGAATAATTTTCCGCCATGAATTGCTCCGGGTGCAATCGCAACGTAAGCACCGGTGTACACTGTGGTGAACATAGCAGCCACCAGTGGCCACAGGAACCTCGTGCACAGAACAAATCCCAATATTATCCAGACTAGAGGTTTTTGGGTTAGATTGCGTAAATATAAATGTGTCGTTAAACCCGCCACCACCCGACACAGCCAATTAGTTCAGCACACGGGTATGTTGGAGAATAATCCCACTACATTTACAACTAGTAATGAATTGGCATGTTCTGTTTACGTGATAAACTTTACTAATTGGCTGTGTCGGGTGGTGGTGGGTTTAACGACACATTTATATTTATGCGATCTAACCCCAAAAAACCTCTATTGTAAGCGCTGTAATGGTGAAGCCAGATCTGTATTCCAATAGCGCGGGTCCTCAAACTGTCCCAGTTGCGGCATAAAATGTGTCGCTTTAATGTGAATTAAATTCCGCTGAGGAGCTATTTCTTGCTGTAATTAATTTCGTAATATTTAGTTTCGATGTTAAATGAGATTAATATTTGTTTTCTTTCCCATTGACTTCCACTTGGACTTTTATTTTTGCATTCCAATCTTTTTTCCCTGGAAAGGTTAAGTCGCACGGTCAGACAAGATAAAGGTAAAGGCGCAGCTCTGCAAAAAAATTTTATCGTGCCACTGCTGGCACAGAGAGGCCTTCGAGAGGATATTTTTGTCTATGTTCCGCACTGGCGAGACATTATTTTGGCAGGGGTGGGGGTGCCCACACTTTACCCCGCCGAACGCCGCAGTGAACCTATTTATAGGCAGAGATTCTAAGATACAAAATTCCAAGATACAAATTCTTGTATCTTGGAATCTCTGCCTCACTTGATACAGTAAATCTAGCTGTGACGGTCCCACCTGATGACGGAGACTTGTGTTGCCTCCGAAACGTCGTGATTTTTTTTCTTTCTATTATTACTTTCATTAATTTTATTTTTTACCTACGTGACTTTACCGAAAAAACCTAAGAGTATGAATCCTTGCAGTCACGAAAGCTTCAAATCTAGAAAGAACCTATTTATACTGCTAGGTTTGACAGCGGCATAATTGATTGAAGGGACTTGCACCATTGCGTCATCTGCCGTGCTGGGAAATTAAATCAAACTGGTGACCTCTGGATTGCAAGTCCATTGTGCTCACCAATCGTACTACTGAGCATCAAATTACACAGAATAAATTAACAAAAATCGGGAGTCCATACTCTTTGGTTCTTTCGGTAAAGTCACGTAGGTAAAAAAAAAAATAGAATTAAAAATAAAAGTTAATTAAATCACGACGTTTCGATTGCAACACAAGCAATCATCATCAGGTGTGGAAATCACAGCTAGAAAATTTGTACTGTGATTTTCACACCTGATGATGATTGCTTGTGTTTCAATCGAAACGTCGTGATTTAATTTACTTTAATTAATTTTTTATTTCTATTTTGCAGTCACGAAAACTTCAAATCTAGAATGAAAAAATCGGGAGTGCAAAAACAAATACAGAGAGTCTGTGCCTCCGAGGCAGCTTCTGTGTGCGTGCCGATGTAATGCAGTCATAAAGAACCTTTGCATTTGTCACTCATCAGCCTTTGTGCAAATCATCGCTGGGACAGCGTCTGTGCACCAAAGTGTGATGTTATTGTGCCAAAGGGCTATCGGGCGTTTCAAACCTCACAGCAAAACTCTCTTACTTGCACGCTCACAAGGCATCGTGTGGGTCGTACCAGCGTGTGAGTCGTACCACCGGATAGGTGTGGTTGGTGCCATCGTGTGGGTTGTACAACCATGTAGGTCGTACCACTGTGTGGGTCATACGACCGGATTGTTGAAGCCTCCTATAAATAAATCACCTGGAACATCGCCCGATGTCGTCAAATCTCAGAAGCTAAGGCAGGGTTGAGCCTGGACAATTCTTGGATGTGTGACCACTACGCATAAAATAGGTTGTCATAGGGCTGTGGGGCCTAAATGATGGGCCGCGTCTGTCCTTCTCACTTTTACCAACCTGCACATACCTTTGCTCTGAACTCGGTTGAAGCAAGACAAATGTTTGTAAATTAATAATGATACAATTTGTGTTTCATGACATTTCAAGTTTTCACGTGTAAAATGGGTTTGTAAAAGCATGTGTCTAACCCTACGTTTGCCAGCAGAGACCTAGATAAATACATACGTTATATGGATGTAGAGATTTGATTTCATCTGCAAGAACCTGATGAGCTATGAAGCGCTTGTTTCACAGGTGTTCAGCCCATGCTGGTGGAAGGGCAGCGGAACGAGATCTAGTTTACTGTACCTCTTGGCTGCCATGTCAGTACCCTCCCCACATTCAACCCACACTGACCAGCGTGGTGAAGAAAAGTCTTAGCAAACCGCACGATCCGCAGTGTGAGGAGGCCCTCATCCAGCAGTGGATAGCAAAGAGCTCTACCTTTACACATGCACCCACTGGGGGATGATATAATAACAAGCGAAGGAAGTTGGTACTGAATGTAATGAATGAGAAGGCATTTGCGCAATAGAGATCTCCTTTGCATAATGTTGCATTTCCTCAATGACTTTAAATTACATGGAGTTGCGGTGGCAGCAATACATGGTGACTCATTTATAGGAAAACTAATTTCTTTACAACTGCTTTTTGTGTTTAGTTTGGTCTCCTTCCCCCCCCCGCCTCCGTACCTCTTGATTAGCATTGTTGGTTACATACGGTGCGATATAAGTTTAATATACATCCAACAATACATATACATGAACAATAAGGCACGCAATGTATCACCACTGCTGCGAGGCGATGTCATGGTGGACCTGCTTGATCGGCCAATGGCGTGCCTTCGTCGGGCGGTTTCAGCTGGATCTCTGCCCGAAGCAAAGGAAGCTACCGTGTTGGTGAGCAGTGAGTAATGAGGCTTGAGGGTGGGTAAGGGATGTCTCAGTCCATTAGGTAGACACAACCTCTGCTTCTTAACAATGCATAAGCGACTCTTATTCCCAGGCCGCAGGCCTCTTGGCGCACGGCACAGCGGTCTTGACGTTTCATTTGTGGCGTCATAATTTTTTGCTGCCTCTTGCAGAAAGTGGCCTGCAAACATCTGTTAGAGAGTAAGATGAGAGCAAGGCTAGGTTTTTTGCTTTCACACGATTGCATAATTTTCTAAAAGACACGTTTGTCCATCAAATTTTGTTGTGAAAAGTTTGAATGAAAACTTTTTTATTTTACAAAAAATGTATGAGGTGCTATAGGGAAACTGAATTTCACATAATTGCATATATTGATGTCCAATGAGGCAATTTGTCAACGTTGTTCGTGAAAACACTTGCACCGAGAACTTAATTGCTGCTCATTCACAGTTAGCACGGCTGACTACGTATGGCGCGAAAGAAGTTCAACATACACACATGCGGTTATTGCTCCCCAGGCTGCTGCAACTTAGCCAAAGGGTATTGCTCGACCCCCACTGACGTCTTGGAAGATGTGGGGAGTAACCGGTGCCTTACCCCACCGTAGACTCGGACAGTTGTCAAGAAATGTGAATGTAGGAGGCGTTTTTTGAGCACAAGTTGTCGAACCACTTTTTTTTCCAAGGACGTGGATTTATCCTGAAACCAAGTAATTTGTTTGCCACACTCGATTTAGATGTTTTAAGACTGAAAAAGCCAAAACACACAAAATGGCCACCCTGCAAAACTTCAAAGGCCCATAACTTATGAACGGTGGGAGATAGAGCTATGATATTTTTTGTCCATGTGGATTTAGCTTGTTCATATTGGCATGTAAATATGAATGCCATGTCTTAGCTGTAGCTTTTATTATGGACATGGGGGTAATCCTTGGGTATCT